GGTTCTTATTCTTAAGGTGGGGTAATCGGCAGCGGTAGAAGGTCTTTATCGCTTAGGAAAGCCCCTAGCGGTTCTCGAGGCTTCTGGGTTTCGGGGACTTAGTAAATCGCCTATAAGATTATCGGTGAGGGTATTGATATATCTCGATTTACCCCCTAAAGTAGGGTGGTCTCCCTATTTATCCCTATTTACTAGGAATTTTGTTATTAAACTTGCTGGGTTTCCGGCTGCTAGCTCCGCTGGGTATCTAGTTACTAGAAGTTATCTAGATCTCGTGGATCCCTTTCCTCTTACTCGCTAGTCTCCTAACTAGTGAGCAGCTGATTTATCACTTTAATAACCTCGTCGGCGGTGAGTTCCTATGGTTCCTATACGATTGGTATAGGAATTGGCTGATATCTCTTATAATCAGGGGTGTATCTCTGTATTTCGTTAATAACTACGTCCCTAATAGGCTTCACTTTTCCACTGTGTAGAAACTAGATATTCCAGATATTTAATACTATATATCCCACTAGGAAGCCAATTTCGGCCTATAGATTTATCTTATTAGTTCTCACTTACTTCTTAATCCTACAGTAGGCCAAGCTCCTATATAACCTAATATTGGATAGGTTGATTTTAGGTACTTACGGCGTAAACTCCTTCCGTACCTCCTTCTATAGCACAACCCAGCGATTCTCAGAAGTAATATATATCGGTGTACGGTTCAGAATCTATACCGTAGCCTTCGCGAACTCCGGCTATAGATCCTTCGGGAGCTTTCCTTCTAGCCTAAGCAGTCTTATTCGGCTGATAATTATCCCGCTAGATCTCTCGGTATATCTATTTATCTCCGCGTATCTAGGAGGGGTATAGAATATCAGGATACTATCTAAACTAAGGCTGTATTCAGTGCTATTCCCGGTAGAGGTCTTATTATTATAGTGGAATACCTTAATTAGCAGCTTCCACTGGTAGACTGCGACATCGCCCGTCCATGGGCACTAGAAAGTGTCCACGGCCCGTGGGCCTTTTGAAATTTGACGCCCATCGCCCACCGTTATGCAAAATTAATGCAAAAATTACTCTATTAGGCTATTTTATGTACATAACTAGTTCTTGGCAGTATCCACCTTGCCAAGAGTGCCCGCATATGTCTTGGCGACGCTAAAAGTGTCTCCACTTTGGTGGGCGTTGTCGCAGTCTATCCACTGGTTCCTCGCTAATTCTACAAATCGATTTATAGCTAGCTAGCACTTAGGTTTCAGCTCGTAGGTTATTATCCAATAGAACCTCGGTCCTTCTAGATAGAAATAGGATATCCAGCGATACTTATTGTACGCTGGCTATATCTAAATCAGATCAAAGTGCACTCTTCCAAATCGCCTAAAGGTATATCCCACTGGTCGGTAAGAGATCTATCTTAGTGCTCTCCCTAAGTGATATATTTAATATAGCGATTCCTGTTCTTACTCGGTGGATTTCTTCTCTTAGTTATCGAGGACGACCCCTTCCACTATAGTAGTGAGTTTCTTTATACTCTTACGATCAATATAGCCTAATCGCCGGTACTATACTTCGCTTAATACCTTTATTTCTAGGGGTTTTACTGACTTCCTCTGCGTGAAATAGGCTTACTGAGGCGGTACCTCTCCGGGTTCGTCGAAAATCTATAGGTTCAATTAATCCTATAGGTTTATACAGATAACTGGCCATTATTTAGGTCCCGGATACAGTTCGTACGCTGGTACTATACCCCCCTTTCTTCCTCAGTATCGAGTACAATACTAGGTTTGTATAGAATCCTAGCGAATATAGTATATCGCTTAGGGTAATCTCTATTCTCCCTTTCACTGGGTATCTCCTAACCAGTCTAACTATACCCTTCCCTAGCACTTCGGTAGTGCTATCTCTAGTGATAAGGTAGGTGATTTTTAGGGTATAGTCGACGAAGAGGTCTCGGTTATTATATATATAGGTGCTAGAACCGGTGTCTAAGATCCAGCGGTTCTTTAGGATAGGATTATATTCTTTAGTAAGTAATAGGGTACACTGGCTAATCACTTCTTACTTCTTATCCTACTGATCCTACTGCTAGGAGGTAGTTATAAAGCTTACTTAGTTAGCGGATTCAGCTTACCTTTACTAGTTTGACTCTGCTATAGTTTTCTCTACCTATTTCTTCTAGGCCTAGTTCTTTGCTAACTCCTAGGTTACTTTCTCTAGCTTCCTCTCGCTAATTTTCAGCCCTTCCGGTCGAATTACCTCGTTTAAAACCTAGTATTCGGTAACCCTATACTTAGGATAGGTATTGCTATAAGGGTATTTCCTCTTTTCGAAAGGTAGGTTCTCTTATAAAGCTTATAAAGCCTAGGGTTTAGCTTTAGGTTTAGCTTCTGGGTACCCTTACTAGGTAGAAAAGGCGCTCTTCGGGGGCGAGGTTAATAATACCTTTAGTACCCCTATTTCTCTATTTATTGCGCGAAAAGATTCGATAAGAACTCGGGTATTGTACACCTTCTTATCGATAACAATCTCTTAGTATTTACCCTACTACTAGATAGGAAGCACTTCTTTCACTGCGTATAAAAAGTCCCTATTGGTATCTCTAACGTTAATACTAAGCCTGATCGCTTACTCTCTTAGGGAATTCTATTACTGTAGCCACAGCTCGATATCCCCTATCGGTTTCTATATCGCGAAGACCTTCTATTTTATTCAAACCTCCTCCTTATACACCGTTAACCGAGCAAAGCGAGATTTCAGATAGACCAATCTATTATATAGGGTGTAATATCCTATCAGGTTAAGGTAGTGCATCGAATCCAGGTAGGTAAAGATATATTTATTTATATTATTCAGCCCTTTTAATTGCTTCTCCTATCGGGTATATCTCAATTTATATATATCTATCCGATCTCTCCAATATCTCCGGTCTATTTCATCCCCTTTCTCTAGGTATTCCGGCTCAATTAGCTCACTTAGAGCTTCCGGTCTCTCAGTAGGGGGGTATCGGGATTGCAGAGGTCCTAAACACTCTTTTGTGTCGTATAGAGCTGAACCCGGGTATACTAGGTAAGCCACTGCGGCGAGTCCTTCAGTTTATCGCCCTTTATAGCGGAGAGAATTGATACTGCTTCTATTGATAGAATCAGGATAGTGGGGTTGCTGTACAGCGCTGGGTACTAAGGGATAGCTTCAGGGGTTGCTGTACCGCTTCTGGGGCTATAGGGAATAGCTTCGGGGGGTTGCTTAGGCCTATACTTGGTGATATTGGCCTTGCTGGGTGCGAACCGGGCTTATAACTGTCAATTACACTCGTATCTTGAAATGTATAGGTCCAATCAATGGTGTTAAAATCTCTGTATTGCAGTATCCGTTTTCCTAGCAATTTATATGGATAGCGGATTACTAATTCAAAATTACTGCACAACCTGGATTAATTAAATCCCCGGTATGCCGGTCTGTATGCTCCGACAAGTAATCAGTGCCTTAGGCACAAATAGTATGCAAACCCTACAAACCTTTCGGGAGTGCTTTAACAAAACTTTGGCATAGATCGCAAAATTTCAAGACCTTTAATTCCCAATATACGGCCAATCTACTCCGTAGTGTGCTAGGACTTAACGTTTGGTTGCATCATTACACATTTTTCTTTTCACACAATCAATATCATTACCAATACGTGCCTCTCTACTCGCACTATCTCCAAGTATGACAGAAGCATGCCATCCCCCTGCAACAGAACTCTCTAAAGCAGAGCGCTTCAAAGCTACGCACCTCGCCGCGCGCCATGGTAACTACCACCAATATTACGCCAAGTTCCGGGCGCCCACCGTTCCGGACGAGCGCCTTTCCATTCTCCCATCAGATATCCTCCGCAATGCGCGAGTGATAGACCTAGGCTGCAACGCGGGCAAACTGACCTATGAGGCGATAGCGCACTGCGGCGCGGCCGCCTCAGTGGGAGTCGATATCGACCCATGGCTCGTCGAGCAGGCAAAGGCGGCGTACCCGGACGGGCCGTGCACATTTGAGCACTTTGACTTCGTGGATGTGTCCGCATACACAGGTACCGCGCTGGGCAAATTCGACGTTGTCCTACTACTCTCTGTGACCAAGTGGATACATCTCAACAACGGGGACTCTGGGATGTTGACTCTATTTGCGCACATACAAAACATACTGAATGAGGGGGGTTATCTCGTCATGGAGCCGCAGCCTATGAGCAATTATGCGAGAGCGTCAAAGAAGAATAAAGAATTGAGAGAGACGTATAAGAAGATTCAGATCAAGCCACCGTTTGAGAATGAGTTGAAAGCTCAGGGGTTTGAGAGGATACTGGAAGTTGAGCGGGACGAGGAGGGGTTTGCTAGGCCCGTACATGTTTGGAAAAAAATAGTATCATAATATGATTAATGAAAATGGCTCAAAATGAGTCGGGCAAATTTACTTGCATCGGAGAGACATAAACTTTTTAATTGGTTGGTTAGTATGTAAAATGGCGACAGACGAAGCATATTTGACACAGTATCTACAGGAGAAAGTGATGGGTTAAGATTTGTTGACAGGAATTCCAGAGCACCATAATCCTTAACCTTGGAAGTAGTTAGTTAGATGGTTTACTCACTGATCAAAAGAATTGGTCAGCACCTCACTACATAACTAGTTCGAAGACGAACCTGGGCTATTTCAAAATGCTCTTTGTTTCATAGTCCCCAAGCTTACGCGATATCAACAGTACCCATTTCAATGTGTTGTTCGGCGGAAATTCCGAGTCAGGCCCTGGCCACCGTATATGTATGCATAGCATACATATGTAAGATATATATATTTGAAGTGAGAGGGTAGAAAATGCGGGCGGGTAAAAACTTATTAAACACCACAGTATGTACATCCCACCGGAAGATATAGGGTGAGCCGGGAAGTGTGTATACCTTCCTCGAAGGAGTTGTCAAAACTTTTCACGCCAGTTGCAATATGAAGAGCTGTGATTTTATCGACAGCAAAAACAGTGCTTAGCTACAACCCACTAGATATGAGGGCTTTTTCAAATGAGGGCTATGCTCTTCAATGTTCGCGGCATATCCGCTTGCTCTAATGTTGTCCCGAACGCGATAGAAGTTGTGAGAATCGAGTTCATGCACTCTTTGCACAATGACAGACAGCGTAGCGAGCTCAGTAAATTCGTCGTATGACCCAGTCTTGCCGGAGTGGTTCGACATAGACCTCCAGTTCGGCTTCTGAGCCGCCAAAATTGCAACCCCCATCAGGAAGGAGCGAGCCAACGGTGAAGTAAAAAAACAAAAACATACAACAGTGAGGATTCGCTGGTGGTCACCCACCCAACTACTAACTCACCGGCGTGTGGCTTAAGTACGGCTGAGCGGACGGGAAGCCCTGTTTTCCACACCCTGTGGTCGTATGTGTCTGGTTCAGTGCGGGAAATAACTATAGCATGCAAGTATAATTGGGTGGTGAGTGTGCGTTATATAGCTGGGGTGAAGACTGTTCCCACGGTTATAGTAGGGAGATCATGCTGGAAAACAAACAGATACACGGAAAGGCAAAGAGCTACTAGCTTTAGTAACTGCCTATCCAAAACATCACGCAATGGTGTACAAATCTAACCGTGAAGGCAGCCATCCGGGAATTATATATGGTCGAGTCAAGCTGTTCCAATTTGAAGTCTAGAGGTCCTATGAAGAAGTTGGCAACTCCAGGGATGTGCAAGGAATGGGCTGTAGGAACAGAATAAAGCTGGGTCTGTCTGTTTTGCGCGAGACGAAGCTTGAGAAATTCCCATGCAATCTCCCGATTTTCTGTTAATGACCGATAGTACTCATAAAGCAGGGAAGAAGGTAGTTGTGAGTGGAGGGTTTCCTGGTTCCTTTCCTTGATGAAATAAATAGGGTACAGTGAACTTTTCTGTTGTAGGTAGACAAATAAGTGCAGCTGTAGAAGCTCATCATTTTAGATGGTAGAATAGTTTGAAGGTGGTAGGGTCTGTGATATCCGATTGGGTCTCTTAGCCCCTCCCAAAACAATGAGAACTAAAGTGCCATGGAAGATCAGAAAATTGTCAAATTGACGCAGGGAAGAAATTTTCTGATGGCCTCGAGACATCATACAGGGATGAGTGGCCGGTATATTCTCTTCGCCCGGGCAAGGAACCCGGGGATTCCTGACCCGAGCGAATGATAATGCGAAATAATAATAAACACGGAGGAGATCGTAGAAAGCAAATAGTTCGGTGGCGACCGGGTCGAATTGAGTGGTCACGTGCATCCTTGACCGGGGAAAGAAAAAGTCGTCGACCCGCCCTTATCTTGTTATCGCTGTCTCTCACTCGGCTTGTCATTCTTCGACGTTTACTACTCTCACATCTTTCATAGCCGGCCGATTTCTGGCTTGTTTGCTAATATTCGATCTCTAATCTCACGCCTCTCCAAATTGGTCTTTTATCATCTGATCCGTATTTACATTCCCGACACTCAACCCGTCTCATTTACACATTATGGATCACACACGCGATCCCTGCCCCTGGGTTGCCCTGAGCGACTTCGGCGGTGCCTTTGCTATGGGTGCTATCGGTGGTGCCGTCTGGCACGGTGTGAAGGGTTTCCGTAACAGTCCCTACGGCGAGCGCCGGATAGGTGCTCTCACAGCTATCAAGGCACGCGCGCCCGTCCTCGGTGGTAACTTCGGCTGCTGGGGAGGACTCTTCAGTATATACGACTGTTCAATCAAGGGAATTCGCAAGAAGGAAGACCCTTACAATGCTATTATCGCTGGTTTCTTCACCGGCGGCTCCCTCGCTATACGTGGTGGTTACAAGGCCGCCCGCAACTCCGCTATCATGTGTGCCGTCTTCCTTGCTGTGATTGAGGGTGTCGGTATCGGTTTCCAGCGTATGATGGCTGATAACACAAAGCTCGAGGTATGATGAGATCTTTGCTGTCGAATTGATCCGTTCGGAGTTTGAGTCAAAATGTGCCTGCTAACCATGCGTGTCCAAAACAGCTTCCTCCCCCGCCTCCATCTGAGCACAAGGCTCTGGCTTAGATTCTTTCTCCTATCCTTTCGCAAACACGATCGCCATATCTACATTGGGTCGCCTTCGACTCATTATCCCTTCCATCTCTTTCTTCATAACGGCATCCCCACACTTAATCGGGTGTCTGGGGTTTGGGTCGTCATTCTTCAACGACATATCATAGAGGTTCCTGCTTTCTTTACTCGCTTTTAATATCGCATCCCATAGCCTGTGTTTTTGGAGCATTGTATCTTATAGACAGCGGATTTGTTCTTGTGGCTGGTACCAAGACCGATGTGTCTCTTTCTGTGGCCAGGTGGCCGAATAAAAGAATCTCTCCACTACTCATCCTGCAAAAAAAAAGTATTGAAGACGGGCTCTTTTGGATTCTTGTATATTAATGTGAGAGCATTTCTTCTGTATATATATTGGGTTCGGCTTAGATCTTTGCATCGTGAACATATAGTTCGAGTAGTAACTATGGTTTTATGTGAACCAATTCTGCACAATAGCTCATGTTTGCATAACATGGATCTAGTATAGGTATGTATGTAAGTTTTAGATTGGGCTATTACTAGATAACCGCCCTCCCGCACCCTTAGCGACGAGAGGTTCTATTTCACTTCTCGCTTCTACAAAATAAATCTGCAAACCGTGAGGGCGTCCACAAGATATGACAGAATATGTCGGCTCCATCCATCCGTTGGTGGCCGAAAGGCGGAGTCAGAAATTGTGTCCGAAGGACGAACTAGCGTATAATGTCGTTGAAAACCTCTTGAATGCATACGAGCCCACGTGACAGGTCTTAAAACCCCGGCAACTGGAATTGATGGCTTGTGAGGAGAGAACTTTAGGTACACAGATATTAAAGTGCATGGCGAATGTGGATGAATTGTGGAAGAGGGTATAACCAAACCTGAGACTATGAGAATCTAACAGTTTTCTGTTTTCTCAATGGTGAAAATAATAGACAGATAAAGAAGACACTCCAGAAGAACAATGTATATGAAAAGCCTCTTACAGGTATAATCTTTAGGTACAAAATCTCTGAATCTCAAACTTGACCAGCAATATAGTTCTAAGCGCAGAGAAAAGACTGATCCATGGATATAAGTTGGTATTGACACCCGTGGACGTTCCATAATTCTTGCAGGCCAGATATAATCCAAGGTAGACGAACTAAACGCTGATTGGGTCATTTAGCTCAGTCTTCTTTCCTGCAGGCCAGCTACCTGTAATCCAGTTCCTCGATGTGGACAATCCAGAGGGGTTTTCAATGTGATCGTTCGTCCCTTCCCTGCGCAAAACAGCCGAGCCAGATTTTGCCGCCAGCGTAGAGTCATACGTCCAAAAAGCGTCAAACATCTCTCGAATACGATCAACCTGGAACGCAACCAACAAGACGATCGTAATAATCCCCACGGTCAGCGGAGCGGAGACAGTCCAAAACAGCGTCTGCGAGCTGTCCATGTTGCGGATGTCATTGGTGTTCATGCCAAGATAGCTGGTCACAAATGATAAAGGCATGAACACTACAGTCACGATGGTGAATACTAGGATGGCCTTTCCCTGGTCTTCTTGTCGCACGTCTACCCCGCTGCGCGTCTGGTTGGCCAATGAGTCAAGCTTTATGTTTAGGAGTGAGATTGCTCCGAGCTCAGTGTTGAGCTGGCTTATGAGCTTGTTGATTCGCGCTTTCTCAAGCTCGAATGAGGAGATACGAGATTCGGTGGTTATGCGGAAAGAATGTGGGTTTATGACGCTTAAGTAGTTTGCAAGGACAAGGCGCTGTCTCTCAGAGGCCTTTTGGAGTATTTCTAGCTCCTCGCGGACTAGATAGATATCCTGTAGTAGGCGTCGGTGGGGATTTTGACTCGCTTTGAATTGCTAAGAACATATATATCTGTTAGTAACATTGAGATTAGTGGTAGGGATCTAGCAAGGGATACTAACCAGATTGCGGACGTATTCACGATAGATTTCGAGCAAGTTGACCGGATTGCTTTGCGAATCTCTGCAGCGGATGTCACCCATGATAAGGGCGAGGACTAATCCAGGACCCACGGCTTCGTAGGTCACGACATCGAATAGCTCGTCAGTATAGGTCATCAAGACAATGTCTCTCATGGCACTTTCCATAGACATCTCTGCCTCTGTCCCAGCATCCGTGATCCCATCCACATCTGACGACTTCAAGAAGGTTGACACCGGGTGGGCACCTGTGTAAATCTCTCGTTTCTTATGAGAATTCTTGACGAGATGCGCACTGGTCACGACCATCATCAAGAGATCCTGGAAGGCATCAACCAAACTTGATGGGATGCGGTACGTGTCCCGGTCAAACTCTCCATTAGCCGACACCCCGTGCTGGATCTGAGCTGCCATTCTTTCCAGGCTTGTTAGAAAGTCTTTCAACTCGTTGATGATTATGTGGTCATCTTTCCGACATATGTATGTCATATACTCTTCAAAGTCCATCACCCATCGTGATTGCCAGCCGTTCACCGAGCGTTGTTCAGGGAAAGCTGCGCTAACGTGCGTAAACAGATGGTCGATGGCATCCGATCGGGTGGAGTATTGGTGAGATGCAGCACATTTCCGGCAATCCCCGACGATGAAAGTCAGTACGTCCGGGTCGACGTCCTGTTGAAGACCAGCATCATCAGTGATGCCGATATTGGCTACGAAGAAGATCTCTGGCATCTGTTGATGACGTGTTCGGTCGATCCGTTCCTTCATGTGAGATGCGTCCCAACATTGGGGGATGGTCTGCAAATCTGGGCATTAGAAGTTGTAGGACTGGAGGGAGTGGATTTTCCTCACGGTGAGAAGATCGTGAACCGCCCCCAGAACTTGCTGCTGACAGCACATGGATATGAAAGTGGTGCAAAGAAGCTGAATAGTCGACATAATCTACCGACAACATCTTTCAAGGCCGCCGTTTCTGGAGGAAGCAAGTTGGGGACAATCTCAGCATGTTCTGTGATCAATGCAGGAAGAGAAACAGCATATCTTTGTGTGATGGCCAGATCCACATCAAAATAGGACTTTGTCGTCGCTTGCCTATAGACTTCCCAACCATCTCCATCAGTAGGCTCGAGGAGCCCGTTGTTGATATGCGCTGAGACGTGCTTTATTGTCTCCTCATCCACGCCCAAAAACTCAGATGTCTCATTTGGAGACTGAATGTTCGACTTCAGATGATCCGGGCTGGGGCTATCCAGAGGGGTGCTTGATTTTGAGACTGTGTTCTCTTTCATCGATGATTTTTTTCTTGTCTGCCAGGTAAAGACTGGTGGGAATTCCAAGTTGACAGTCAGTCGACGAGAAGGGGAAGAGACCTGGGAGGCAGATGAGTTTGTGGGTGAGGTTTCGGATACCGTGGAATGATGGCCGTGATCAATATGCGCTTCCGCATCTGCTGCCTTGGGAAGAATATCTTGATCAATAGACTCATTATCCCAAGAGAGAACAGGCTTGGTTGGTTCGAAGTAAACGTTCAAAGGATCGGATATGTCGTCACCACCTGCAGGTCTCTGGTTGATTACCACGCCGGGGAAAGATGAGAGAGATCGCACCCTGGTGGCCCGTCGCAATCGATGCCTCGCTCCAGTATAACGCGCCTCATCTAGCCTGTTATATTGATAGTCCCAATCCTGTTGGGAATCCGCGGTGGACTCCTCCGTCTCCTGTGGAGCTTGTTCATCTTCATCTATCTCTGGTTGAACCTGTTCATCTGTCTCAGGAGAATCATGCTGATTTTTCTCCCACTCATCGCTTTTATCTGTTTCAGATGGGCCCTGTTCATTTCCCTGTGCGATTGAAGACTCCTCTTCGAAAACCGGCATTCTCCACCTTTTCGTTGGTTTCTGCTTATCTCGGCGCTCCTCTGAGCTCTCCGGTATGAAGATCTCAATGTGAATGCGAAGAAGTGTTGATGCACATGCGGCTGTTAGTTTGGTCCAATCCTCTGCGCTGATTGGAACCTTTTCTTGGGTAAGCATTTTAAAATCATATAGGCCTTCGCGCCTGTGAGCTCCATACACGCGAGTTTCAGAGCCACGGCCTTCATACCCACGGCGTTCATACTCGCGGCCTCCATACTCGCGGCCTTCATACTCACGGCCTTCATACCCACGGCCTCCACCTTCATACTCGCGGCCTCCATACTCGCGGCCTCCATACTCGCGGCCTCCATACTCGCGGCCTCCATACTCGCGGCCTCCATACCCACGGCCTCCACCTTCATACTCGCGGCCTCCATACCCACGAGCTTCATAACCACGCCCCTTGTACCTGCGGTCTTCATACCCATGGTTTTCAGAGACACGGTCTTGATATCCTCCATATTCACGACCTCCATAATTGCGGCCTTCGAGCTCCGGCAGGCAATATCTGGAAATCCTGTCTCTCATCGCCTGATCGATAAACATTAACACTCTAGGTCACAGATATGGAGCCATAAGGGGAAACAGGTGCCATACAAAGAATGTCTTGCAATGCTCCACAGGAAAGAAGAACACACGCTGATCGGGGTTGATGACACAAATATTGGAAGGGGATAATAACTGGGTCGCTGGGGGGCCCATGATTTCCAACGAGGGACTCGCTCCATCCATAAGAGGTATGGGTGCACTGGTAATGATGACTTCTATTGTCGATAGTTGTCAGTATTTTGTGATTAGATCGTGAGAAAAGGTATCCACGAACGAAAATTGACAATCACTGCCCACAATTCGGAGACATGAACAATATGGCCCTTCGGAAATACTCCTGATTTTCGAATTACTTGCTGCATATCGCGGTTCCTGGTAGACTCTAGGTTGTAAAAATACTGTAGTAGGCTGCGCGTGGAATGGCCGGACTTGCGAAAAGATTGCGCTGGATCCATTCTCTGGGTTGAATAGTAAGGAAGACGGAGGAAGATGGCCGACTTTTCGGTATGGTCCTTGGTCGAATTGGAGCCAACACAGCGGATCACAGTGTGTGGCTCACTCGATCCAGGGAGATTCCGCTGTGCTCGCTTGAGGAGAGACACGACGAGAGCCCTATCTTCATCTGCCAAATTCGGCACGTTTGATGCAAAGCGCTGTATTGTCAGTAAAAATCTCAGTCTAGTACATGAATAAGATAAATACCAGGAAATCATCAAAGCTCTTCGTGTCGGTTTGCATATGGCTAATGCTCAATGCTGGAATGAGTATATCTTCGAACTAATGATCAGGCGGTCTTTAAACTCACGTCCATGAGAACTGAGGGTCCTGCTCCTCGTTGGTTGTCGCATCCGTTCGATAAAGAACCACTTTTCCATAACCGGGCATCCGCGAACTAGCGAAATCAAGCCTTTGGCCGGCATGTCCCCGGTGGGATGGGTCAGATCTGAATCCGCCTAAAGTTTGCTTGACAGTGGACGCTTTCAGACCGACATCAAAGCTAAGCGGTACTCCGAATGATACACACTTGGGCGGCTGATAGTTCAAATTCCGGTTGAGATGAAAGGGATCATATGGATTGAAAGGATTCACGTCCTGCCAGGGGGTTGACTCTCTATGAGTCTGAAATACTTGGCCTTCCTGAAGGCGTCTTGTGTGTGCAAAAAGCGCATCTTGGACTTCTTCGCTGATGGACCGTTTGATCACAATATAATCTGAGTCCGTCTATATTTTGTCAGTATTTTATATAGATCTTTGGTATGTATTTGACTAGCCTCAGAAAATTCAAATGGCAGATTATAGGCGAAGAGTGTTTCTGGAAGCAATTGCTTGCGATGGATCTTTCAAAGGTCAACGCATTAGATCAAGCGGCCTTGCAAGTGGGGATGCTGATTACTTTTGTCCAAGTCGCTCGATTATCGTTCTGGTCATATGCATATTAAAAGCTATTCATCTTCAGATGTTCCTATTATTGTACCTGGTACTGAGTATTCTCCTCTCTTATTGGGTAGCCCTCTTGGTAGCTCCCATAACTCTTGCCGTCTCTGATCATGTTGTAATTGCGTAGGAACTGAGGTAGGGAATGTTCTAGACTTTGGCCAGTGTAATTCTCTCCAACACTCTAGTAAAATCTCAAGTTGACGGTGCCACGTCACTTTCGTGTTTTACGACATTTTAAAGGTCTGTGCGGCAGAATACGAGGTTGACCTTCCCAGGCTAAGGAGTTGACTATTCTCACCTCTCCTTTCCCTTCCGATAATCGGCGAATTGTTTCGAAGTTACCATTCAAAGTCGAGTTAATCATAAGAGAGTTGTAATTGGAATTTGTGAGCCTTAAGCGTAGCTCACCAAGTCTGTATTTCCTTCTTTGGATAGTGTTTAAAAATATCCCGAAACAACTGACACTAAACTCACCGCTATCTCAATATCAGACAGTGGGAAGTCCTTCCATGTTTGTAAAAGATGGGGTTTGTAAGAGATTTCACATAATATCTTCATAAAAAAGACAAGCGGCCTAAGGCGCCACACAAAGAGAAGTAATTGAGAGAACAACATTTTTGACGCTTATCCGTATGCTATCTACGGAGTATACCTCAACTAGTTCTCGTCTCTTTGGAGCGTTAACAATGAATGAAGACTAGCGAAACCCCTGTGAGACCAGCAGCATCGCTCTAGCTGAGAATCTCATGATTTGTGGCATTCTTCATGTTTTTTATTGAGCAATGATTCTTGCCTCCACCTTGCGGACCCCTCACGCAATGTTCAGCTTCGATTTTCCGGCCATTTTGCTCGCAGCGAGAGCGGCGGATAGCCCGAACTGAGATGCAACCCCGTTGATGCGGTGGGTTGAGTTCAAGTTCTTCACAACAACGATTTGGTAGCAAGTCGCACTACCTTGACGAGAAGCGATGACAGACCAGGCGAGGAAGAGCTCCCAGATCTATTCCATATTAGATCCTATCAAGATCAGCAGATAGGAAAGCACTCACCCTGAACCACCGTTGGCCATACTTGGCCTTGATGGTGTCGGCATTTCCAAGCCAATTGCGGTACCATCTCCAGAGAGTTCCAGAATAATGTACTCCAACGGTATCGATACTGGTGTTTACCATGGTCAGTCCGGTCAAATTCAATGTGCGAGATTCTCCTATAACTCACCTTTTAATCTCAAATCCAGCCCGTTCCAAGCACAGCGTATAGTACCACAGAGGAGTGGACGCATCCGCGCCACGGAAGATGTACTTGTTCAAAAACAGCCCCCAAATCAAATCCTCATACTGCCATGTCTGGCGAAGACCGGAGAGCTGCACATACATGGCACCATCATCCTTCAGCATATCATAACATTGGCGGAAGAAGGTGGTGAGCTTCTTGATACCGACATGCTCGCCCATTTCGAGCTGTGTGATTTTATCGTACTGGGAACGAGGAATATCACGGTAATCCATGCACAGGATACGACTCTGCGCTTCGGTAATTCCAGCCTTTTGGAGAGCATCGTTACCCCAGGCGGTCTGGTGGCGTGCAATGGTGAGACCGGTCACCTTCGCTCCATAGTTGAGACTTGCGAATTTCGCCAGGGTTCCCCATCCACAGCCGATATCCAACATAGTCTCGCCTTCTTTAAGGCCGATTTTTTCGCAGACAATTGCCATCTTGTTATCCTGCATTTCCTCTAGTGTTTCCTCCTTGGCCGTGTCGGAGATGATACCGGAGGTGTAGATCATGCGGGGACCAAGGAACCAAGCATAGTGGTCGTTACCACGATCGTAGTTTGGACGTATCTGCTCCTCGTCTTGGTCTTTCGTGTGAAGCAACACGTCGCGAGCGAAGGTCAGGAAAATGTACTTGAACAGCTCCCAGGTCATGCCGAAGTGCGCCCAATCATGGCGGTATTCCAAGATATCGAGAGTATCTCCGTTGAAGTCGACCACGCCATCGAGATACATTTCACAGAAGGTCTGCATAGGGACACGCTTCTTCCCATGCCATTTCGCACGGTCAGCCTCGTGTTTGAACTTCAAATACTCTTCTATCGGTCGCCCTGGCAGTTTGACCTTATCGTGCACGCGAGAACCATAGGAGGATGTCCATGTCCAGTACCCGATAAGAATCGGCACAGTCGTAATTAGACCAAGAAAGATAGTCGTCTTCACTCGGCCGCCAAGTAGATAAGCGAGGACAGCCGGGACGCCCACAAGGAGACCGATGAGGAGGGAATTGGAGAAATCGTGATTGCCAGCACCTTCGGCTGGCAGAGGCGGATTGTGGATAGCCGCCGACTGAAAAAGTTAATTAGCTAGCAATTGGCCACAGAGAAATAATTCCGAGACTGACATCTGTGAGGGGGATTCCACAATTCTCAGGGGTTCCGAATTGTGAAGGTTTAGCTGGTGGGGTTTGGATGAAATCAATATCGCTGCCGAGATCAGGGGACGCCATTGCGGCTGTAGGCAGAATTTTCTCTGCTAGCTCTTGTCCGCTCTCTAAATGGTGGGCGAAAAGTCAAGGATACAATATGAGAAGATAGACAACAACTACGACGCCCCTGCCTGCACCGAGTCTTGGCTTAACGCGAGAACCGCGGCCCGCGGACCCCGACCATACATACTCCATTATGACACAGCCCTGGGAGTGATCTGCAAGGGGCTGCCGCTGAACTGGCCAATAAGATGTCCCAATAATAAAAATAATCGTGCCGAGGTGTACATTGAAATTCATAATATTATGCATTACTGCGTATAGTCTCTGTTTTCAAAGTCCAAAATCTATGTAATCAACTCTTCAATAATATATAATCCGTAGATATAAAGTATATAACGTATATGAATTATCCATTAATTATGATGTTCTATCATTAGGTCTATAATTTCGTTACCCCCAGATTATGTCCAATCGGGACTTTCCATCTCTCCACCAACCAATTTTAGGCTTCCCAACATTCTAACATTCTCCATGAAGAGAAAGAAAAGAAACAAAGTGCTCCTAGTTCCGGGTAAGTCTTGCACGCAGTCCCGCCCCAAAGAAGTAGAAGATATACGGAATGAAAACCATGGCAACCCCAATAAAAGCAAGCAGCCAAGAAGCCCACTGCAATCCAAGGCGATGATACATCTGTGTAGTGAATAACGGGAAAGCGGCTCCACCACCAGAGCGCAGGAAGACCTTGGCTGCTAAAGCTGATGCAGCGTACTTCTGGTACGAGTCGATGATGTAGTTATTCACTGCATAGTAGCATAGCACCATGCCAAAGCCAAAGGCAATTCCCGACGAAGCAGGTCCAACCCAGATAATATGCTTGTAGGAAGTAGCACCCAAGATGAAGAAGGCGATCGGGATAAAAGGTGCGCCAATCAAGGCTGCGTGGAGTCGGTCCTCTGGTGTTGGAGGCCGCATGCTGCAGATTTTTCGAAACTTGTTCTCAATGGCTGGAGTGATAACTAAGGCAAATCCGGCGCCGATCAGAATGGGAATGAACATAAGTCCGATCTGGCCGTCGTTGTAGCCATGGAGTTCGGTGAAGATCACCGGGTATGCGAAGAAGAAGGCGTAGAGCATTGCGTAGATCAGGACAATATACATGCACATGAGGTCGAGGACAGGCTCAGTCATGATCATAGTAATGGGTCGGATCAGACTTGTGCGAGCGATTTCTCGGAACGTGAGCTTGGTCTTTTCTTGCTCGGTGATGATGGTTGGGTCTCCGGTTTCTTTGCGGAGTTTTGCGGCGCGGCGCTTAAGAATGATTGGAGCATACGTCTCCGGGATAAGGCCAATCATGATAGTTATGGCACCGGCGAAGGCTAGGTTCACCCAGAAGAAGAGGTCGAGGCGGCCACTACCGACGTTGATCCAACCTGTCACAATCGGACCAAGCACAGGGCCACAGTACGGTGCAGCAGCAAAGTAAGCAATGGCCATTCCGCGCTCCTCAATGTTCCAGACATCGGCGATGGTACCACCAGCGAGTGAAAGGCCTGAACTAGAGAAGACGCCACATAGGAATCGGCAGACGAGCAGGCCACCTATGTTTGGGGACAGAGCGCATGGGATGTTGAAGATGACATATAAACTGAGAGAGATGATGTACACAGGCCGCCGGCCGATGATCTCAGAGAGGGGAGACCAGAGTAGAGGACCAACAGCGAATCCACAGACCATGATTGAACATGTCAGGATTGCAACTTCGAGAGAGACATTGTATTTTTCTTCGATCAGACCTAGTCCTCCGGTGACGATGGAGGAACCGAATGCGACACACACCACGAGTGCTGAGGCGACAAGAGTGATGTACCAGCGATAGGTGCGAGACCAATTGTGGGGGTGTTCAGGATCACCGATGGTGAATGTTACAAACTGCGCGGGTTCCTTTCCTCCTTTTTCAATGTCGGTGTCGGCCTCATTTGCTGGGGTGCCAACTTTTGTGGATGGGGTAGAACCACGGGATCGGATCTGCTCCAGGGTTCTTTGGGGAACAAGACCAGTACTTGTTTCAACAGTGTACTCCTCAGGGAAGACAGGGTCCGACTCATGTCCAATAGCTGGGTAGTTGAAGTCCAATGGTCGGGGGGTTTCTTTGATGCCCTGGTTGCGGAGGGTCTCTGGTGTTTCAGTCATAGATGGGCGCCGAGGATGGAATGGTTCTGGGGTTTCTGACCCTTCTTCCGGTATCGTTGGAGCCATAATTAATGTGGGAGCCTATAGAGATGAGAGGACTTTTGAGGATATTGGAATGATTCCAGATACTTGAAGGTGACATGGCAGATACTTATACTCCAAAGGAGACTTGAGATAGTCAGGTACATATACTTCAGTTGCCGAGCCATCTCCGAGATATACCGTACCATCACCGGAAAGTCGGCATAGCAGAAAAAAGCTCACTAAGCCAGTCGCGATGTGATCGGGAAAATCTCGGTCTAAGCGATCGCCGAGGGCGTCAGTACCTGGGTGCAACTAAACCAGCTGAATCCTGCCTTGTTTATTTGCGATATCGCTGCCGATATTCCGAACCGCGTTTAACGTCTCAAGCCTGATGTCATTAGGCGTTTTAAATAATCCTCTCTCGGCCCGTGAAAGCCTCTAGTTGAACGAAAAACTTCGTCCTCGTATTACTATGACGCAAACGGACCCCCTTTAGGCCCCACAATATAAGCACTACTAAATAATCACTCTCTATGTAAAGACTGTGGGATGTGTATACTAATTTGTATAATGGGAGCCCCAGTCGGTTCAATATCAAAATGCTAAATCCTGGGCATGCTGAAGATACTAGTAGGTCTAATTATGCTACCAGCTAGTTCTGTCTCGAAGGGATGAGTGCATTCATTACAAGATTCTAAGTACAAGGAAGAGAAGAGAAAGGAAGAAAAGGAATCGTCGGGTCGAGACCTTTTATCCAACTCCCAAAGTGGTCGCGACCAGTAGAAAACCGAAAAGATCCTTGTCACGTGCAAATAGCCTGCAAGTCCTCTAGATCGTCACATAAAACACCATTATACCATTGAATGCAAAGTTAATCTATGGAGAAGTTCCGAGACAATCTTGCCAAGTGCCTAACATAACATTACTGTGTTGGTGCGCCCTAGTCAACTATCAATGTTCAAAATTAGGTATCTTTTGTATTCGCGTGTCATACAAAAGGTACAAAGGGTTTCAAATTCACAACTTACATTTTACTCAACCCTCGAACTAGTTAAAAAGATAAGCAAGAGTGGTAAAATGGTCTATGATATAACTATTATTAGACTGTTCTAACACTAAGATTAATTGGAAATAATGTAAGAATGTAAGAACACATTAAAAAGACACAATATATAAAGATTATATGTACTCCGTAGAACTTGAATGTTTACTTTCTTTATACTCAATATTTCTACTTAATGTTAGTACCAAATCAGCTAAAATCCCTCTAAATAATATATCTAGACCCTATAATTTCCCTATCTATATCGCGAGTTGAGAAAAATAGAATTTCCGACTTTTGAACTCTTTGTACCTTTTGTATGATATACCCATACAAAAGATACCTAATTTTAAACACTTATCGTTAACTCGGGCGCACCAATACAGTAAAGGTGTGTTGGGCGCTTGGCACGATAATGAGAAAGTTGTGTGCAGCTGGCCCAATTAATCGTCCGTAGTGGACCCATGATCACTAAACAAAACTCGCCCAATGCCCCTGAGATCCCCATGTGCAAATCATATTTGCCTACCATCATTTGCCTTTGATAGACGCAGAAGGCCTCGGTCATCGAGCCATTGAACCGAGGTGTGACTACCTCCGAGGGAAATGGCGGGGTAAATTTCTGTCCCCATCTGCATAACAATACTTAATTCTGGATTATCACCTGTATATTTATGTACCACGTACCATATCTTTTCCGCGCGTCTACGGTGTCTTAAAATACTTCAGCCAATCCAACTCTCGGCCACAACTATGGCGACAACTCTGGCGGAACATGTATCGCTGCAAAAAGTTCATGATCATTATGTTTCCACGCACCATCCCCAAAAGATGGGGAATTCGGCACCCATCGCGTACGGAGGATACGCTATCGCTCTCGCCATACACGCTGCGTCTAAGAGCACCCCGGATGGATTCCACTTGTACTCCGCGTTTGGACACTACCTCCGACCAGTAAGCATTGCAACCAATGTGATATGCACGCCTGTGAAACTCCGCCAATCGAAGAGTTTCATAACCTACCGCGTCGCCGTTGAACAAAATGACCCATCGACTGGCCGAGTACACCTATGCATGGAGATGCTAGCCGACTTCCACAGAGATGAACCGTCAGTCCTCGCATTCTCCAGTGAACCCACTCGGAGTTACAGTCACTGGCGGGACTGTGTGCCCTGGAACCAACTCGTGGAGGACTGGGTCAAAGCTGGGAAAATCTCAGAGCCACAGTTCAGAGCTTTTAACACTCTATTCGGACTATCCCGGGACCTCTACGAAGGCCGCCCCTGTCCGGAAGGAATTACCACTCAAAATATGATGGGGTTGGCCAAGACCGTCAAAACCAGCCAGGAGGAATTGTCCCCAACAGCAAAGTCGTCAGCTGACTGGCTTCGAGTCAAACACCCTCTACAGACAGATGGGGAACAAATGGCCAGCTTGGGGTTCATTATGGATGGTGTTTTGTCGTTTTTACCTTTGGCGCACAACCACATGTTCTTCGAGGACGTTGGTGTGTGCTCGAGCTTGGATTTCGCTCTCCGTGTCTTTAAGCCGCAGCCCAAAATGGATGAGTGGCACTTGAGAGAGGTGATTAATCACCATGCGGGTAACGGCCGCACATATAGCGAGAGTAAATTGTGGGACGAGGGAGGGAATTTAGTGGCTTCTATGACACAGCAGTCGATTTTGCGAGTTCCTACCAAAGCCGCAAGGATGTAAAGTTAGCTATTATTTACCCTCATGTCTTCTTTTTGCTCTATAGAATATGAGATATCCAAGAACGGACTATATTTATTTATTATATGGTAGAATTCCTTGGGCGACCATGTCACATCTTACCATATGATGTTTTCCCTTCTCTTTTTCTTTTTCTTTCTCTTTCTCTTTCTTACTTTAACCACCATTGCACACAATCTCCAGGTGGATATATATATCTCATCGGCCATACCAGCTATAACGGATTCTCAAGATCTTCAAATAGACAGCTCCAGGAAGCAACTCAAGTGCATTTACACAATCCACGCGCATGGAGAGCATTACTTGGGTACGCCAGTTACATACTTTCCGGGTGCCACTAGTATCTCTACAACCTCTGTGGCAGCAGCTATCGAAGCAACGTTAGCTACAGCCATCCCATGGTGGGAAGCAGCCTTTTTGGGATTTGACGTCATCCACTCCGATAAAAATGCCTCCTCCTTCTTGTATATACCGAACATTGGGCTAGTCATGGCCTTACGGCGACTGTTTTCAATTTTTGGTGGAAGCCACGACGCCAGAGGAGTGGAAGAATTGGCTCAATGCCCTTCATCATATCGCAGCCTTGAATCCGAATATTGTTGTTCCGGGTCATAAGCGGGCATACCAGGCTGATGGCCCGTATTTGATTGAATCTACTCGGCAGTATATTCTTGACTCCAAGGAATTGTTGAATTGATTGAGTGATCCGGATCAAATTGAAGAGGAGATCGTGAAGCAGTATCCGCAGCGATGGAGTCGGTACCTTTTGGGACCGGAGTTGTAAGAGTTCTGTTGCTGCTTTATAATTTGATTTTTGTGTCAATAACATCAGGATGATCTTGTGCCTTTGCCTGTTTTACTCAGAGTGTGACTATTTGCCTCGAAAAAAAGATACTCAATTAGGACCCCATGGGCGTGGCTGAAAAGCTGCCGAGATGGCAGGCCAGATTTAATATTATAGACATAGACTAAGCCGTCCTCTTTACCACAACAGAAAACTTCGCCACTCTCGTGGCATGCTAGTGATGTGATCGAAATATCATCTTCAGACGGTGTCAGGCTGATTTCTTGCAGTGCCTGTGAGATCATTGCGACATCTCTTGACTCTTCATCCTCATCCTCGCTCTGCCCTACAAGGACAATGGGGCCCCAAACGCGGCATCGCGACCCTCTGATGTCAAGCAAATGTATGTCATCTTCACTGAAAGCAAGATCTTGAATACCAGGCTCAACTGAATGGATACGATATACCAGATGCATTGTCTTGATGTTGAACAATTAGATGGTTCCAGATGGATCGGCAGTAGCCAAGGTCGAGCCATCTGGTGAGCAGGAAAGGGAATATATAAAGGCCACGACCCCCTTCTTGATCTCGCCCGTGGAGATATCAAATAGTACTAGCTCCCCATCTCCATATGCTGAAATGAGATTGGACTCATTGCGATCTGACTCCGGCTGAGCTATATGGCCTCCCGGAGCCAAAAGATGAAAACTCAGCTCTATCGTCGTCCAGTTACAGCGGCATTCAGCATGGGCGCACACCTCTTGGCCATCACATACAAAGGTCAAGACATTTTGCTTTGGGAGCTGGAGAGCGATTCTCTCTACGATATCAACAGCAGAGAGCGAGCGCGATTCGTCTAGGGCTTTAGTCTAATCTAGGTATGCCTTCAAATCCCCAGTGCTCAAGTCCCAGATTTTCAAACGATGATCTTTCATAGCTCCGAGTAGGAGCTGGTCAAAGTGGGAACGTGTGAGTGCCATACACTGTTGAGGTACGTCAAACCTCCATAGTTGTACTTTTGAGGCCAGATCCCATATACAGATACTTTTTGAGCCAGCAGAAACAAGGATGTTTTCCGTGTCACCAAACTTCAAGAGACCCACAGGCTCTGTAGAGTGCAATATTCGAGCAAACAACTCGTTCATGTCGGTAGGAATTTCTTCCAGAATCTTCTCCACATCGGCAGAGGTATGAAAATCTTTTAGTTCCTGAAAGACGAGGGTAACCCATAAGAAACAACCCCTAGACTTATCTAAAATATGGTGAACTATACGTTGCCGGCTTTTCTCATCAACCGAGGGAAGCTCGTCTATATTTGCGTCAAGTTACAATGCGATGTCAGATTTGGTATCCTCTTCCAGGATATACTCATAGAATACCCGAATGTTTGAAACACCAATCTCCGACGAGGCTTAAATGAGTTCCGGGAAGTCAAAAATATGCCCAAGGAGCATAGTTTGCTATCTTCATGAGTATGGGAACAATTTCAGCTTCGTTCTTACACTCATCAAGAGCATCAATCACCCAAAATTGAGGCTGTTCGAACGTGATTTTGAGAATGTCGTCCAAAAACAATTTGCGCCATATCTGCTGTAGTCGGCCTTGCTTAGTTGGTCGTGCTGTTCACAGATTTCCCAACCCCCCATTGCCCCACATTAGCATGGTCCCCCTCCGAACGAGGTCCCCACACCCTCCTCCACACTCAGCATCCAGTTCCACTAACAAGCACCGATTCATATCACTTCGTTCTCTATATATATGTGGAATTAACTGGTTCCGTTCATTTTCTTGATAATGGCAATGGAAGTCTTGCATGTTATGACCCCCGCAGAATGGGGTCAGCCAATCGACGTTGAAGCAAAGTGGATCGATTTCGTTGACGACAACGTCAAAGCAAGTAAGCTCGTAGTTGCTAATTCCACGAGGTTATGGGCTTTGCTAAATGAGATCAGAGTTACCTCCAGGTGCTGAGATTGACGGTATTTGTCCCCATGGAGCTAGCTACTGGACGAGGACCGCCGAGATCTCGACGCGGATGGCAGACGGCACATCGCCTTCTTTCTTTCTGAAAGTAGGTAATTTCCGAGAGAGCAACCTTGGGCTGATATAAACATCTGTGCTAGGTATCCCAAGGTGACACTGGCTGGGGCATGGTATCTGGGGAATATGCCTCCATGAAAGCTTTATACAAAGTTTTGCCCCAATTTGTCCCGATTCCAGTTGGATGCGGCACATATGCATCCAATCCAAACGTTAATTTCTTCATCTGTGAGCTCATAAAGATGACAGACAATATTCCTGAGATCCAAGCTTTCACCAAAACCCTTGCGGAGCTGCACAAGAAAGGGATATCGCCAACCGGGAAATTCGGATTCGATGTTCCTACTTACAAGGGCACGATTCCCCAATACACAGCCTGGCATGACACATGGGAAGAATCCTTCCATCATTCTCTCAAGTGGTTTGTTCAGGCTGAAGAGAAGTCTCAAGGCCCCGATGAGGAAATGCGAGAGCTTTGTAATGGCATATTCGACAAAGTCATTCCGCGCTTGCTCCGACCATTGGAGACTGGAGGCCGTCAGATTCAACCTCGTCTCATTCACGGTGACATCTGGGCCGGTAACGCGTCGATGAATGTAGATACCAACTTGCCCGTCATATACGATGGTGCCTGCCTATATGCCCACAGCGAAAGTAAGTATTAGAGTGCAAAGGAAGCGAATGAAGATACGCATGAGCTAGGGGCTGATTAAATTTAGTGGAGATGGCGGCTTGGAGACCGATACGTCACTTAATTGGGAGACAGTACATGAAGGCATATTTCAACCACTTCCCAATGTCCGCCCCAGAAGAAGATCAAGATGATCGCAACTTGCTTTATTATCTGTAAGTGGCTTCGGTTCAACTCCATATATCGCTGATCTGCTCAAAATTTCATGCTGACATAAAACAAGTCGATGGGACCTCAAAAGCTCGGCCTTGTTTTCTGGTAATCTTCGATATCGAAACATGTACGATTGCTTTCTATGCCCATGATTACTGCGTTAAAGATATCTGACAAGGTAACAGGGCAAAAGTGACAATGAGGGCTCTCATTGCTAAATTTCCGGAGGGATACGAAGGGTGGGTAAAGGAGAAAGGAGAAGAGCCTGTCCAGCGAGTGATATGCCAAAAACCAAAAATTTCCAACCCCTAGGCAGAAGTAGTGGGTGAACTTCGCCATGTCTCCAAATTAAGCTTTCTGGGGGAATCCCATACCAACCAATATCGCCGGCTTAGAGATGTTATGATGCGCATAACTCATGATTCCAATGGCGCCTGGCTCCATCATCATAGTGAAAGGAAATTCCATTGGGTATTTCAGCCATCTCTTTGTAAAAGCACGAAGGATATGGCCATGAGCGATCTGAGACGACTATTAGCATGAAGGATAACAAGGTGCAAGGCTAAACAAAAAAGGATTACATACTATTAAGACGTCCGCAGCAGCGCCGCCATTCATGTGTGGTTTCTGAACATCGTGTATCATTTGAATAAGACGGTCTAGACGCTCCCTGACCTGATCTGCGGACCTAGATTATATCAACGAAGCCATCTCGCGGAAGACAAACAAAAAAAACATGAAAATTGTGGCGAGACTCACTCTCCACCCTCACACCCATCTCTCCAGATATCCCAGGCCTCGCTGGTATCCAACCCTTTTTCTTTCCTCTGCGAACGAATTTCATGCGGCTTCAAGCCCTCGTATTCGCCATAATCCCACTCCGCGATATCCTCAGTGATAGTAACCTTCCCTTCCTTCACAAGTTCGGCTTTCTGTGTGTCCCCGAGCAACAAATCGAACGTGGTCTGAGCGCGCTGGCGTGGGCTACAGAAGACGTGGGCGATTTTCGACGGATCTATGAGCTTTCCAGATCCGACAAGCATCTCACCAGTCCCTTGAACTTGGCTGATACCATTTGCTGTGAGTGGGATTTCTGACTTGCCCGTGCATCGCCCGTTGATTGTCCACTCAGTCTCACCTGTGGAGGAAGGATTTAGCTTCAACATTTTCAATGTATAGGGATGACACCTATCATGGCGGCTATATAAACTCTCGGTGTTGTTGCGTCCTGGTCTGACATTTTCGAGGTGGAGGAGAATGGCCAAGTGGGGTTGGGGATTTACGACAACATGCAGAACACCATTCCTTTAAGAACGGGAGGGTGCGAGGTCCCGGCCCCCGAATTCGCCTTGGGTAGCGAGCGTGTGACAGTGCCCAATAGTCCAATCCCATTCTGGTATGGACTCATAGTTGTTGATTAAGCTAGTAACATGATTGGTATGGGACAAAAGTATTCCGCTGCCACTGTGCTAGGCTTTCCCTTTCACGGAGCCAATCGCAAAGGGTATCCAGCTTCAATGGATCGAAGCCAAGGAGAGGAGTGTTTTGATGCCAAAAATCCTACTACAAGTTATATGGAGTTTGAGAAATAAGACATGTCTACGGAGTACCCCGTAGGTGGACTCGATATCAGACTCGCCAAGACCAAAACATATCTTTGCAGAAATAGGGGTTGTTGGAGTACTAGCAAGCGCACGTGACTTTAGTGGACAACATCTGTGGTCCCAAGCAGAGTCTAGGGCCTAATATATATGCCGCTGCAATGACAAACAGATGTTCTGTTTGTCCTTATGATCTTTTGGCCTAGCGGTTAAATGATCTTATGTAATCACTTAGGTGTAGCGGCCTACCTAAGTAAACCTGCCGTCCCGGCAGGATTACACATCTTAGGTAGATCTCCGCGGGCCGGTATTCTATCCGGTATATCATACAAAAGTGTATTTACAATTAGTGGTTGTCCGATTTTGTCATATTGTACTATGTACTCCGTAGTAGTTAGATTTATGCCGATACATTAATATTGACCATACCATACATATGTACCTTGCTCTATACCAGACCTCTATCGACTTATATAGTTGAGCTCAATGCTCGTTCTAAAATACACACTCGATTCGCCCTCGGCTCTGTATTTGTAAGCTTCGGTATTAGTGGACCTTTTCACACTAGTCCTCCATGTGACAGATCCTACTTTGTAGGGTATTTATTCTTCCGTTTCATTTTACTTAAAATGCTTTCAAAAAACAAAAACATACAACAGTGAGGATTCGCTGGTGGTCACCCACCCAACTACTAACTCACCGGCGTGTGGCTTAAGTACGGCTGAGCGGACGGGAAGCCCTGTTTTCCACACCCTATGGTCGTATGTGTCAGAGTAAGGATTGGGAAGAAAGATAGAATAAAAATGGTTGGAAGGTCCTTCAGATAGGGAACTCCTGCGCGCAGGTCTGAGGCCACAACCCGGCCTCGAGGCACTAATTCTTCTTTTAGAAGGAAGTCCTATCGCGCCCTCCCGATAAACTTCACAAATAAACCGTGCTGCGGCGTAAACCAACGATTCTTAAACCCATATGTCTCCTCACTTACCAACGTCATCTCAAATCTCAGCATTAGAGACGGAATCACCTTTTTCATCTCCATCAAGCTGATCCAACGTCCGCTGCAGGTGTGCGCGCCATGACCAAAGGTGAAAAATGACCTGTTCATAAGCGTACGCTGGTCATCGCTTGTCTCTGATGACAGCCAACGTTCAGGGCGAAAGCTGTCGGGATCGGGAAACACTTCCAGGTTGCGGTGCAACACCCATGGGTTGATGCCAACCTCCGTGCCCTCGGCGAGATAGAACCCGCACAATTCTGCACCGCCGGCGGGGACGATACGAGCAAGCATCATGCCGACTGAAGGATGTAGCCGGAGAGCCTCTTGAATAACAGCAGCAAAATACGGCAATTTGTTCACGTCGCTGAATTGAACGGGAGTCTCCAGATCACGGAATTCGTCGTAGAGCTTATCATAAACGCGGCGGTCCTTTAAGATGTGGTAGAGGATAGAACGCAGCGCAATGGCAGTGGTATCGCTTCCAGCGGAAATGTTGCCAAATGCATGGGTCATGATCTCTCGGTCGTTTATAGATGATGGATCCTTGGTCTGGTTTAGGAGCAATCGCTGGAGAAAGGTCAAAGGCCCGCTCTCGGATGTATTCTGCTTGGCGGACTCGACCTGGGACATGGCGAGCTGCATCATTTCCTTATCGCTGCCGCCGCCCAATATGAAACTAGCTATAAATGGCTGACCCAAAAGAAATTTATGAATCCAGGGGATTTGCCCAAACTGTTGTAGCTCATGTCAGAACCGTAGTTTTGGGGCGAACGGGTGCAAGAAAGACTGGGACTTACGATTGCCATGTAATCAGCAACAGTTTCCAATATACCGTACATCTTCAGAACGTCGCCTTTTTCAATGTAGTTGAAGTCTCTCCCAAAGGTAACAGCAAAGACGGCATCCATGGCGTAGTCTTTTAATACGTTTGATACATCAATAGGCTCCCCTGCTTCGCGATGCAATTTGTTCAGCAGTCGGTCAGTCACTGGATCGATCCATGACTCCATCTGCACTAGTCCGTTCGTCGAGTACGCATTGGAAGCATTCCTTTTCATTCTCGTGTGCAGAGTCTTGACAGTTAGTATGGGTCATCAGGTACACGCGATGGGGCCGTACTTTGTCAGTCAGGACAAATGTGTCTGGAACTAAGCCCTCGTCATCGTATGTCGAAGAGAGGTTGTAGAATGGAGATTTATAAAATTTGGTTCCAATGCCGTATATTTTGTTGATCTCTGCAGGGTCGGCGATAGAGAGTAGATTTGGCGCTAGACGTACGATTTTGCCATATTTTCGGTGCAGCTGGATATCTTCATTGTGGGAATTGTTGTTGTAAACTGAGAGGATGCGGGGAAGGGAAGAAACCCCTCGCAGCCATGGCCCTGGTATCCTCCAAAGTCCCCTTTTGACGTAATTTTAAACAAGGTGCGTGATAACAGTCGAGACGAGCACCAAGATCCAGTGGACCTTCAAAAATGCCACCGTTTCCTGGATCATAGTAGTTACTTGCGGTGTTAAATTGAGGGCAGCTGGGTTGAAGTCAAGATATAGTTTAGAAGAAGTCGAGATATAGTTTAGAAATGAAGATATTGGAGAAAAAGAGAAGTGGAGGAGAAGAGAATTGTATCCCATTATGATCGCCATTGAGCACTCTCTGCTCAAATCTGAATAATAGAACAAGATGCATATGCTGGAATGAGGCCGATTGATCCCCCGCATTTGCTATCCTATGATTCCCATTTGTTGGAGTCCTAAAAAAATTATAAAAGACGACGGATCAAAGGAATTGACTTTCTAGGAGTGGATAGGGAAATAGCCGCGATATCTTTGTGGAAACTCTCACAGATGATTTGTTGAGCTTTTCCGGCTGGCCAGTACATTTCCATTTACCTTCCATATCAAGACTACTTGGGTCACCCAGTCGCGCTCTAGATACATATTTGGATATTGTTATGGATATCATACATGTGTGAAGCTGTCTATACGGGGTACTATAGATAAAGAAAACCTAAAGGGGAAACCCCCCGCACTACTAGTCATCCCCACCGCAACATTTAATTCACTGAGTCAATTGCCAGAATGTTCCCACCTGATGAAGGGAAGCGAAATTTGGGCCTACTTTCGGGTGCGTCTTTGATGGAATTGATGTGATAACGGTAGAATTGGCAAGATGTTGCTGGTCGGTCTCAGCCGCGCGAAGACGCCCGACTTTTACAACCCAATCGGCGCGGCACTGTATGAGTCGCTGTGAAGACCCTTCTGAGAGTTGGTTTCAAGTTATTTGTCCTCGTTCTCGATCTGCTTGCAAAATTCGATCTCCTGTGTGAATTCTTCAGAGGAGGGGTTTCATGCTGTAGACTTTGTAGCGTGTGCGGGATGTTGTGGCTAAAGTGGGGACGATTGACAACATGGTCGCCAGCTTCAATCTCTTCTGCAAGGTGAGGGATGTAGCAAAGTTTAATTTCGACATCAAACCAGTCTCTTCCGTAACGAAAGGCGGAATTTTTGGGCGTGCTGTAGGACAATGATAGCACTGTAGGTGCAATTGTGGTTCTCGCCAGTTGGCCTTATGGCTTGCCGGCGGCCCTGAACTAGTTGTTCACTATGACCCCCTTCGTAGCTCCCTGTATGGTCAGTGAATCTGTATGGCCCTCGCTCTGTGCTTTTCTACTGATATGTAATTCGAGAGATGGCCGGAGTAATCTGCAACCCAAGATGATACCTGCACTGGCTGCCCCGATGTGTATTGACTCGGCCCTTGATACCAAGGCCATTTATCATTGCCGATCCCATCACTCAGGTGTTTCCTTAAATCAATCAAAGTAGCCGTCAAAAGGACATCCGACAACCCAGAAACACGTGTCGGGGTGTATTCAGATCGTAAGTAATGCCGTATGAAGCCTTTGAATATGGGAAAGCAAGCGCGCAATGTATTATTCGTTGTTGTGCGCTATAGGCAGTGGGCTCAATCTTGTCGGCTTGGCGTCTTAAATCGACAGAACCTTCCTTGGGATAGCAGTAACAGCTGTTTCTAGACCGAGGTCGTGGATTACGCGTTGTGGTGGGCGTGTCGCGCTCGGTGCGGGGAGGCCCCCCTGGCCCCCCATCCCAACTTGATATTTGCCCTTGCTCTAGCATGGTACGAAAAAGATATTTACCATATCAATCGTTGCGGTAGCCATGCTAGGAATAAGTCTAGCTAAATTGCAAGGGCCATAGTCCATTTTAGTAGTACATGTAGGAGGCCTAGGAGTACGTACTTTTGTTGTACCCAATTGGTGAATGTCCTTGGGAAAATTGCAATGGCGAGCTTTCCGCTGATTAGCTGTATTTTTCCATCAGCAAAAGCAGAGTTATTCCGCCGTGGTATAGGGTCTTTTTTTCATCTAACTACATATAACGTCTCTGAGGAGGGGGTTGAGTCCAAAATAGTACCTTCACTACAGAGGTCATAAATTCCACTTAATGATAGTACCATTTACCTATCTGATTTTCGACAAAAATTGGACTCTATTAAGAATGAAAATAAGGAAAAAAAGTTTTATTCCAAAGATGGTTTCACTTGAATACTATCTGGCGAAAAAAACGCTGGTCTCTCATGTATTGGAGTGATCTCTGCCCCCACACATTCAGTTAAACCTGAGGGATTTCCTATGCTGCAGTCCATTGAAATTTTGAGTAAATTACCATGTATCATAGTTGGATTCGATAACCTCTACTACTATATACACCTCGCATTCCATTTTCAAGCACTCCTACTCCTCGACACCAGACACTTTGCACTGTGGGTCAAGGGATGGTATACCTAGATACAATATGTGTCTCGGATATCAATCCAAACACCGTCTCATTAATCCCCCAATCGGACAGTCACCGTTTTTATCTTGCGAGGCCATAGAGGCATAAGTGGGTATGAAGCTATTTGTTGTAAACTCGGGGAGATAAAGATGAGTGTCGTCCGTTGTGTAATTCTTCGGCGGATTTGTGGAATTCAACGCCGCAACAATCCTCCCACCAAAAAAATCAGAGAAAATACGATCCACCTTGTCTGGTTGACCGACTGGTGGAAGCGCAGCGGTAGCTTAAATATGAGCTGGTTGAGTGTATGGAGTGTCGCCATCATCACCAACATTATCGCAGATTGTATATCCCGGGGTTAAGGTATCCTTTTCAAGTACGCGAAGGAGATTTTTTTTTGGCTTGAGAAGCCCAGTCTCGATGCGAGGTGAGGGGCTGTTGCACTCATATTAACCTAGCATTTGACTTGAAATAATATCCACAGTCATCGATGGTTTGGTACTGACTTTCGGTTTGTTTACATACTTGAGGACTTTCGAAGCCAGCGAGTAAGGAGCGTCAGCGATGAATTTGAAGGTATTCGTGGGGCAGGGGATATAGGCTTCATCCACAGTAAATGGGCCCTGGACTAGGTCGTACCGACTGGCCCCTTAGTTGACAATGATCATCCTTGAATTTATTGAGCGAGCTGGGTCAACCACAGTCGCAGTAGCAGCATCTGTACCACGGTGTATATATGTTGCCCTCGTCGCCGAACGGTTTGCATGATATATATTGTGTCCGTGGCACGCAGCCGTACATAAAGGTTAAATTGAGACTGTTATCACTGTTGATAATTCCTTTGGTCACATTGAGTCCGATCGGGGTATTTAACATGCGTCGGGATCCAGTTGCGCTTTCCATTAGAATCGGGAAGCTGCTTTCACGCTTGGGGATTCCAGGTTTGACGGGGTTGTGTCCAATAAGCACAAAAAGATCAATATCCTGGCGATTGACTGCATCCTTGAACCCATCTTGCTGTATCATTTCGGAAGCTGGCTGAATCCTTGCCACTTCTTTGTTGTTGTTGGTCCCATTAAGGATCCCCCTAAAAGCCATGATTCGGAGGCCCTGCTTTGTTTTGAAATATCGAGATCTGCGGCCCATAGACACCCATCCTCATCCGCTACGTGGCTAACTTTATGCACCGAACAGGTCTCCTCCAACAGTTTCAACACGTGGGACTACAACACGTGGGACTCGATGAGGACGACGACGAGGAACAGGTGGGCCTTGCGGCAATGGACCTAGGTGTGGAAGACGATGGGTATTAGCCAATGACGAAAACAAAGCTGGGAAACAAGAAGCTCAGCCAATGTCAACAAAAAAGCCAGGCAACTGGCCATGAATAATACACCATCATGTATAACTGGAGCGGGGGGAGAATTTAGGGAGGAGGAGAGAGAGATAGGAGGGAGAGAGTGAGTTGGAAGGCGGAGGGTGCACTCCGCCGCATTCATTATATATATTTCTGGGTTCTTCGGGTTGTGGATTTAAAATATGCAGGAATGGGTTGATTTCACACTCTTTACAAGCCAGCCTCTGTATTTACTCTCGGGATTGATCTCAACTCGGCATTTGGCTTCGAGTTCTTGCTTCAGCTGGATGAAGCGCCTGCATAGTCATACGCAACTAGTTAGACTCCACCAGGTTGATTGAACATTGATTGATTCCCTACGACAATAATATATCTGTAGATAATTTCTTGATAGTGAATGATCGTGGAGGTCGTTGCTTGTTGGAGTGATATATCACGCTAGTCCTATTTGGTCTTCATTTTGTGCCCCTCCCACCAACCACCCCAAAGGAATATATGCAAGGAACTATCAAGATGCATGAGTCCTGTAGCCCTAACTTCCCCGGGCTCCGCACTTTATGCTCTTATTTTTGCCTCAAAAGTGGGACTATAAACTCCTAGTGTTGCCACTTTAATTCCATCAGCTCTACTCCGTGGCTCTTGCCGCTAAAAGTGTGCGGATGCTTTGATAATAGTGCGGAGTAGTTTACACCACATTTCCCATTTCTCCTCCATCCCTTTCACCTTGGATGACTACTCACTTTACCCCCCATCCACAAAGTATGCTATGGAATTTATTTCGTCACCTGCGACTAGCTTGTCTCGTCCCATAACCTCTTGTTTGTCGTGTCGTAGTCGGAAGGTTAAATGTGACCGCCGACAACCATTATGTTTGGTGTGCGAGAAAGGCAATTATGCCTGTTCTTACGTGTCGAAGCCTCAGTCGCCGGGGCTGGCCTCGGAATCGAACCGGATCACAAAATCTAGTAGTGCCGCCAAGATTTCTTCATCCACGCTAGCCAGAATCACCCCAAGTCTCCAGCGCCTTGGTAACTTCATGGCACAAACGGGAGCATATGAAGTACCAGAGCATAGTCTATCATCACTCAACTCTTTCAAACCCACAGGATCGACGCCTGCGCCCCATAATGCGACTTACTCACAGCCGCAATCGCAAGAAGATGCACTGATTCTCGATAACGGAGTGCCCCACTTTGTTTCCGGCAAACACTGGGCCTGGATGGCAGCAGAGGTTTGCTTCCGATTATGCTTCAAGCTTGCACCTATGCCAAGGAAGATAGGTACTAACTATGTCTCATCTGTTCTAGCTCCAAGACATTCAATCGGTTCTCGCAGAATCTCAAAATTCTTCACCCGAACAGGCGCTCGAAGATGTTATTTGGGATGCCGATTCCCCTGCATCTAGCGGGACTGCCTTCTGGCCCGATACACAAGAGGATTGCTATTTACTGCTCAATGTTTTCCTGGCCAATGTTGACCCGATTCACCGAATTGTTCATCGTCCGAGTTTGGCCCGTCGCTTTGACGCATTTGTTCGAACTCATTATCTTCTAGAGAATGATCATCACAACCACACCATGACGGGAAGCGATAGCAATATGGATTCCCATCGAAGTAATATGGACGCATTTGAGCCGCTGGTTATGTCTATTTTCTATGCGGCCGTCAACAGCATGAAAGACACCGAAATAGCCACTGTATTCGGCGCAGAGAAGTCCTACCTTTTGCACCGATACCGAAGAGGAACGGAAGTGTTTCTGAAACGGCAAAAATTTATGACCTCGAGGATCTTTGAAGTTTTGCAAGCATTTGTGATTTTTCTGGTAAGTTTCAGAGAGCAAGAAAAGAAAATCCCTAGAACCAAGCTAAAAGATATTTACACCCAACAGACCGCGCAATATCGGGAAGATGATATGGGGAAGGTATGGCCGTTGACTGGGCTGGCCATTCGGATGGCAACGGTGCATGGACTCCATAGAGACCCTTTGGCTCTACCGTTGGGGACAATCGATGTTGTACAGGTAGAGCTGCGTCGTCGCCTGTGGGCGCAGATCTGCTACTTGGATTTCCGCGCGGCAGAGGATCATGGGTTTGCGCCTTCGATTCATGAGTCGGACTTCGATACACGTCGACCCGTCAGTTTGGATGATGTCGATCTGATTGAAGGGGTCACACCGTCAGCCGCACTCTCCGATGTCCCCAAATTCACCGATATGACCATCTATCTCCTGCGGATCACTGCGGTCCAGTATTACGGGCGCATACTTCAGGTGACGCTTGCTTCGCGAAAGCGATTGCGCACTAGCCTTCATGGTCCTGTGGACGAGGCCGAATCATCAAGGGAGCTACAGGGCCTGTTTAATACTGCTCAGTCCCTCGCCAGTGAGTTTGAGAAGAATCTGGACGATCTCGTTTGATACTGCGATAAGAGGGTGAGTATGCAATCAATGGCCTTGGATTTGAGGGACCACTTAAAATCCAAATTCTGGGTCATGTTCTGGATTCAAATTCCTCGACAAGATCGCGACAAGGTCATCATTCCGGCCATGAGAAGAAGGTTAGCTTTTCGTTCACCTATCCCATTCATTTACCCGAAAGGGAAAATAAATTGCTTTTGCTGACAGCATCAAACATCAAGCATATTCGTGGACGCCGCCACGGCTGTAGAGAGCTGGTGTACTATCGCCTCCAGCAAGGCCTGCGAGCCCTTCCGGTGGCATATATTCTCCCATGCCGGCTTCTACCTGATTCTCTACGTACTATCTGAACTTCGCAGTCCCGGGTTTCAATCCCCGGAGTGGGCCGATCTCCGCCAGCGAGGCCTTCAATTAGCAAACGCCATCTATGAGATTCGGGGTCAATATACCACGCGTGCATGGCCCGCAATCATTTGGTTGGTGAATCATATTCGATTCCAGCAGGGTCTTAGTTCTGGTATCATTCACAGTCAACCTACTGGCACCGCCCCAGCTGAGAATGATCATTCCATAATAATGGAATCTTCTGCTGTCACTCCGCACCCAGCGGAGATAGGATTTGATACTGCGGATTTCATGGGATTGGTGAATGTGGAAGACTTCGATTTTGGGGGTTCCCTGGTATGTCACAGTGATGAAATACTGCGCCCACTGAGAAAGTTGGTGTTTTTATTGGTTAAATAATCTTCTTTTATGTATATGGGTAGAAAGAATACAGGTTGAACTTTTAGCTTAGTTTCTCCTTTTACCGTTTTGGACAGAGTGTTGGGAAAGGGTCCCTTGGATGAGGTGTATATTGGTAGAAGTCGCACCTACCAGCTACAATTTGAACCGTGTTGTACACCGGCGAGATATGTTAATAAAGGGTGATTAATGGGTGGTACGGCTCATCTTAGATTAATACTTTTTAGGAATAAGTAATTAGAATGAAGTGAGACATTGTCTCAATAGAAAGGATAGACGTATTTATTACCGCCGTAAAACTCTGTGTTTGTTATGAGGATGCGGGAGATCTATCCCCGGAGAATATATTCGGCACCGGAGGCATGTACTGATCACGAGGATTGAGAAAAGGCTCCGTGCTCTGAAATATGCCCTACGTGGAATTGGTTATAGTAGAGCTTCGCCCATCCTTGACTCTGCCAGGAAGATCAAAAGTGTCAAAACTATATTGACTTGAAACGATCAATTTCCGTTTCACATACTCATGGCCTTCCTCTCGGGTCTTCTGGTGGGCCCTTCCCATCTACAATGGCTAGTCCTCGGAGTATCCTTGCCTCATCCTTATTACCCCCTCTGATTGGATTTCAATGCAAGGCCTCATACGCAGCCAAATTTTGAAGTATATGTACTCATGGGACTCGTGGAAGTTTATTCGGGAACTAGATCGGCGGTGGCGCATATTCAACCAGGAGATCGTCAAGCAGAAAGCTACAGAAATCGATCTGCCAATTATCAAGCTGGGGCAGAATATCGAAACGGTGAGATGACATAGAGTCAGCTTATTCATATCTTCACTGAGTTCATCTTTGCGAACCTGGATGTTAATGACATCCGTTCTTACGGGCTATAATCTGCATATTGCCGAGAAGAAGCAGATTCAGAAGAAACTCCAACGAGAAATCGATGACCACAAGGATTATCTAGACGACTATATCAAGCATCTGGATACTTTCATGCACTGGTGTTGCTTTGAATTAATCTGGCTAGAGCCAATTCCCGGTAAGCCTTCTCCTTCGCCCATTCCTAACTACTAGTTGCTTTGGAATAACTCAGTTAGTGCGGTTGACATACTACATAAAGCGTTTTTCCTTGCTGGTAGCTGTACCGTAGATAAAGTGCTCGGAGGTTATCATATCCCGGCCAACGTAAGCTACATCTTCTTCCCTCTTCGTCCTATTTTCTTTCTTGTAAAAGAATGAGCCCATGACTACTCGCAGACAAGCGTTATAATCGACGCACACGCCATCAATATACAAAATACCTACTGGGGCCCCGATACGCAGGAATATAGACCGGAGCGCTTCAACGACCTGAACGCAAGAGACTTGAAGTACAACCTGTCGACCTTTGGATACGGCTCCCGCAAGTGCTTGGGGGTTCACCCGGGTGGGAAAATGGCTCATTGCGTATTGAATGTGTTGTTCAGGCAGTATGATGTGGACCTGGGGGGGTAACGAAGGACGGAGATCAATTCAAGACGGATAAGACGAGCTTCTTGGCCCTGTATGTTGGTAACACCGAGATAAAGTCAAGAGACCTATGACTAGGGAATTTATCTAGTAATCTAAAAGTTGGTTTGTGTGACCTTGCAAGTCTAGGTAGTAAGCTATTTCACGCCTATCAATATTTACGGTGAAAGGTAAGTGAATTTGAGGTAAACCCTATGAGAACACACTCCATACTATAGCTCGAGTTAATTGCTCCTCGTCTTGCGTCACCACTTGGTATCTGCACTCCTCGTACGAGAAAGGGGTCGTTTTCAAGTAAATTGTAGTCAATTATTCTATCGCCACCAGCTAGGTAAGCTTATGTACATGTGCGACCTTACACCCCGGGAGGGTTCCTGATTGGATCGGACCAAGAGTGGGGCAATGATCTCGCACGAGGCGGCCCCACACCTCGGCCGAGGTGGATCCATGGATCATCCCAGTACTGTACATAAATTTAATTACACACAGATTAACACCAGAGAAAGCGATGAACTACGTGCTGGTGATGGAGTGGTAATTGCTATCGGTATTAGTATTACTACAGAAATAGGCTATGGTGCATGTGCATTAGCGTTCCTTCTCGGCCGGGCTGTCTATGTGCATTGGATAATTTTGAATATGTACTTCCAGGATTCTCAGAATATCATGACAATATGTACATAGGTCCTCGAAATCTACGAAAACTCACATTCCTATATACGGAAAACATACACCCTCTCTAGCATTGAGCACAATGCAATCATCAATAACCGCGGAGACAGCGCCACAGGGCGACTGGTCCAACAGACTCACGCAAGACGATACTAAGGCAGAACTTGGAGCCAGCCAGGAAGTCGATCTTCATGGTTCGGAACGTGTTCGTAGAGGATTTCTCCCGTGGTTATGTCTCGTCCCGGCCTTGAAGGATCCCAAGCAATATCCCCCGGTGATGAAATGGGGGTTGACCTTCATTGTGGCGATGGGAGGGTTGGTGGTTCCGCTGAGCAGTGGTGTTTTGTTCCGTAAGGAATCCCTCCCCCCTAGTTAGAAAAGGAAACTAATATGCCGGAATCAAAATAGCATGCCTGATTGAGATGGCCGTGGATCTGGATACCACCGTGTCGGTGGTGAATTTGTCTATCGCTTTTGCTTCACTCTCTGTTGCCATCACGCCCTTGTGGTGGTCATACCTCGCCGAGCTCTACGGCCGTCGACTTGTATACCTCTTGTCCTTCTTATTCCTTGGGGTCTTTAGCATTCTAGCCGCTATTAGTCCTAATATTGGGATGTTTATCGCCATGCGACTCCTTGGGAGTGCCTCCAGTGCGTCCCTTCAAGCTGTCAGCGCCGGTACCATTTCCGACATGTTTGAAGCAAAAGATTGAGGTAAGGCCATGGGCGCGTTCATGCTTGGTCCTATGCTTGGGCCCATGTTTGCCCCTATCATAGGCGGCGCGCTCACTATGCGTTGGAGTTGGCGCAGCACGCAATGGTTTATGGTCATCTATGGGTGGGCCGTGTTTTTAGTTATGGTCTTCTTCATGCCAGAGACAGCCACGAACCTCGAGCAGAACCGCTGCAAGATCCGAAATGACACTGCCAGCCCCGGCAAGAAAGTCCTCCACTTTCTCCTGAAGCCCATGGAAGCCGCCAAGCTCCTCAGATAGCCTCCTATTGTTATTACAGTCTATTACACCAGCATCGTCTTTGCTACGTACTACCTCATCTCTGTCTCCATTGAAGACACCTTCGCCCGGCCACCATACACCTGGAGCTCCATAATTGTCGGTGTGGCCTATATCCCCGGCGGCCTGGGACTACTCGTTGGTGCGATCATTGGAGGCCGCTGGCAGGATTATATCATGGTGCGGACCGCTCGAAAGGAAAGCCGATACGATGATAAAGGGGAGTTGATCCTCCATCCAGTGGATCGTTTGGGCGAAAACTGCCTCATTGCGGGCATCCTTTTCCCCGGGGCACTCGTGTGGTGGGGATGGACAGCTGAGAAGCATATGTTCTGGCTGATCCCAGTAAGCTCATTTATTTTATCTGATTTGAAGCGAAAACTAATCTACTGTATGATAGCTCCTCGGAAACTTCTTCTACGGAATTGGCGGAATGATCCTTACTAACGTGACCATGACGATGCTGACAGAATTTACACCGAAAAACTCCACCATTGGCGTCGCGGTAAATAACCTGGTGCGAAACAGTCTGTCATGTGTGAGTGCAATTATTGCACAGCCGTTATTTGATGCAATTGGCACGGGTTGGTCGTTCACGGCGATTGGTTTATTCTGTCTGCTTAGTGGCATTCCGTTGATCTTTCTGCGAATCAAGCGGGATGAATGGAGTCGGCAGATGAAGGCTGTGCTCGAGAATGAGTAGGAGTATTTTGTACAACTGCAAAGGCGTACTGGAGAAGTCGATCGGGTTACTCGCTTGCACGGAAAGGGAATCATGATTTGGACTTGATAGCCCAGACAATGGTTGTAGGTCAGGATGTGACCAGGACTCCCGTGCTCTTTCAGAGAACATATGCTCCTTAGGGTAGTATAGTTTCCAAATGCTGGTATCCATGAGTGATGGTGTATAGAGGAGGACTTGTTGAAAATCCCTCCAGGATGGGGAATCCTCTTTCTTTATCTGGAATTTGTATTTGTAAATAGCGCTTTGCAGTTGGATCAGCCAGAATATTGTCATTGTCCTATGAAAAATATGTTTTAGCAAAATCTGTTCGAAAAGTTATCGATTTGGCTAGGGTTCTTACCGATGTTCTGTATTTCGAAAATGATCGGGTTTCATTGTTCTCAGCCTCCTCAGATGACCAAGAGATGTTTCGGCCATATCAAAAAGACCCTTCCCTTCTTTGATTGAATCGAAGTTAATAATGAAGCCTGACTTGAGGTGACTGCGATGGTCCCACTGCGTCAAGTCAGCGCTCAAAAAAGAATGCCAAAATTGCCGAGAATCCATTGTATCTCTGGCGCCTTCCTTTTCAATCCGTAATTTCAGGTTATGATTATCCGATATCTGCTCTTTCTGGACATGGTTTGGGGCAAGATTCTCAGGTGGCCGTTGCTCATGGGGACCTTTTTCTACGCCGGCCATGAAGGCATGGAGATCGCCCATAACCTCCTGGACACCTTCACCAGGTTTGGCACTCACGAAATAATCAATGACCCTACAGTTGACAGGATTGTTAAACATTTCCTTCAATTTACCATTATATATCGAGCGTAGGTGGTCAATGGTTTGGGCAGACAAAGAATCTTGTTTGTTCGAGATAACCCATAAAATTCTGTCCCCCAGCTCCAAAATTTCTGTGCCAATTCTAGAAAGTAGATCAAGGCTTTGTTGTGTCCATACATCATCCCATGGGCAGTCGTGGAAGAACAAGATGGATGTGTCTGGGGTATAAAAGTATGATAACCAATTTGGGTACCGAAAGCACCCCACCGGATGCGTTTAGAATAAGGATAGGATGGTGTATTAAAGAAGAATTGACGTACTTTCAGTATCCCAGAGCATATATGTGCGTCCTTTATACTCAAAGTGTGTAGAGTAGTGACCTTTGCTTGGAATTGTGTAGACCACCTGACCAAGAATAAGTTGTGACAGAAAGGTAGTCTTTCCAGAGGCTCCCTCTTCAACCATAAGAGCTCGACATTCGGAATGGCCATAGAGCCACTTGATGATGCTTTACAGTGCCTTGGGGGCCATTGCAGCAATATCACATGAGCGAAGGCATATCTAGCCCTTCCTAGGTAGAAGAGATGAGATAGATAAGTCAGTAGGACCGAGATGCGCTAGCTCAGTTAGGGTAACACTTAGGGTAAGGGGCTTTTGAAAAAGAATCGATGTTTTTCCAGGGATTTCACTGCAACGGACTCGCTATAGAGAAACGAAGTATGTCGACTCCTAAGAAGTGAAAGGGAGTAAGAGGAAATGACAAAGAAGAAACGAAAAAAGAGCTATCTAGCTATGGAGGCCTGTCCCATCAGTTCCCAGCCTCAGGCATCGACATCAAGGCACCCAACAGTTCTTTTAGTTAGCCCGGATGACTAGCCTTGTAATAAAGAAAAGAATAGAGGGGTGTGACATTCGGCAGGTCCAAGGGGGGAAAACCACTTGCTAGGTTCTACTTCTAAGTGAAGACAAGTGGCAATGGTGTCACAGCCCAAGAATAATTTAGCCTCGAACATTGCTGAGAAATATATAGTAAGAATTTGCTGGAACCGATCTGAACTCTGGCGAGAGGTTTGTGGAAGAATGCTAGATCACATGGCATTCAAATAGACTTATTTAGAAAAAAGAAACAGGCATGGTATATATTGCAAGAACCCTGTGGATATCGAGGGAGATGACAAAATTTAATTTTGACGTTATATGCGTGCACCTAAGAAATCCAGCGATTTTATCAAACAACCTATAGTAAAATTTTTAGCTGCAGCTAATCCCGTGATATACATAGACCGGATAAGATTTAATGAGGGGGCGATGAAGAGGATTATCTCGCTTGAAAGGATGATTATGCGGGGTAGATTCGATGATTGACGACGAGATACACGGTAAAAAATGATTCCTTCCCCCCTTGGACCTGCCGAATGTCACACCCCTCTGTTAGAACTGCGAGAGTATCTTGCTCAGAAGGTGTGGGTTCTTTTGGCTGTTCATGTAGTTCATCATTACCATCATCTCCATGTCAATTGACTAGATTGCCTCGTCAGGGCGGTTCATAGAGCCGCAAAAGCTCAACTATATCCTTGGTAACTTTGATACGTCGAGAAAGCAGCTTGTGCTCATCAAAGTTCTCTGCATCGGCCCGTTAAGAAGGTTCGAAAATGCGTGCCCATGCAGAAATTACATACTTGGGGATGGGGAGTTCCCAGTCTCCATTAGTAGAACTGCCAGATTAGCCGAGAAGTTGCTTGCTCTGTCTGTCAACTTCATAGATGCATTCTCAAAATTGTCCTTTTATGGGTGTCTCTCGAGTGTCGCTTCTCAAGGTCTTCCGAAGCCTGGCCAGGTCTTTTGTGCCTGCTTCGTGCTTTTGATAGACGCGTGAAAAATTCGAGCATTCTTACTAGTGCTGCCCAGCGATCGCACGTGTGATTTATTGATGCACGATGTATATTTAAACTCTAGAATTTCTCCTAGTATATCCGTTCATACCACCAGAAGCCCGATAGACAAATATTGTAGTCAAAGTAAGAAACCTTAGAAGGGCAATCAAACAAGAACAGTTAGTTGAGACTTACAAGTTCAAAATATTAAGTCGATCTACAACCTCGTATAAAATCCCCTCCCCTGAGAATGAAATACGCAGGATCCCGGAAGATAGAAAAGCGACGGGTCTAAATACACGAATTGGATTTAATCGCGTTTTAGTTGAGATAAATATATTTAATTTTAATAACATGTCGGGTGGGCGGCTGTACTTATTACGGTCTACTCCGTAATATAATAAATAAAATCGGTATTTATTCCCTTTGTAGGTTAGCAATAATGCCTTGTGACTAGAAACAGAACGGCCCCATAGGCTAAGCTCTAGCCTATGTAACCTCTAGTCCATGTAACCTCTAGTCCATGGACTAAGCTCTAGTGGCAGAATTGGCGTCCAATCCATGCAAAAACTAGCGAATAAAAGCTCATTGTATAAGATAGGAAGAGAAATTTTGATTTGCTAAGCGATGTTTGGGCTTTACAGCCTCGAGGATGTTTTCTTATGAAAATATCTCATACTAACAACCATCCTACAGAAGACATATTTCCGCCATCGTCGCTCGAGCGTGAATGCTAGTAAATTTCATTGCTTTTCTCCTCGACTTTTCACAATGCTGTTGAATCGGCCATTTCCCTCTCTGGGGCTCTCAGCAATCAGCTCGGTCCGGGAGTTTCGGACCGTTCTATTCGTTCTGCTCTCTTATATCTTGCTCTTTATGGTCGCGCGCAGACAGTCTTTCCGCGACCCAACCTCGATATTTTTTGACCCAATGACTGCTTATGATCCTATATATTCGGCTATTAGGCTAGAGCAAGCAGCTTCTTTCATCGATGCAGCAAACAATATTACGGAGCCTCAGACAACAGGATCTCGACGGCAACCTCATTTCTGCCTGGGAATTGCCACCATTGCGAGAAAGGGCGTCCGCTATTTTAAAGACACCGTGGGCACGTTCCTTGAGGGTCTGAGCGAGGAGGAAAGAGCAGATATACACTTGATCCTGTTCATTGCCCACACGGACCCGTCGCAGCATCCTGCGTTTGCAGAGCCGTGGTTACACAACCTAGCTGATCAGGTATTACTATATAATGCCTCCGAAGTTGATATTGATCATATACGCTCCCTGGAAACAAATGAGGCCAAAGTAGCAGCGCGCGAGAAGGCTCTCTTTGACTATACATATTTGTTGAACGCATGTGCAACAATTGACACGCCATATGTCATTATGCTTGAAGATGATCTCGTCGCTCTGGATGGATGGTATCACCGCACTACAGCTGCCTTATCCTCTGTTGAAGATCAGACCCGAGAAATTGGAGCAGCGAATTGTGAGTTCGAAGCATTACAGGCTGGGGATATTATTAGCTATAAATCCTGAACCCTCGAATTGCACCCCCGCCCCAAATAGTTTTTCTTTTCTTCTTTACTAATAATATTTACTTACCAGGGCTATACCTACGTCTTTTTTACACCGAAGAATTTCTTGGTTGGAATTCCGAAGAATGGCTTAGTTACCTTCTTTATTCCATTCTTGTCGCCTGTTTTGTCGCCTGCGTTCTCCTGGTCTTCAGAAAATCCAACCCCTCTACCCGCCCTTTCTTGCCAAATACGATAGTGGTGATTTTGAGCGGTATATTCACGCCCTTGTTTATTGGGCTATTCTTTGCCGCTGGCCGGGTGACGATGTTCCCTCCATCGAAAGGCGTATATCAAATGCCCAAATTCGGATGTTGCTCGCAGGCCTTTGTCTTTCCCCGCTCACGGATACCGGAGCTTGTGGAGCTATACACATCTAAGCACATCGGATACGTCGACGTGATCACCGAGGAATATGCAAATGCGAGGAATGAGATTCGGTGGGCAGTGACGCCAAGCATTGTACAACATGTTGGGCGGAAGAGCTCGAAAGGTGGTGATGGTGATATTTTATCACCCGGAAAGGTCAAGTCTAAGTCTGAGTTGACAGTTGCAGAGAGACTTTGGAATTTTGGGTTTGAGATGCAAGATGCAGAGGTTTTGCGCGCGGAACATGAGGCGGCAAAAAAACGACTTATTTCTTAGTCGTAGGTGTTCTTTTTTGTATATATCAAGTTTCAGATAATGTTCGTTCTTTTCTTCAAAATTTTATGTATAATTGAATAGACAAAGCATCGTACGGAGTTCCGGAATGATTATTGGTAGGTATTCTTATGCCATGAATATATATTAGAAGAATTGACTTTTTTTTTTTGTTCGATGTCTGATTGATCAGGCTTCTTTGCTGAGATAGAGCTGTTGTTTGTTAGACTCAAGATATACATACCCCGCTCTCCGTAGATCGAATACAAGAACGGTCTTCGTCTTTCTCTTCAGCAACAGCTCCAACAGCGCTAAATCTGATTGAGCCGGTTTATTTTTTGGTGTTCTTGACCGGGTGTAAGAACATTGGAGGTAAGCAAAGGCGACGATGCCCCTCCTTTCCCCATACTGTTAGCGAAGATCAACACGGGGAGGGTCCCAGCGCGCGGAGAAGCGGCAGGTCAAAGCGTCAGTGTAGCGACTCACCTTTTCTGCATTGTCGTAGCCTAGCCAGGCTCGATAAATCTTTTCTGGAAATTCTGACCCAAACATGTAGGACATTTTCATCAATATATCATTGTGCTTGTTCCAGCTCCAGATACTATTCGGCCCAGCGCTGATCTGGCCTGGCTTGCCTGAATTAGCTCGGAGATTGAGCTCATCAGGGTTCGTGTCGTGTGCATGGTAAATGGGTTGAGGAACTTGAACGGCTTTGAGTCCATAGTAAAGAGCCCAGGAGGTAGGAGACATTTCAGATGCTAGTCCAAACCCCTTCTCAGCCTTATCCGTATGCATAAGCTGAAGTAATCGGGCCGAGACACGGGACATTGCGACGACGGATGCCCGGCGCGGAGTACGTCCCTTCTGGCGGAAATTATACACCCGGTCGGCAAAAGGCCAGTCGGTATAACGAGGGTTAAATTGAGGTAGCCAGGTGATCACGTCAGCTTCCTCGCCCACGCCCCAACTCCAAGAGTTATCTTCCGTGTGTGGTTGTGGTGGCTTTGGAGCTTTATTTCCAACGACAATGCCTTTTGCTGGCTGAGGTCCCCAGATAGTATCAACGCCTATCATACTGCGGTCGACCTGATCGACAAAATCATCCCAGGTCCCGTGAACAGCAGGCATATAAAAGTAAGAGTTACGCTCCCATAGATTCTTGCGAGGCTGCTGTTTTGCAAATTCGGAGGCCTGCTGGAGAAAGTTATAGAAATGTCCCGTATAACGTGAATCCATCTCAAACTGCCAGAATGACTCGTACTGCGGATTTAGCCGGGAGAAAATCTGCAGAGGCTGGAAGTATTGAAGGATGGCTCTAAATAAATATCAGAATTAATAAGAGCTATAGAGAAACGAAAATGAATGAAAAGTACTCTTACACGTGAACATCGATTTTTGGATACCAGTCTTTTAGTATCTCCGAGTTGAAGAACACTGCTAGATCCTGAAGCTCCCGCGGAAGGGAGCTTTTCAGTCGATCGATGCCCGCCTTATCCGTTGGATGAGGCAGTTTAGTATCTTTCGCATCAACTAGTAGGATTACCTCATATTTGGCACCTGATAAGAGTGACAGCTCTGTAATAATCGACCGGATATAATGGAGATCGTTTTCCGTGTATTCCATATCGAGCCATGTGCGTAGAACCACCGCACTCCGTGTTTTGAAAATAGCAGACGCATTATTTTGGACTGTGTTTATCTTTTCTCCTCTTGAAAGATGTTCACGCATACCCTCGTTGTACTCTTTGTGTAGAGTCAACGTCTTTGGAATATTCGAAGGTTGATACCGGCCTGCATTGCGCTCCAAACAGTCTTGTTGTAAAGTGGCCCAGTTCACATGTTCAAAATGCACTTCGTTTGAGGCATCCCACGTGTATCCGTACGCCGCATATCGCGAGTATCAATCGGTGCAGATACTCCGATCGAGGTTCCATGCCTCGTAAGATCCAAATATTGGCGCCGGAAAATCTAGAATAATGTCAGCGAAAAAAATGCTAGCATAGGCTAGTCTCGCCTACACATCTGATTGATTCCAGCGAAACCCTTTCATCGCTGTTTCTGTGTTCTTATGATCCAGGACCGAACCATTGGCGCCAACACATTGCTGGTAAGTTCCTTTCCAAATTCTTTTCCATGCAGCGCTGTTATAGTCAGGGTATGGATCGTAAGGTATGGGTTGTGACTCCTGGGAAGTTTCTAGAACAAGCTGACCGAGACCATCCCCATCAGAAGCAACTCCCGAACCTAAGAAAAATGCATTTCTTTTGCTTGAAGGAGATGAGCATGTTAGCGGCTGGATGAGAACCGCCACGTCAGGCAATGTTCAATGTCTCAAGAAGACATATCAACCTGGACGGTCAGAGAATATATACCTTGAAGCATAGACTGTTGGATTGCGTTGCACTACAATATTTTGCTCTCCTAGCCGAGGTACAAGCAACAAAATTGTAAATGCAAGGCAGACGGCAATCGCAACGAGGCAGCGCGTAACGAGACTGTGTCTTAGGAGAGTCCGCAATAAATTTCGGCCCCCCAGCATGAGGCACTCAATGATGTGCATATTCGAGACGAAATCACGTGGCTTTCAAAAATGGTCTAGCCAGTGTTCGTTTCCAAGATCATTGGAAGTGATGGACTAAAGATGAAAGGAAAAGAAAAAGGACCACAGATCATAGAGGTACCTAACATCGGTGGGCCCGTTATCCTAACCGAAGCGTCTAAACAAGACCACCTTGGAGGCCACTCTATATTGTACACATTAGGCGAGAAGGGGCGCTAGTGTACAAGCACCTATTAATATGTATTTGCCTTTTTTTTCCCCGGTAATACCAATACTAATAATCATTAATCGTCAATTATCCGTACGTATTTCATACCTTGCTCCATATTTAATTTGTATGCATGTGAAAGAATACTGTATTGAAAATCGGTGGCGTTCATGCCCAGTGGTGTCGGTCGGACCCGAGAGACGCAGTATGCACAGATACTGGACCCTTAAACTAGTACTAGACCCTTGTATTAGACCCTTGTACTAGTACTAGACCGTTGTATTAGTACTAGGCCGTTGGAATAAGCCATTGAAATTATTACATGTGTACTCGAGATGTGTATATCTGATAGCAAATTAAGGGGCTATTTGCGGATTCCGCAGTTTATACCTTTCAAGTTTGAGGATTAAGAAATGAGTGGTTACGTAGTTAACTAATTAACCAGTTAACACTACGGAGTAAATACTACCAGTAGAATATTTCCCCAATTTTACCGAAAATTTTTATACTTCAGCACACAGTGGCCTAATAGCAGTTCATAACTGCCCTCCTCTGAACTCCCTGGGTGTAGCCGCAGGGAGACGTCACCAAGCTTTTTATTTCATATGGGTAAACCGTTGTAATTTCAAATATACTATTCACTCTCTGTAGGATGGGAATTTTTCCAAGCGGGAATATGACTTCTTTTGGGATGAGGAGGCCGGGTAATATCGGCACCTCTAGATAAATGCCAATTGTGTTGTGTTCTCTCAATTTAGCGCGCTAATCTCACCTAGAAATTTCGTGCGACTATTGTAAAAAGAAGCCTATAACTATCTGGCGCGATTATTTGACGTACTTATTGCCGAAACTACCTATTCAAAGCACTAATTTAATTATTACGTTGCGCCTGCTTCATCGAGGCGTCCAGTTAGATCGTTCTTTCCCAACCACTCATAATTAAATTCATCAAGATGGAGGCACTGCCAATCGAGCTTCTACGCAAAATTGTCTCTCATCTTGATGATTGCACATCCCTGTATAACCTTCTACGCGCATCGCCAGCCATCTTTGGCCTGTTCGACCACGAGGGCCTTCAGCTTACTCGCGCCGTCTTCTCTCAAGACACCATGTGTGATCAAATCCGCGAATCAATCTCCCTCATGGCCCTTCTCGACTCTTATACCTTTCCATACCCGACCCTAGATGTCTTTATCGCTAGTTTTGTTCATTTAACGGTCAAAGGTGTACAGCCACAACGAGCAGACGATCCTGTAGGCCCACTTCTTCCGAATGACTTACCTGACAACACTCCTATCCCGAAAATCCGCCGGATTCTCTCTATATATGCACAAATAGTACACTTGACTGAAGCTTGTCTTGATCACTACCTGGAAAAATTTAATGCTCTCCGACCGGAGAATATAGTCGATACTGAGACTCGGTATTCAAAAGACTTCAAGAAGACCCCACCGTGGACTCAAAGATTTGAAAGCTTCAAGGTCCCAGTCACTGATCACGGGCCAATAGTTTGGGAAGAGGAGCAGCGCGTTTCCCGCGCCCTCTGGAGAATTCAATTATTCTATGATCTGCGCACCGCCGCTAACCAGTCTCAGCTTCGCTGGCCCGCTGAAGACGTGACGCGATTGCAAACTATGAAAGAGCGAGATCTTTTCGTCAAGTGGGGCCTATGTTACGAGGCGGAGGAAATCCACACGGTGAACGAGTATCTTGACCATGCATGGGCCGCAAATCTTGTCTTCTTTCATGACCCCACTAACAGCAGCAGTGGCGGCTGTAATAGAGACTCTCGGCGATTGCCATTTCTCCGGCACCCAGTCGAACGAAGGTGGCCAATGCCGCGAAGACCGTCCCCGGAGCCTGTGACCCAAACATACAAGATTGATTTTGGTACATTTGGCATGCAACAATGGCAACGGCTGTCAGAGATGCCATTTTCACCCTTGCGCACCGTCAATTTTGACTCCTATCGACGGTTAGGGGTCGCCTTTTGGTGTCTAGAGAGATTCCAAGCCATCGGGTTGATCCCTTTGAATGGCGAAGGGCCGGGGGCATCTATCAACCTAACACTATGGCAATTCGCCTGGCGAAGTATCTTAGATCCTCTCGAGGTGGTGGAAGTAGAGAAAAAATTACAAACCGAGTGGGAGGAGCGTGAACCCAGGGATTAGCACCGTGCTCATTGAACATCTCTATTGTACCTAGTTCTGACACTCCACGTGAGACGGCGACCCCTGTTTTCCACTCCCTACGGTTATATGTATCAGATTCGGGGTGATTTTGAGATTTCCATGGTTGGAATAATATGGCATTAATTGCGTTCATAAACACAGCACGGATCTCGGGAATATACTGGGTCCAAAGGCTAGTCTTGATTGGGTATGCCAGACATGCGCTGCTGGGCTCTACACCCGAAGCTTTGCGAATGATCGCAGGGTCGCAGGGTAAAGCTCGTAGGGTAAATTTGTCCAGTATTTACTAGTATAGCGTATTATATCGGTATAGCCTTACCGTTTTGGTAGCTTATAAGTCTGCCTTACCATTTATCAGAGAGCTTGCGAGCTCGGGCCCCTTCGCATAGACGGTCGATGTCACAGCCAAGCTGCTCTGTTATTGAACGAATTGCGCCCCACGCTAACCCTCGATTATGTCCCTAGTTGCTCTTCCCACCTTTCGCACCTCGCTGTGGGCTTTGAAATGCATCCCGACCATCGAGAATAGTCAGTGGAAATGTTGCACACAGAGTCACCTATCTCCTGTGTTGAGTCAAATCAGTATAAGATTCAAATTGAGAATGAAAATGAAAATGAAAATGTGGACCCACGGTTACCCCACAGCGGATCACTTGAGCCGCATCCAGAGCCAGCACAAGAGCCCCTTTTCATCACCAACACGGCTGGTAAAGAGTACCAAGAGAATAAAAGAACAGAACCATCGATATGGAAGTTAGTTTCTAGCATTTTCATCTGGGAGGTACTGGCTATGGTCTTATCAATAGTACTCTTACTTGCGATCGTGGTGATCTTAACTCGTCACAATCACCATCCCCAACCCACCTGGAGATATTTCTCGCTGAACTCGATGATTTCGTGGCTAAGCACAATCTCCAAAGGTTGTGTCCTTTTCTCTATTAGCGAGGTTTTAGGACAGTTAAAATGGGTGTGGTTCAGTCAAAAGAAGCGGCCAATGTCTGATCTTCGTACTTTCGATGCAGCGAGCCGGGGACTGTACGGTAGTGCGGGATTAATATGGAAATTACGGGCAAGGTAAGTAGCCTAATTTTTATTTTGTTATAGCCAGGTACTCATATTCTAGAATCTAGACACTTCGCAGTTCCAGGCAGTTTGGCTGTTATCCTCGCACTCGCTTTCGACCCCTTCACCCAAAATCTGATCCACTACTATCCTAAGCTCGTCGCCGATGCCTCAGAAACTGCAATTGTTTCGAACAACTCTGTGTACGACGTTGTGGGCCTCAAATGGATTACCGGTGGAAGTAAGTCGAATTGAATCATTTTGTGTAGGTGTCGCTAAGAGGTACGCATAACAGTGACCTACATGGATCAGGGATTGAAAGCCAGCATCTACAACGCCATATTTAACAACGACGAAGCAAAACCGTGGGCAATTCCACAGTACACCTGCACCTCGGGGAACTGTACATGGAACCCAATCACTGCACTAGAGATAGCCGCGAGCTGTGCGAATATAACAGATCACCTGAAATATAAATGCACCGTTATCCCAACGTTTTATAAGGGTATGAATTATGGTGAGGAGTCTAACTGCTCTGTCTATCTCCCCGATGAAGATTCGAATGAGCCTGCCGATGGTCTCTTTGCGGAATTCGTTACAAACACACGAGAGGGTACGGCAGTCGCTGTAGGATCGGGTGGCAAAGGAGTGTTCTTCGAAGATCCTTTCATCGTCCCCATCCACCTTATTGCCGCTGATAATATGCTCGACATAAAGCTATTCACAACACAGACTAGATGGCAGGCAATGGAATGCACAACTTCTCCAATTGTTCGCAGCTTTCGCCCGGCAGTTACGAGGGGAGTTTATAACGAAGAAACGCTGGGAGTCTGGACAAACCGCTCGATAAATCACGATTTCAGTTCCGGATACTATTTGCGGCCTCCCTGGGGAATAGAGATGGGCATGGAGCGGAACACAAGCTTCATGGTAGGCTATCAGTCGATCGAAATGTTGTTAAATTTTTTTGTTGAGTTATTTGCTGGTCATGCGAATCTCCGTGCTCATTCTGGTATACTATTTGCCCCTCACGAAAAAGCTATATATGCTTCTACGGACTTGGTCCAGGCCGTCTCATACTTCAACATTACTGGCTGCACCGTGAAAACTGCTGAGAGGCTCCGCTGTGTCATGGAAAATGTTGCTTTGGCAATGTCAAAAACCTTTCGAGATAATCCATCAGTTTCATCGCCTCTACCGTATACTGAAGGGCAAGCATTGACGAACATAACGTACGTTTCCGTGCACTGGCAGTGGATTATTCTACCAGCTCTTGTGTGCCTGCTAGGCCTGACAACACTGTTGGGAACTATTTGGAAAACACGGAAGGCCATGGTACCCACGTGGAAGAACGATGCTATACCACTTTTATTCCTATATGAAATTACTCAGGATGAGAAACCAGAAAATTACCAAAAGCCGGCTAACAATCAAAGAATGATGTTAAAGGAGAGTGAGGGCAAAATGTTGCTAAGTGACTAGATCTGAAAGAGGCAGAGCTTGGGTTATATCCATCTCACTATGAAACAGAACCAGGGAAGATTGATCGGAATCAACAAGAGGGATGGAGAGAGCGAGGGAGCGACCCGATGGAAGCTGTTTGAAAGATATTAATTACTTTGAATCTCACGTTCTGCGATGACTACAATGCTTTGTGGCATACGGGCAGTACACCACTTTGCTTCCATACATGAAGACAATGATTTGAGGAAATTCTATAGCTCTAGTGGACTGTGCCAGTAAAGTTCTAGCGCTTTCACAAAATCTTGCGTTCGGCTAAGATTAGCGTGGCTAGATTCAAAAATAGGTGATCAATCGACACGCGTGTACATGCAAGGCTGCGAAAAGGAGCGGCATAACTACATACATGTGGGCTGTAAGGCTTCCAAAAGTTACTAACCTTCGTGCTAGTGTAGGTTTGTTGCTATAGAAATAGTACTAAGGTACTATCATCAGATCTAGTGATAAACTTCTATTCTGGCATGTCCAAGGGCAGCTAGACCAGGCCGTATTCCGATATTATGCATATTTTCTCCATAAAACATCCCTCTGTCATTGTATTACATCCATGTCACAATATAATCTGACAAAAGATATGTATTCGTGGCTTCCATGCCATCTACGTTACCTTGATGATTGGCTCAACAATCACCTCTAGGCAGCTTCGGGAATATTTCATCCACTTTTCTTGCTTTGTGGCCTGATTTTATTATTTTAGGCCTGAATGGACATTGAAAGGCAAGGATGTGATAGCAAAAATATGCTGCGATAATTGTACGGTGGTCACCTAGCACTCATGGTTCGGGCATGGGCCTGAGTGGACTAGCCATCTACATATTTCGTTGCCGACCTTCACAACTCCACAACACTAACAATCCAGCCAGTTTCATTTACCGAAATTTAGGCCAAATGCCAAGCACACATAGGACAACGGTATAAAAAAGAAGGCAAGCATGATAAGCCTAGAGTACGTCAGTTCTAATTCTTGCAGGGTAGCCTAATATCATACCTCTTCACTGTTTTAGCCTGTTTGATAAACTCCCTGGCTTCTTCAATTTGAACAGTTCTTAACCTTTCTTGTAGCTTCCTATTCTTCATATCGAGTAAATGCTGGGTTTCGGCGAGAAGATTGCTCATTTGCAGTCGCACGTGAGTATACTTCTCCGTCGTCTGATCTAGTATTTCAATAGAGGCGAACATGTTGGTGGATGATCCTCCTTTCACCACATCCAAATCAAGTTTCAACCGCTGACATTCTCCATCCAGTGACGAGATGTAGCGAAGAATAGCACTTTTCATCCCCTCCTCATCAATTAGTCCATCAACTGTGTGATTTTCCTCTTCAGAATCCTGTGGATCTTCGTTCCGTCGTCGCCGTATGCCTCGATGGGATAGACTTTGAAGACTGAGATCTTCAATCTGGTCTTTCAATGTCTGCAGACGGTCAAACCATGCATTAAGAGCGTAAGATCGTATGAGCTGGACCGTATCTGTCGGTCCTTTGGGAGTCAAAGTTAGGTTCTCAAGTAGAATATCATTTGCGAATATTTCAACGTTTTGAGACATAGTCCGTCGAGATGCCGTATGTTTCTCCGTGGGTTGATGATCCTTTTGGTTCCGATTCAGACAGAATTCTTTGAACGATTTGATATTTTCTTGCTTGGTCAGAGGGTCAAGGAAAACATGAGGATCGTTGTCTGTATTGTCTCCATCAAGTTCTGGACAGGGTGGAAATAGAACCAAGACTGCCACAATCAATAAATTAGTGAATCCTGCGCTTGCTATGATTTATCAAACACAGTAACATCCATACCTTGTTCAGACTTGGGGTTAGCCTTGTCATTTATCACATGGATAGTAATTCGCTGTAGAATGTCCAGACCGTTTTGTGAATATCGCTCTCCTTGGTCGCAGAACATGCTATCGTCCACAAATCGCTGCCGAGCAATGCGACGATTCAGGACTCGGTCCTGCAGCGCCAATACTCTTGCACGTAGACCTCTTCCGGTAGGCTGTGTTCTGTCCTCCTCGGATTGATATCCTTGCACATATATTGTTCGTGGCACATCCACAGAAATTGTGATAGGATGACCTTCACGAAGGTAGATAGACTTTGCAACCGAGTTCCGAGTTGTGAGGTCTTTTGAATGCTCCACATTGGCGATTGAAAGTCGCCCTAGACGTTTTTTGACAATTTGTAGGTTTCTCTCATGCTCATAGGTGCCGACAGATGAAGGGATTTGTTCGATCTTTGTGTTGCAGAGCTTGTAGATGCCTGTACTCTTTTCAATGTCCCTGAATGACGTCCCGATATGATGACTGAAAACATTAGGGTCTAAAGAAAGCCCGCTGCCCAGCGCCTCCATGCTCAAACAAGTGATATGTTGTGCACAGATAATGCGATAGCGGCGATCCTGCGAATCTGGAGCTGCTTTGCAAAGATAAGATTCCAGTTCTCTCATGGACTTGGGGTCCGTCCCATCATAGTTAAGATGATCCATAACTCGATTACCGTCACCTATATCCATTACGAACACAGGAGAGGACATGAGAGAAATTTCAGAATGATAGGACAGGCTATGAGGGCTATGTTCGGAAAAACGCCAGATTCGGTCATATCGCGAATATGTCAACAAATGATCATAATCGGGAGAGAGTGTTTGCAGATATTGATCGTAAATCCCCTCGGGTGTATCAGGAAGCCATGCCGAAAGGACTTCTCCCAGCCTTTGTGCGGTGGGATTTCGAGGGCTTGGCCCATTGGAAAATCGAGAATCGTCCATAGAAATGAGATATTCAAATATCAGTAGAGCGAGTAGAGGTTGAGAATGAATGGGGGCCCCACGACATATTTAAATGAACAACCTATGGCTCTGGCGCCTAAGATATCACCTATGGACAACCCATCATTGTGATGGTGCCACAAAGGTATATGCTGATCTTAAAAGACGGTGTGTTTCATGAAGACTCCTATCTCATGATCTGGAACTCTCCAACTGAGGGGTCAGTGCGGCGGCAATCGTGTTACTTGGTGCTTTTCGCCTGGTTTTTCTCACTTTGTTTCTACGAATATGGAACTGATTTCACTTTATTTTACTGGACATCTCTTTATATTCAGACTGCAGTATTTTGTCATCCCCAATTTCAGGGTCTATACACCCTTAGGTAAATATATTTTCGTTTCTCACATATATATTTACAGATATAGTCTTTCCACCTTGGGAACTCAATACAAGTTTCCACGACAGAGTCTCAAAATAATTTTCTTCCACAGGTATACATTTAATAATGCCCTGGCGCTACCTTACTTAAGCCTTGCTCGTAATTAGAGACCTATCCATAACAACGAAATTTGCAGCCAGTTGTTCTATCTATGCAGGTACACAAGACGGCATTCGGTGAGTCGCTGGTGGTAGGTATCATCTCGTCAAACCATTCAACTGGACTTTGTTAAGGTACACTACAAAGGAATAAGGAATATACAATATTTACCTTGGTATCTTCTTTCTCTTTGCCATAAAAATTCATATTCATTCGACAGCACCGGTGTCAATCGACCAATCCATTCATTGAAGGAAATCCCGGCTGTTTTAGCATCAAATTCGGCGGTCTCTCTCGGTTTGCTCGAGTTACCAAGTCCGCTGATCCAGCATGGTCTGGGATCGCAAGAGATTTTTGACATGGAAAGTCTCTGTAGCGACAACTCGTCTCGGAAAAAGTCCCAAATTCTCTTCCAGTGAGGAGATTCCCGAAGCGTGTAACTGTTGTCGCTAGTATTATGGAGATCATCCTCCATTGCGGTATCTTTGCCGTCATCCAATGTCACTGAAAAGAGCGTCAAAGTTCTTAAAGTGGGTTTGGCAGTGGTAAGAAATAAGATCAACGTGCGAGAAGTGAAATTAATCCAATGAAGATGAAGCTCTCTAAGCTGGGTAAATCCGACGAACCGGGCAAGCTCTCCTAACGGATTTGGTTTTGCGGGATGAGTGCGGTGGTGACCATGTGAAAATTCTAGTACTTTCAGACGGGGGGCCACATTGATAATCACATTAAACCAATTCAGAATAGCCGACTTCTTGCCTGGCTCCGGCTCCCCACGGCCTAGATGCTTCCAATACACCATGTCAGAGGATAGAGGCCTCCCAAATGGTGATATAGATAGGTGAAGGGCTTCTAGATCTTCTAGAATGGAAAGAATAGAATAGTATTGCGATTGTGGAACGTTGAAATCAGAGATAATAGCACCATAGTTACATGCATGCAACTTTCTGATTTGTTGGTGAGGCCTAATTGCTTGGAGGATTCTCAATAGTGCCATAGAGTTGAAATGAGCCATCCCAACACTAGTAAGTCCATCTAATCCTCTAGGGGAGAATCGATAGTCAATTTTCTCTCTGAGTTGACGCCAGCCTAGAAATCGGATCTTTTGCTGTCGCGGATCAAGCAAAAAGGGAGTCGTATAGTTTGCGAGTCCAATTGTATCAAGCTTCTTAAATTTTTCCATGCATTTGTAAAGTCTAGTGCTGAATTTTTCTGACGCCACGAGAGAGCGATTGTCTGCGACCATAGTTTGATATATGGCATAACGAGCTCTAAGCTCACTACCCCGCAACGTTTGGCAGCTTTTTGACGACACGGCGTAGTCTCCCAATGACCGTCTGTGATCTTTGTCGGTACCCTCAAAGACGGCTGGTATCATCCACAGTTCCTGGACTCGTTCACGGACAATCTCTAATTTCGCGATCTCTTCTAGGTTACGAAGGCCTTCGCTTGTCGCCATAAAGCGGATACTTTTGAAGTACCGATCCGCGAACGTATCGAGTGAGGCCCGGTATAATTTGCAACATGTTAATCTGACTGCTTCCAACTCGGATAGCTGCAGATAGCCGCAGATCTCACAGACCAGCTCGACTGGAAGAGAGGTAATCGACATTTGATTGTGGTTCCTGCTTTGAGCGGAGGATATGAATCAACTTGGGTGGTAATTGGCCTTCAGTTGCCCAGAAATAACATAAAAATGAAGGTGCTTTGGTTGGTTATCAGCCTAGTGGATGGAAAGAAAATGTTTGGGGTTTGTATTGAGGGGATCGATATTGGAGTTCCAGGATCGCCTAGACCCGATGGGGCCCCGCCCGATCCTCGGAAGGTCCACGGAAAACTTAATGGCCGATTAGGTAATACTGCCAAGATTCCAAGCCGAGTCAGCCGAGCCAGCCCTAAGTGGACCCTAAAAACCCATCGAATTCCCATGCAAAAAGAAATTGAATGCAAAAAAAGAAATCTCAGGTTTGGTTTTAGGAATAGCCGAACGCGGGGGTCGAACCCGCAGCCTTAAGATTAAGAGTCTTACGCTCTACCGATTGAGCTAGCCCGGCTGGGCTGTTGAAAGGACGACCATTATAATGATACTTGTTGGTTCAGCCGAGGGAGAAAAATCACAACGCCAATTTGTTAGTGCTTATTGACCTCTATGATATTGTATACAAAATTTAGTCTTTTCATTCGCATTGCAGGTCATATCACTTCTTCTTCTTCTTCTTGGGGTTCACTACTCAGACCCCAAGCAAGAGAATAAATACTCTTCTTTCTTCGTCGATACTGTGCGTGTTGTGATTATATATAATCCCAATGGCTTGAGGTGTGTATAATCTAGAATTCTCAACTACATCCTGGACTTGATCATCTTTATAAAACCCAGGTTGTACTCCAGCTACCCAACTGGTTTTTATTCTAAAAAGAAACTCCATGAAAGTCTCATCTTCAGAGCACATTTCAATGGAATTTCAGGAATGACACCTAAGGGAGGTCAGTTAGATAGTGCCATAGTCTTATACTTGTGTAACGACTATTAAGGTCGTATATATCTGCAAGAATGAGATCGGTTCTTATGATACTAATTCCAATCCATGGCGGGCGTTAAAGGCCGAGAATGGCATATCTGGCGGTCCTAGCAATGGCTTTTCCTACTCTGTCACGATCAAATCATATGGAATATGGCCAACCAAGAAACCTTTAACTAGGGCTGAAGGTAATTGTGAGTTGTTTCATACCTATGGTTGCGAGCCCAGGGCCTCGCATCATTGGTGGCATGTTCAATGAGGCATATCCATTAAGAAAGGAGAATGGTCTGCGAAAAATCCTAGTAAATGAGGTGATCAAAAAGATATGGATTGCAATGGGCAACCAACGGTATATGACCATCGCAATAATTTGTTCCTCCCTTCTAGATTAAAGATACCATAATTGAGATCGACTATTTTGGGTCAGCTTAGAAGATGTTATGGAGAAGCCATAGTCTGTATATCTCATAGCGACACCAGTACAAATCGCGTTCTTTGACAGAGATGGTTTGGGAAAAGTTCCTAGCCCCTCCGTCGGCACGCCGATTAAAAGGGGAGGTGAGTGGGCTCAACGACTTCCATAGGCTCCTGGCACATAGTCATGACCTGCAGCTTTGTTTTGCCTACGAGAATGGCCCTAGCGTATATAAGGATTTTGACACAGGCGGCATATTTCCTTTTGGCTAGATACAGAACGTTGCATAGTAGTATGTAGGTTACACAGAGTAGTTTTGTGCCCGGCAATATCTATCATTAATACCAGTCTCAGATTGATCAAGCTCAACTAGAATAAAAAATGAATAAATAGTCAGTTTAGATGCACTATATCGTGATATAGAATACATATATTCCCGAAAAGTCTTATAAAGGTTTAAATGCGCACATGAAGTTTGCACTAAAGTCATTGTAGATTCTGTATAGCTGCCAAGATTTCACACTTATAAGAACATACGGTCTAGGTGCAGCTTTGGGACGTGAGGCTACTGAGATTTGTATAGCGAGGCCGAAGAGATTTGCATCGTCGAACTGCCTGATAAAAGCCAATAGGATGATATCAACGGCATAGTATTTTCTGTTGTCTGTTGGGCTCCACGCTTTATGCTCCTATAGTCTTTCAATATTCAAAACACGGGGTTGTCTCTATATCCCTCTTGATCAAATAGGCTGTCACAACTATCCACGCGTAATCCCCATATCAAAGCAAATAAACCCGACAATAACCGTTCCCTGTGCCCCGATAACCGTAATAATAACGGAGAACTTTTGCTCTTCTATTAAGATCTCACCCCTGAGCTTCATGACAACATCTACAAGCAAGAGTACAGTGTCCAACTCCAAGTCTATAGGTTAGATCAATTAGACGGTTGACACAGCATCCGCAGCCCTGAGAACAACGTCTTTGCTTGCAGTCTTCAACAATTAATTGATGCATATATAATCTTGGATGTGAGTGCTATAGATTGAGTGCTCTCTTCACGACCCCATCCCTGGATTCATTCTTCAGCATCCGCCATTCTCGCGTTAACTTCTAAAGAATTTTGCTTTCGGTTTTGAGCTTCTCTTGAATCTCATATGATTGCTCGCTTCCCTCGCGTACGAATGTCTCGAGTTGAAAATGATGTTGGAAGTCTTCTTCTGCCTTGACCAGCTAGAATATTGGAGGAGGATGGGTATATTTAGTTCTGTCGTGGGCTTTATACCGATATCATTGAAGGGTGTTTATATCCCCGTTGTCCTCCGGCGCATTTTCCTCTGTGCTCTTCTCGCCAGAAATGGGAATTTTAGGTATCTTGGGTTTTGGTCTTTGTCGATGATAGGTTAACCAACATCTGGTGAAAATTGGTAAATACAGATCATGACCTTTTACGCGATATTCATAGATAAAAAAGACTCTTCGCATGGCCACCTGGAAGGCTGTCTGGCTGGTACCCGGGTAAATAGTTATAACCCACCTATGCGTACACCTAAGTCTACCTGGGCATACCTACCTTATTTATCTTACTAAATTTCGGTATTTTTAAATTGCGAAGCCTCCACTAGAAAATCCTGATATATGGAATGACCTAAAAATGCCCAAGACATGCCTGCGCCTATCAATAATGTTTAAACTGATGCCGAGATATGATTTTCCAAGTCCGCCATATGCATGTGTTCATCACGACCAAATCAAACCATCGAGGTTGGCTTCTCAAGCTCGGTGGCATCTTCAGTTCTCCAAAGCGATGTGACAGTCTTCCACTGTGTATAGAATCGGATACCGTCCTTGCCATAGAAGTTGAGCAACCCAGTTCCAGCCACGCTTCGCTTGTTACCGGTGAAGGAGAACATGGGGAGGGGAACGGGAATAGGAACGTTAATTCCAACCTGTCCGGACTCGACGCGCTTCTGGAAGTGTGTTGCGCTGGATCCGGACTGGGTGAAGATGACTGCGCCATTGCCCCATTCATTTGCATTAATGAGGTCAATTGCGCTGTTGATTGTATCGGCTTCCATGCAAAGCAGCACGGGGCCGAAGATTTCCTCTTGGTAGCATCTCATTTCGGGTTTCACTCCGGTGATAATAGTCGGACCGACCTATTAGAATTGATGTGTTAGTATAATGGCTCAAATTTAACACGGGGACTTCCATACCCAGTTTCCATTGGGGAAACCTTCCGGTTTCTGGTTTCGGCCGTCCAAGGCGATAGTAGCACCTTCCTTCTCCGCACTTGAGATAAGGTCTACACAGCGATCCCGACTTTGGGGTGTAATCAATGGACCCAGATCAGATCGTGCGTTGAATCCACTTCCAGCCTGGTATCCCTTGGCATTCTCAATCAATTCAGGGAGCCATTCGCGAGCCTTACCGACCGTAATCAAGACACTTAGCGCCATACAACGCTGGCCAGCGGCTCCAAACGCAGCACCTGCGATAGCGCTCAAGGCGTGCGTCTTATTACTGTCTGGAAGAAGGGCTGCGTGGTTTTTGGCTCCCAAATTTGCCTGCACACGCTTACCATTCGCGGTGCCACGTTCATAGATATATTCGCCAACCTTGTTCGACCCAACGAAGGAGATAGCCTTGATCTCCGGTGCGTCCAGGATAAAGTCGACGGCTGGTTTCGAACCATGGATGACATTCACAACACCCGGTGGGAAGCCCGCTTTCTTGCAGAGCTCAGCGATGATCATAGTAGCACCAGGTGCACGCTCGGTCGGCTTCAGAATCAGGCAGTTACCAGTCACAATGGCAATCGGGAGACTCCAAAGAGGGATCATGGCTGGGAAGTTGAATGGGCAGATAGCTGCAACGACTCCCAGCGGGAGACGGTAGGAACGGGTCTCCATATCTTTGGCTACCTCGAGGACCTCACCGGGAAGCTGGGTGGTGATTCCGCATGCGGTTTCGCAGACTTGTAACCCACGGAGAACATCGCCCTTCGCATCGGCAAAGGTCTTGCCTTGCTCTGTGACGATAGAAATTGCTAGGGAATCCATGTTCTCGCGGACCAGGTTGGTCAACTTGAAGATCATTTCCTGTCGCTTCATGATGCTGGTGTCTCGCCAGGCGGGGAACGCGTTTTGGGCTGCCATAACTGCGGCTTTGCACTCGTCAAGGGTTGTTTCGGGGACTCGGGAGACCACATTGTTTGTTGCGGGGTCGTGGACCTCGATCCAGGTGGTTGTTTTGGAGCCAAGAAAGTCATTGTTGATGAAGTTTTGGGTGTCATGAATGGTATCAGGCTTGTTGTGGTCGCCTTTATAGTTCAGGGTAAGTAGATGAGTTTGAGGCATGATTGCGAGGGAGAGAGTCCGAAGATGAATTGTCAAGTATGGAAATGGGGGCTATCTATTTAAATAGGGGAAGTGCGGGGAAAAGCCCGCGATTGTCATGTTACCTTTTGCATATGATAAAGCCCCGCATTTAAGCACATTTCGGATATCTTGAAGGTGAAATTCAAGGGGTTTATCATTATAGTCCTTATCTATTTATGTAGTCAACCCCAGGACTATCACGTACAACATAGATAACGCTTGGCAAGATGATTCCACTATGATCTATATGTTATCTATATGACCAATTCTGTGGTGGCATATCAGGTTGCGAAGTACTCCACCGTGAAAGAACAAATTCTTGGAGATTGTACGTATATACACATGCTATTTACCCTCTAAGAAAATCCACATTCATATAGCACCCAAGACAGCCCTGGAAATCCAAGTTGTGGAATGGTGGAGCATACCACCAACCAATAGAATGTGGTTAAAATGCCCAGGGTCTCGGGATCTACCCGAACCCAATTGGTCCAATCAGAACCTTGGAAGGACCTCATCAATATCGTCCTTTCACATTAAAATACATTTGCAATTCATCAAGGGCAAACGGACCAAGCTTATAGTATCTAGACAAAAGTTTGTACAGGAGACCGCTGGGCGTATGCTACATGGTCGTCATAGAATTAAGTTAAAAAAAAAAAAAAAAAGGAGCTAGACAGGATCTACATAGTGTCAGTCTATGCCCACGTTCAAATAACACGAGACCAGACCAGACCAGAATAAGTTAAACACCAGGATCATGAGTCGCTCGCATGGATGATACACAACTCCTTCGCATGCCAAATACGTCGCCGCCGCACGACATCCGCACCAAAAGTATCTATGATACCATCATCGTTGTAGCGTTGAGCAGCGGAATCACCATCATCATCGAAAGATGGACGCATGAGTCGGGCTTCTTCGATGCTTGCGCCAAGTTCGTATTCGCCGCGGCAGAGGACAGTGATGCCGATGGAGGCCTCGGTGGACTCGCCGCTGGGAAGGATGGGGAGCGCTTGTTGCAGCATCCCGGTCCACACGAGACGACGGGTCAGATCTAGGGCGATGTTGTTCGGTTGGTGACGAAGGCTGGGTTGAAGACGGAGGAGGGGGTGTATGGGGCGGGAGGAGCGGTTGTGGATGGTGACATTCAAGGTGAGGAGGTCGTCTGTCTTGACGCGGAAGCGTGAGCGGCCCGTTTGTTCCACTGCGGCGGAAGTCTCGGGGGAAGATGATGGCGAGGTCAGAGAGAATTTCATTTCGACGTCTTCGAGGCGCATGGCTTCGACCATGCGGTTGTTTAGTCGAACGTTTCGGAGGTCAATGGATCCCTCGCGGCCGGTGGCAAATTCCTTCCAGCCTCCGAGAAGTCTCTTGAGGAGTTCTTCCCGGAACCAGAAGGCTTCGCGCGAGGCAGCCTCGGCTTCGAAGGATAGTTTGTTGGCACTAACGACAAATTGTCTCCGAGTGCCAGTATTAACAACGGGGATAGAGGCATGTGGGTTGTCTAAATAGACTCGAGGCAAAACCAGAATAAATCGGGAAACCTGCCCGGGTTGAAGATCTCCATCGACAGAGTATTTGCCCTCAGTGTCATCGTTGCTAGTTGTCTTCGGTGGAAGAATTGAGCTTGTTTGTTCACTTACGCGCAACCACACCGACAGAGGATTTGGCCATGCATTGCGCAGGTCAAGCAATACGATACAGTGATCAGGTCCATAAGCCCCATTGCCGAGACGTCCGAGAACTTCAGAGAAGGGATCATTGTCAGTTGTGGAGAGCAACGCATTTGGCTCTTGTATAGAGTCGACGGGTGGTTCAATATTGTTCTTCCAAGCGAAGTCACCAGTAAACGGAAGAATGTCACAGCGAGCGACCTCCACGCTCGCATTGACCGTGACTGTCAACGGAACGAACAGTTGTCTAGTATAGAATATATCAGGCAATTCACCTGGGGCTGCCCCAACGCAGGAGTAGTCAATCTGGACTGTTGTGTCCTGCAAACCAGGCTTTCCAAAAACATCAACGGTAAAGGTTGCCTTCTGGCCGGCTGCAATCGAACAATCGCTGGGGTCCTGGCCCTGACGGCGCCATCGCAAAGCGGGCTTGGTTGCTAATTTTAGCTCCAGCTCGTAGATCTCGACCGGTAATAGATCTCTGTTACTCAGTGCAGACTGTAACTGCCTAGTTGTTGAATCTTGGAAAGTAAATAAGACAAAGTCCACAGGGCAAGGAGAGGCATTTTGAAGCGTAATAGTGAAGGTTTTGACTTCACCCTCAAGAACCATCATCGCCGACTGCGATAAAGACATAGATTCAATCACAAGTGATGGTTGTTTGGCGATGACTTTGACCTCGCATGTTGAGGTTTCAGGACCTGTCTTGACATCAACCTTGCCATCCTTTGATGTCGTTGAACTCCAAGAAACAGGGCGCTCTGTAAGAGGCTTCTTCGCCCCCAGACCTGTTCGTTTAAACTTAACCTCAGGCTCCGGTTTCCATAACTTCTTGAAGATGGGGAATCTTCGCGTTCGACAGTGTCGTACTTTCACGATACATCCCGTAATCTGAAGACTGCCTTCCCCATGGGCGACGCCGAGCACAGTGATATCCTGCACAGAGAGGGGAGCGATGGTAAAGTTCTCTGCTACTGCATCGAACGGCACCCCATTACTCTCTAAGCGCAAATGCTCAATCTCGATCTCAAATTCGTACGGGTTTTGCAGAGTTACTTGGAACGACGCAGGTTCGTCAGCGACAGTGAGCATTTCCAATGCCTTGCTGGTAGGCTTGGCGAATGGGTTGTACAGGAACGGATCCTTTTTCGCCTTGTCTGAACTTGTGGTAACGGCATCCAGTTCCGTTTTGGACCGGCGAACTGGCCTTTTAGGATCTGGCAGTGACAATAACCGGACATCACGTACTAGGAAGTCATCCCAATACTCTGCGACCAAATCAGAAACACCTAGTCTGGTGCCTGCTCCTACAGTGCGCTTGATGTTGTTCAAAAGACGAACTTGCTCATCCTGCGGTAGATACGGCGGGGACTTGTATGCCCCACCAAGCATCATATCCCCTCGAATGGTCTGCAAAAGCTCAACTGTGAACCGGAGAACTCCATTGAAATCTGGTAGGGCCTCGCAGCAATTTATGCACGCTTTCAAGACATCAATCTTCAAGTTCAGGTCACCGTAACGATCAAGAACTATATGTCGGAATGCCCGCTCGGCAATGCTAGCGACCGAATCATATTCAGCACCTTCCTGATTCCCACTCACACCAGATGATTTGCTTTGTCTCTTCTCCCATTCGTAGAATGATGAAGGCTGAACACCGTAGATTTCTCCGATGGTAGCAAGAAGGAGACGCAAACTTGACTCCATATCCCCGGGACCTGTGTCCAGGGAATTGACATCAAATGCGGTGTCACTGAGAGACGCCAATCCGGCGGCGGGATGAATGCCCACCTCTGCGGCACCAATTTTGCGTGCTTGCACTAGACTTGGTATCATTACTGAAAGCAGTTCACGTAAAATGAATGCTTTCTTTCTGGGCAGGTCAAGAATATTAAGAACAGCAACAACACCAACGATGATGGGAACGGCGTCTGTCGCAGGTAGATCTACACCAGCGGCAAGCGGCAAAGCCCGGTATAAGAAGTTGGCAATCTCGGACTTTCGGAGCAAGACAGTCCCCCGAGGAAGCTCGAGCTGGAGCAATGGAACTAAGTGTTCATTCATCACGATGTGCTTCAAAGCATTGTCATCCAAAGCTCCATCGCGAACGCGAGCTGACACCATCAGCCGCGCTAGTCGAATCACTGTCTCCGAAAATACCAGTTGCGGAAGAGGTTCGTCTGTGATATTGGCGGCGCGGGTATAAAGATTTAAGATGTTGTTTGAGAGATCCGGCAAGAGGTTGGCTAGGTTGTGTAGAGAGACGATCCTATTCCCGGCGCTACTAGGGGTCATTGACTCGCGGGAAGGTTTGGAAGATTTGTCCGCAACAGGGTACAGGACTGATGGAATCTAGTAAGCAAGTAAGCGATCTGACACAAATGCCCAGGGTATGTGAAGAAATTGTTAGCCATTCACGTACCTGAAAGTCCATGCCTGCCCACCCAAACATCAGCAGGCAAAGAAGAATTGTTTCAAGCGCTTTAGCGTGCCAGATATAGTCGCTACTTGCCCGTGCATTATTGACCGCCTCAGTCAGTTCTTTGAGGGCATCGGGCCACCTTCCTGCCTGCAGGAAAAGAGTTCCAACGATAACCCCTGCACGACCCTTGATCCGGTTCTTAGTTCTGTCGGTAGCACTCATGCCACTGACAGACATCCGGTCGCGGCTATGCTCCTTCGATGATGGTATCGATGGCGCTCTACCCGAGTTTGTACGACTAGATAGGTGAATTGCCCGAGTGATCTCATCAAAGGTTGTAGGAGTCTCATGATCGCTAGGAGCTGGGGAGCTGGCATTAGAACCCAAGGGAGTACCATCACGTGTCCCGTACGGACTCGATGGTAGCTGTGCGGGGAGAGTCATACGGTTCAAAAGTCGGTCTACTTGCCGTGGCCGTAGTTCTGGGTTCCGGTGCGGGCCCCAGGAAGATGCTTTAGGTGACTCAATTGACGGTATACTTTGAATAGTCTTTGCGAACCCATCCAATTCGGAGAGTAAAACAGACGTAATATCGCAAAGAACTGTCTTCATTGTCGTGGCCTTAGAGACCTGGGGCGGAGGAACCCAAAGGACATTATCCGGTCCATTCGTGATCTTATCCACGCCATGGTGATCAAATACCAAGAGTTGATTTACCAAAGCCCGTGGGTTCATCTCCTTCACCCCACGGAGCTCTTCCAATAATTGATCTAATCCCTCCGGGGTGGGGTGCTTCTGCTCGTCGCCAATGCTGTCAGGCAGTTCGGACCCATCTGCGATTGCAATAATCACTAATGGCTCTCTGTATAGTTCAAAGGGAAATAGTTCGAGATGTGAGGTCGGGGGAACCGAGAAAGAAAGGTCATAAAGAATCAATCCGGTGGGAAATGCCAGCGGTGAGAACATGTCTAGACAAAAGCAGATCAGTATATGTGGTAGCAATGGATATCAACAAGCTTCTCGTGATGACGAGGAAGGCATACTTCGATTTGGCCGCGCATCGGGACTAATATCCCCCAGTCGAACTACATTTTCAGCCTGTAGTCGAGCAGCGAAGCTCAAAAAGCGCGAGCGCTTGATCTTGCCGATGGGAAGGAGAAGCGCCCTGAGGCGCACGGGCGCAATTGGTGACAGAGGGTCAACACCCATCCTGTCAGTTGAGAGCGATTGATAATATTAAGCCCACATCCACACAATTACCTAGGCAAGCTTCCGAGCGGCATGCAATAGGGGAGATTGCGAGGGAATGGACGCGAAGCGGGTCCGGGCTACTTTGAATACATGTACACACACGACACTCGGGTTGAAGGCGGAGAGGGGTGGCAATTATATGACTGATAAGATGGATAAACCCGACGTAAACTCCGCGGTCTCCCCGAGTCAAGCGTTGGGACCGACTGTCTGCCCTCCTTCCCCTGAATAATCTTACTTTGTTTTGCCGTTTCTTTGTCTATCTCGGAATTTAAGCTCTAATAAGCGTTAAATCAACTTCTTCTTCCTCGGCCTCGATCGTATCCATGCGACCGACCAATGAGCCCGAATTCATAATCTCCACGGCAGCCTAGACAACCTCAATTTTGCTTGTCAATACTCATCTACTTTCATACGGAAGCTTAGATGCACATTCCTGCCTGATAACATAAAAGGCTCAGACATAACCAGATAAAAGAATACATACACGGCAAGATGGCTACGAAGGTGGACTTCAACGCGTTGAAGGCGCGGACAATGGGGTCAGGGGCTGATGAGGAAGCTGTGACAGTCGATACAAGAGGATTGATTTCCAAAGTGCTTGCCCGATATTCCGGGAAGTGGTAAGAGCTGCGCGTTCTTCGCTCTTGGGATCTAAATATTAACCTACTTATTGTTGTGAACAGGACAGTACTCCGAGAAATGATTCAAAACGCCGCTGATGCCTCTGCAACGAAGGTAACGATCAAGTTTGAAACCCTTCCATCGACCACAATACCGGCACCTCCATCAAATGATCCCACCGCACATTTGAAACATACCGTCACCAACCACACCCTCCAACGTGTTCTGATCTCCAATAACGGCGCCCCATTCAGTGAAAAGGACTGGGCGAGATTGAAGCGGATCGCAGACGGCAATCCAGATGAAACGAAGATCGGCGCATTTGGGGTTGGCTTTTACAGTGTTTTCGATGATTGCGAGGAGCCGTTTGTGTCTTCAGGTAGCCAAGCTATGGCCTTCTACTGGAAGGGGAATGCGTTGTTTACCCGTCGACTGGACCTCGGCGAAGCCGCAAATCAAGACACCACTTTTGTATTGGACTACCGCAACGATTCCTCCCCGGTCCCGTCGTTGCTGCAGCTCTGTCAATTTTTGGCGAGCAGTTTGACATTTGTCTCATTGCAAGAGATTGAACTTTGGCTAGATGATTGGAACCTTCTGCAGCTATCGAAAAAGACGGCTCCCAGTGTCGATGTCCCGATTCCAAGAGACATTGACACTAAAACTACAGAGGGTTTGATGAAGATTGTCAACGTTACTCGAGAAATTGCGCAGGTCAACGCTTCGTGGATGCGAATTGTGGAATGGAATCCCAATGCAAGCTTGTTCCGCCTTGATAATCTTCGAGATACAACCAGTTCGTTAAGAAGTTTCTTCTCCAAGTTCACTCAGGCTACACCTGAGAACCAATCCAATGCCCAGCATCCGGAACCTCAACACCAGGAAGACTCGAGCAACATGAACACTATGCTCTCAGCTTCGGTCTTTTTGCATATCAACACGGCATCGCTCCAACCATCAATCAGTAGAGATCTAAGCAAAGAATTGGAACGAGCCACACGGAAGCCTCCACCTAAGAAAGCAACACTCGCAATTCTGACTCCTTCTTACGATGCAAACATGGCGACTGGGGTGTCCTCGTCACAATCAGAGATTCTTTCATCAATCTTACCGTCCAAAGGTGGAAAAGTCTTTATTGGATTTCCAACAGCACAAACGACTGGCTTGAATGCCCATGTCTCTGCTCCATCTGTCATTCCTACTGTGGAACGAGAGAGCATAGATTTAAACACTCGGTACATCAGCAAATGGAATCTCGAGATGTTGCGGGCAGTTGGTATTGTTTGTCGAATCGCGTGGTCTGCAGAGATGGCTACGATAAAATCGAAACTTGCATCCAGAGTTGGACCATCACGCTCATCTAAGATTCGAAAAGAAGACATTGTGGATGTCCTACCAGAGGCTATTCACACTGCAAACCAATTTGTGTTCCGTGAATCTACCCCATCTTCTGTTTTGGGGCAGACAATTGAAGATTCATTCTGGATGTGCAACAATAATGCCTCTATTGAGGTCCTCTCTACTTGTGGTGTCATCCCCAGTCATCAAGCGCGAATCGCACCTAAAGATCTCAGCTTCATGGACTCAATTCCTGCTTTGCCTGAAGAATTTGTGCAGGGTGCTAAAGATTTTATCAAAAAGCTGACAGATTTCGGGTTAGTTACAGAAATCACGGTATCAGACATCAAGCGCGAGTTAGAGTCTAGTACTTTGCGATCTAGCCAAGTCCTCGAATTCATTTCATGGCTTGGCCGTAAAACAGTTGCTGGCCAACTTGATAGGTCTTCGGTTCAGAGTCTACTACGCGTAGCAGTGGCTAATGACGAGGACAAAGAGGGGCTTCCAACTCGTTTGATTATCTTTGCAGATATTTCCTCTTTTTTGAACCCTCAGCGCATTCCAGCGGAATTACCCATACCACCGAGTGTGATACCTTTCAAGTTCACCAAGTCTTTGGGCAAGCATGAACTAGAGGCACTTGGCTGGGCCGAGCTGCAAATAGTTCCCTGGCTGCTCTGGATCGTCAGAAATTGCGGAGACCGCAATATTTTCTCGGTAGATCAAGATATAACAAAGTCAGCAACCTTTTCGGGCCAGATATTGCCTGTTCTGTCAAAGCAGTGGGAAACTCTGAGTCAAGATTCAAAACAAAATGTTGTCGCAATACTTCAACCCCAGACTGTGATCCCCACGAAATTTGGAATGAAGCAGCCTGTGCAGACATATTTTGCTTCCGTACGCCTTTTTGACGACCTGCCTGTGGTTCATGGCTTGAATAGTGTCAAGGAGAAAATGTTGATCCAACTTGGGGTTCGCAAAACCGTGGAGCTTGGTGTGATCTTTGATCGTCTGATCAATACCCCAACCTCTGGCGATGTGAAAGCTCCTACGTCCAGAAAATGGAACCACGTTGATCTCATCCGATACCTCGCCTCTGTACAAGAGGACATACCCGCGAAAGATATCCAGAGACTCAAGGGGACGAGCATTTGTACTGCTGAGAGCGGGAGCGGAACTGAAGGCACACGCTACAAGATTTCCGAGCTTTATGAGCCAAAGGATGCACTTCGAACTCTCGGGTTACCGATTATCGAGTGGCCAGGCATTTATACCAGCAGCAGCAAGGAGGGTAAATTTCTTACGGTGATGGGGCTTAACAGTTACCCATCGGCTGTTGACCTCGTAATGCTCATGTCAGCTAGAAGCACAGGGAAAGATAGTCGATCAAGCAAGGCTCTGTCATATTTTCTCGGCGAATACCACACAAATGGCTATGTTTCGTTTGATATTAGTGCGGTGACAGTGCCATTCCTTCCCATTGAAGGATCCGATAGCTTAAGCGCTCCGAAAAAGTGCTTTACCGATGAGGGTGCTGCCTTGTTTGGATTCAAGCTTCTCAAAAAGAATCTCCATCCCCATGCCTCCAGGTTGGGAGTCAAGCCTCATCCTTCAATGACGGACTGTCTTCAAGTTCTCGCGAAGCAGCCCCCGACTACCCAGAGGGATGCGCAGATTGTGTTCAAATACCTAGCAGGCAGGATATCCGATCTGAAACAGCAAGATATAAACCGCATTAGCCAAATTCCTATCATCCCAGTCCCCATCCACAACCAATCAGAAAAGGGGGTCAAACACCGGCTTGTGGCCCCTAGGTCGTGCTATCTTGGAGAAGGAGAGGACTACAAGGATATATTTGACTTTGTCAATTTCGGACTGGAAGGGAACCTATTTCTCATGGCCATCGGCTCAAAACGAGAACCAACTAAGATTGAGGTTGCACGCATGCTAGTCAAAGAGCCCGCTCGCATATCTGCTGCATTCCAAAGTTCCGAGAAATACCTCATGCTTCTCAGGACACTGGCGGAGTACCTCCCGACACTGAAGAAGGATAAGGATCTTTTCATTGAGATGCGGAGTGCGAAATTCCTTCTCGCCAGTCGAGATATCCCACCCGCTGCATCAGATCATGGTGGCAAAGAAAAGCCAAATTTTAACGAATTCAATGACGGAGATAGCGATATGGACATCAAAGAATGGAGTCTCGCCTCTGCTAAGGACATTGTCGTGGTAGACGATTTCCAAAGTTTCAACCTCTTCAAGGAACACATCTTCGCAGCCCCGCAAGAAGAGGCATTGGAGGACTTCTACACTGCTCTTGGGGCTATACCATTGAGTGGCCTTGTTGAACAACAAACACGGTTTGGCAACATCGCCTCTGATCAAACTCGCGCACACAAGCTAGAGAAGTTGATTCTAGAACGTGCGCGGCTTTTCTTGCATGATCAGCCTGCAGATTCTGTTCTACATGGAGCCCAATGGTTGGAGAAGTCGTTCAACGTCCAGGTTGTGACCTCGATCGGTCTTAGGAGATCGCTAAAGGGACGTCGGGTGTCACACACACAGAAGCGAAATGCGATTGTCGCACAGCAGACCTCGGGATTTGTCATGTGCATCTGTCCTGATAGATACGACCTGTATGAGATCAGTCAATCCTTGGCGCATTTGATTTTAAAGCGACCGAAGCTGCACTCGATTCTCACATTGGAAATGCTGTTGAAGACTGAGCTCTTGGAACTCCGGGCTCGAGGTTACAACGTGGAACGTATTCTGAAGCAAAAGGCCCAAGAAGCTCGGATTGCGGAAAATGAGCGTCAAAAGCAGGTAGAGGAGGAGAGGCGCGTATTGCAAGAGAAAGAAGCTGCCTGGGCAGCGGGTCAAGCCCGGCGTGACTCTCAACGGGCCGAGGAAGACAGGGCCGAAACACAGACGCATAATTCGATGCCCGGCGTTTTCCCGGAGTCGCCGAAAAATGACAAGAGCTTGCCAGAAGAAGCACATGCCGTTCCTCCACAGCCAATGCCTATGCCTATACGGCCCAGTCGAAGCATGTTTGCCAATCTGTCAAAACGACTTGGCTTAGATGGTGGAAAGTCCGGCTCAAACTCTGGCACTGACGAACAACCTCGGTCTCCACGTCCCGAGTCTTCCACACTTCCGCCACCGCCTTACTCCCCCAACGACCCCCAGACCCAGCAAAAGCGCCCAGAACAATCTGTAAATGCCAATTCGCCGCACCGATTGAACTCCGAGCTTCTCTCCGCCGTCCAAGCATGCCGACCTCACGGATCCTCCGACGTGTACAGTCGCCCAGAGACAAACGAAATCCAAGAAAGCAAGTCCTACTGTGATGAGCGCCCAAGCCACGACCTGGAATTCGTAGCCATGCTCCCTAGCAGTCGTATGAACGTCCTCTTCACGAGGACAGCTGTCACCGATCGATCCGCCTTCCTCGCGAAAAACCGCGTAGGGCTTAACCTCTTTGCTTCAATTCTCCTTGACTGTGGTACAATCTTCTCAATGCGGGCTGACAGCCTAACCATCTTCTATGACCCGGGCGGCAAGACGATCGCATTCAACCGCGCAGGCAGTATTTTCTGCAACTACTTTTACTTCCAGTCTTTACAGGAGCAGGATCTTCTCCAGAGCGCGAATCCAAATCGCGCTGATGCTATTGTGTATTGGTGGGTTATTCTGTGCCATGAACTGGCCCACAACTTGGTCGGGGACCACAGTTCTGCGCATAGTTACTACACGGAGGGCTTCGTGGCGCAGTATTTCCCTAAGGTTGCTGTCAAGCTTGCTTCTCTGCAGATGCCAGCCCCAGCCCCAGCTCCTCCATCTGGACAGTCTTGATGTTTTGCCATGTTGAATACCCTCTAGCCTATCTGTTTAGATGTAAAGTGCATTAGCTTTGATAGCAATTTCGGTTTTTTTATTTGCAAATATGTAGATTTGAGAGTCCTTTCAAGAATATCTTCCGTCAAAGAGAACTCGGCGAAGTGCATCCATGATATGCTGATCGGACTGCCAGTATTCATTGCTATGGGTAGGGTCACAACTTGACATGTACCATGCACTCTTGGATCGTTCACTATAGCCTGACATTTCTTAGCTCTTTTGGAATAGCGATATGCGATGGTTCATTGATGTATATATATGTACATGTAGGATGAGACACTCTTGGCAGTAATAATGTTTATCTATAGATCTGAGTTCGACGTTATACAACATAGTACTCCGTACTTCTTCTGCCCTTGGTGAGCTTGCAAGAACTACAATGTAATATATTTCATTATTCTTCTCACCGACATTTATTATTCAAAAGCTTCAATTTGAATAATCTAGGTGTTCTTGTCACAAAAAGTCGTGCAGTCTAATATCAGAGTCCATCCTCCATTGCCACATCGGTGAAAGTTCCGTCGGTACCCGCTTTTGGCCTTTTTCTCTCTCTCGCCAACCTTAAATTTTTCTTTGCGTCAACGACAATGCATTGTTAGCTCACTTGCATCTTGATCTTATAGACAGCGCTGTTCTTTGAAAGCTGTGTTTCTAAAGCTCTTTTTTGCTTTTCCCATTGGGGCATGTTCTGAGGATTAGGTACTGCCACTCTCCGATCTCGCTCCATCAAATAGACGAACTGTCTCTGAGTGGCTAATTCAAGGAAGAATTGAGGATCTTGCTATGCAGATGGGTTTTGATCTTTTGAATTTTGTCTAATCTCGAAGTTCATTACGGGTACAGCATTATCCGACCAATCAACCCAAATATAAACCCCACTATCGGATTCAAATATCAACATGGCACCAATGCTAGGCGATTGGGATGGCTCAAGCAAGGCGAACGCAGTGCCACAGCTTGATCCTTGCTCCTCCACTAAGAGTGTTCTCTATGTCGATGCCTACGACTCTTTCTCCTACAATGTTGTCGCCATGCTGGAGGAGACCCTGGGAGTCAAAGTCACAGTAATGACCATCGACTCAGAATGGCCGGATTCCAATATTAGTGGATTTCTCCAGCACTTCGAAGCCGTCGTTCTTGGGCCGGGACCAGGAGACCCTAATGTACCTGCCGATATCGGTATCATGAAAGACATCTGGAACCTTCAGGACTCAGAACTCCTTCCCGTTTTTGGTATCTGTCTTGGGTTTCAAAGCCTTTGCCTTCATCAGGGTGTTCCGATAGAGCGGCTCCCATACCCGATTCATGGGCAGATTCACAAGATATCCACGACATCGAAGGATATATTTGAACATCTACCGGAGGTAGAGGTGACACTTTACCACTCACTCTATGCCAACTCAGCTTCTTCAACATCCACTGATTTGGAATACTTGGCTTGGTTATCTCTAAAGGATCGCCCAAATGTACAGATACCTATGGCAGCTCGCCATCTGAAAAAGCCATTCTGGGGTGTGCAGTTCCACCCGGAGTCCTGCAAATCAGAAATTAACGCCTGCAGGGCGCTTCTTCGAAATTGGTGGAAGATGGCTCAGAGATATAACAAGCTCGTTGGACGCGAGGGATACTGTTCCCTTCCCAGCACAGTCATCAGCCCCCATACAGCTCCCAGTCCATTCCCCGATGCTGCTTATGAGATGCTCAGCTGGAGCAAGTCAACTTCGAAGATTTCAGCTTTCCGGTCCCTTGACCGACCCGACTTGACCGCGGAGGCTATCAGTGAAATGTTCAACAAACCAGGTTCGCCAACAGTCCTTTTTCAATCCAATGGTCAATACAGCATCGCTTCGGTGCCTAGTCCTGGCTCATGGCGGTTCGAATACAATGTCGAGACACATCAACTTCGATTGCTCCAACTGTGTGGCGACTACAAAGAGGCTGAGAGTTATATTACTGTTGCTCAATTGTGGGATGCTTTACGGTATTTGATGGAAATGAAGAAGGTTGATTCAGGGAACTCTCGGGTGCCATTCTGGGGTGGCTTCCTGGGGTATCTCTCCTACGAACTTGGACTCACTTGTCTTCCCCACCCAGGCTATGCACAGGCTTCTGAGCCACGAAGGCCCTCCAAGACTGAGAAATCTTCATCTAATCCTGCATTTGCGGATCCACCCGATGTCAGCCTTTTGTGGTGTGAAAGAAGTATCGTTGTTGACAATATCACTGGCGCCATTGTTATTCAATCCACTCGTGATACTGACGCGGATTGGCTTGATGAGACACTACAGCAGCTGCAACAGTTCTCAGATAGTGGCAATGATACATCGGCAGATCAGGGCTTGGATTCACTTCTCCGGGAAAGCAAAATTCAGTTCCCCGAAGAAACGGATTACAAGCAGAAAATCGAGTCATGCAAAGCGGAGCTGGAAGCCGGTGAATCTTATGAGCTATGTCTAACCTCTGAGACGTCAATCACCTTGCCAGTTCCAGAAGTGGAATCAGATCGTTTGATGTTCCCCTGGAGGCTGTACAGGCGACTCAAAACATACAACCCAGCTGCATTCAGCGCTTTCGCAGATCTAGGAGATACAAAAATTGCGAGCAGCAGTCCAGAATGTTTCCTCAACTGGGACCGTGAGTCGACACTGGAGATGAAGCCAATGAAAGGCACAGTCCGAAAGTCACCAGGCATGACCATGGAAAAGGCCTGTGAGATTCTCGGCTCTACGAAAGAGATGGCCGAGAACCTGATGATCGCAGATTTGATCCGGCATGATCTGTACGGCATCTGCGGATCAGGTGGCGTTCATGTCGAGAAGCTGCTAGAAGTTGCAGATTACGGCCGAGTGTATTCAATGATTACCCACATCAAGGGCAAGATCCGCCCCAACCACCCTGGTTTCGCTGTGCGACACATGTGTCAGCTGAATACCCCAAACATGTCTGTTCATGGCCTCGCTACCCTCCAACGGTGCCTTCCACCGGGTTCCATGACTGGTGCACCTAAGGAACGCTCTTGCATGCATCTTCGCACTATTGAGAATCGCAAGCGTAGCATTTACTCCGGTGTGATGGGTTTCCTTGACCTTGGAGGAGGTGGAAGCTTCTCGGTTCTGATTCGCTCAGCATTCACTTGTTCTGGTGGTCGAGACTACACCGATAATAAGCAGCAGACCTGGCGAATCGGCGCTGGGGGTGCTATTACCACACTCAGCACAGCGGAGGGCGAATGGGATGAGATGTTGACCAAACTGCGTGTAGTTTGCAACGTCTTCAAACCGCTTGATGAAGGCGAGAAATCTGCCGCGACGTCTTGACTACTCAGTGTAGTTTGATTATTGGAGATCATGACAGTTATGCTTTATCGCATTATGATCCACGCTCTTCCTTGCTTTCAACATCTGGATCCATGCGTTGGGATAGAGATTCGATTCAACATTCAGCGTTGGCGTTTCGGTTTGTGTTTTGCCATTGTACAAGTACCATAGATTTTTTCTACATTCAATCAACATGTAAAATCAGAAATCCAGATATTCATCACTCTCTCAGCTGATTCTTCCTTAACGTCATCATACTACATTATCGCCATGCAAACAAAACAAACATCAATTTCTCCGCAGCTTCAGCTTCCGAGCTGCGTCTTTCCTTTAACACTCGTTCGCAATTTTCAAAAAACAAAAGCTTATCGCGAGTCCCGATAGACTGGAGGTACCTCGGTCCATCGTTCTCAGAGTCACAAATGGCGAGCCAAGATGCCTCAATGGAGGAGATCCTCTGGCGGTCTCCCCCGCACGTCCAGATGATGGGGGGATTCCTTCATTCCAACAACAGTAATTTGCGCACCTTACTACACCCGGACCTGAGATTAACTTTCTATTCAATTAGTTCTGTTTTACTTTGCCGAATCCCCTTTCTTTGATTCGACCTCCAACAACGCCTCGCTCGCCATCCAAGCCAACTACAATGATGCCTTCCGTCACTTCGTCGAGACGCGCGAGGCTTTCGAAGGCCGACTGAAAACAATGCAGGGTCTAGAGTTTGTCGTGTCATATGACCCCCTTCAAGCAGCCGCACAGACAGACAACCGCTTTGCCCACGAGCCATCTAACATCTGGGTGATCCGCAAGCAGAACCGGCGGAAGAGAAATGGCATGGACGATGAGGTGACCGTGATATCTACGTACTTCATTGTCGGCGACTGTATCTACATGGCCCCTTCAGTTGCGGGTGTAGTAGGCAACCGAATCGTATGTATTCCCTCGGCACTCATTAATTGCTCCGAGAACAGTATTCTAATGAATACTTTCCCCACAGTTATCGGCTGTCACATCCCTAACCCAACTCATGAAATCCGCCGCGACATTACCAACATTTACCGCCTCCCATGGACACACGTACTTGCCACCCGGAGTCCGCAGCAAAGATACCGCCGGAACCAGCCAAACCTCCCAGAGCAAAGAAGCAACACCCACGCCGGACGTATCCTTTCCAACCACCGAATCCTCCCAATCAACCAGTAAATCGAGCCTGGGCGGCTCAACCACAAGTTCCAGCTATCAGGATACGCGCAGTCTGGCCGAATCGTTCAGCTTGCTCACGCGCTACGGTGACGAGTTCATGGACGAGAGCCCCCTCGTCGGCGAACCAGGCTCGTTCATCCTATCACGGACTGGCGGCGAGACTACCGGCCCGGCTGTTAAAGCTACGCCGAAAACCGCTGCTAACGGGGTGGTGACTGGTACGCCTTCTACCCTCCCTGTCAGGGCGTCAACGCCACAGGTCCGCGTCGAGACGCCCAGCAAGGCTTCCGAGAAGAGTAATTCGCCGCCTAGCTCTACCGGTGACAAGGCGAAGAGAAAGAAGAGCCGCATCGTCAGCTGAGTTGCTTTCTTGATACCCATTTTTTTGTTGCATCTCTGGGCGTTTGGGGGTCGGGCATAGCATTTACGGGCACTACTCTGTTGGTATCTAAGAGCTGGCTATCAGCATATATACGTCTTAGCCTGATTTCTGAGTTCTGATTTATTATCCCCCAAGTATCTAAACGCTGTAGCTCATATTTCGCATTTTTGAGACCCTCCAGGGTGGTTCTCGTGGATTCTTGACACTGCCGCCGTTGTTTAGAGCTGCAAATTGTTCTGGTGGTATATTTCTAGTCCGGATGTCATCAAAAATCCCAAAACGCCTGAGCGTACGATTTCTTTGGATCGTAGGCAGCCGTATGATAGCAAAGGCGCGAGAAGCTACAGTACAAATCAAATGGTCTACGCTTGGTACAACCAGAGACCCAGACGATCCAGCACAGTTCAGTGCCAATGAGCCCCTGAATCTGTTAGGTCACATCTCTATCAATCGGAACAATCTAGGAGCTGCAAGGTTGGATGATAGTCTCTGGCGTTGTACTTTCTATCATTTATATTACAGACCAAGAATACGAATTAGTCAACTACAACATCTGGTGCAGTTGAAGAAGTAGGAACATAAGCTATAGAATAGATATGTTCAAATCACGTAGTCTTCCCTTCCTAGTTTAGGTTCTGACTTTTCCAACAAACTGATGTTCTGATCCTTAAGGCTAAGAATTAGTACTTCGTTGGTGGCTATATCTAGGCATCACCACCTACAACATACACAACCCGCAACCCGCAACTAACTATCTAGCTTCTCCCTACTCCTATATTAGCAAGCTAATATCACCAACAAGATAGTTGCCAACAGTTTGAAACATGAACTATCAAACAAAACTATCATGTTAGCCGCTGTTGGGATCCTAGGTCTCGCTGGGTGGTCAAATCATCTATAACAGGACCCTTCAATACACCATGGCCGACTCTCTCTCCCCTCTCTCGCTCCCGTCCCCCTTTTGTTCTTCCTTTTTTCTTTTGCATATATAGGGACTACAGCATTCCCCCATCTCTTCGATCCTACTCTAATTCTAAGACCTCGGACCAAGCGCAATACTCACACCCGCTATTCACTCTCTTAAGGTACTTCGCATTTGATCCATACCAAAAATATGAAAGAGAAAGAACAAAGAACAAAGAACAACAACTCAACAAGCTACTTCTTCTGGATTCTATGAGATTATCCTGTTAGTATGAAAAGCGCACAACTGCCTATCGCTAATCCGAACTAGTCGGTCATATTGAAGGATCTAGAGAGATTGACGTCGTAAAGGCTGGACTCAAGTAAGCATACGGATTTTCAAGCTTGCATTCTCTATTAATGAGCTGTATTTGTTTCAAACTAGCTGTTACTCACCTTAGCTATATAGTGTCATTCATATTAAAACCTTGAGAGCCCAGACTACCAACTTGTTCTCGAGACCCTGGCGCCGGCTTCCGTTGGTTGTGAGATAAGAGAATTTGTTTTCTCTTGTGATCTTGACAGTCTCCTTTTTGGTGAATTCGCACATATATCAGTGGAAACCCAAGCTCTTAAGCTGCTGGGTGAACTTAACACCTATTTGGAAAACAAGCAAAGTGTATGAATCCGGCTTCTCTTGATCCACATTACTGTGACATTAACCAAGTCCGATATCTAGAAGACACAGCAGCTTTGCATATTAGCTGCGTACGACCTTGGTGCATTAATCTTAAAGAAGGGAAAGTAATATCAGGCTCAACAGCTACCAGCTTGAAATTGACCAATCCAATATAGGCTATCTCCATTGCCTATCTAGAGCAGGTCCGCTGGTCTGGTATCATCGAGACGGTGGTACAATTTGTAAGTTAATCGTATGCCTTGGCATTAATATTGAAAGCACAAACTCTGAATTATGCTATAGGTATTTTGGGAGAGCTTTCACCGAAGACAGAATGTACATGCTTTTGATAGTCAGCTTTGGAAGTTTCTCCAACCTCGTTCAAACTACAGGTCTTGGGTCAGATTTCCCTCGTTGAAGTCTGTGCGAGCACTTGCAGATGCATCAGAAATCGTGACTAGACTGTTTCTTCAGCCAAGAGTCACTTTGTACATACCGAGAATCAGTATTCTATCCACTGCAAAGGGGACTGAAGATGCCATTGGGGTGGGTTCCACTCAATTGAGCTGGGTTTGCAGGGCTAATATACGCGGAGAAATGACTAACACTTTTATCAGGAGTTTGACCAGTCTACACCAACACTAGGTGTGCCTACAGAGACTCTCGTTCGGCCTCCTTTGGTTTATGATCCGTGTCTTTACAGCAACCAGCTCATTTGCCATGCAGTTAGCAGTCAGTTCTCCCTCTCATCTTTGATACTCTCCCCCCTAAGCTCATTCTAATATGGAGTCAACAGCTGGGTATTTCAGCCCCTTGTGGATCACCCTACGGCAAACGATATCGCCCATGGCTCTACCTCATCAGCAGATGAAATCTATTCAGGCGTCTGCATATTGTTCAGTAGCGAGTCTTACAAAAACTGGAAAATGGCAAATGGGCCACAGATACTATGCTTGGAGGGCCATGATCAAACCGAGTGTGCCCAGCTCGCAGAAGAAGTGTTTTTGTCGTGGAAGTATGACATTTCTTTTCGGGGAAGTGACCAGGTACCTGGTCTGTTTTTCGCTTCCCCCTGAAATTCACTCGGACCCTTCTATGCCTCAGATAGTATCTTCGATGGTACTGCAGAACCTTGCAACTACTGATATTTCCATCACCGAAGAGACAGCCGCAATCCACGAAAACTTTCAGAATCGGCGAGGATGGATTCAGAAAGATCTCTGCAACCTCAATGTTTTCACATACTTGAAAAAGGGTTGCATTCTTGTGCTGCAGAATATTGACAACTACGATCGTGCTAGCAGAATAGCTCTTTGGAGACTTATTTGGAGGCTTGAAAGTGCATCAGACGAGAAGTTGAGGATTGTGGTGTCGTACAAGCTCGGCTCCATCGTACGAGATGATCTGGTCGGTATGGAGAGTATATGCCAGTCTTTTCCGTCCAACGAAAGGCCTCTCTACGAGCGCAACCTTTCAGATAGTGACTATATTGAGTTCCTTAGAGAGAGCCTCTGCATCTCCGACAATGGCAAGCAGAATATCTTCGCAAACTTGGAAAGGCTTGTTGGCATGGGCCAAGGCAACTTGCATTCAATAGTCGAACTGCTCAAGTCTCATACTGGATGGCCCGGTGAAGAATCACCGGGTGCTTTGTCCAAATTTGGCAGCAATATATCACCAACAACCTCTCCCGCAAAAGTACTTGATTATATCCTAAGATCTGTCGCTATCCAGCCTGCAATTTGTTGAATTTTGCACTGAATTCGACATGGACGTCGGCCATTGACGGGCCGAGAGGCTGGCTCGCTTCTATACCACCACGAAAACAGAACTCAAGCGATCACAAACTTGCCGTCAATGACACAAGCGGAATATTATCTAAATCATCTCCATACCTGGCTTCCAGCTGTGGTGAGCTTCAAAGAAGACCGGCTTTGTATTCATGATCCTGTCCAAGGGATTCCAAATCAGGGTCCAAATTACATCTGGAATGAGTCCGACACAGCGGCACATGAGAGTACGGTAAAATTCTCATCTCATATCTCACAAGTGCACCGGCCCGTGCCAAGATTGAGAATCACTTTTCCAAATATCTCAGCCGTTATCTTGCTGCAAAGGATAACATCGTTCCTCAGCTAGTCGAGGATGGCGATAGTTTTCTCTTTTATGCCGTCCAGGCTTTCCCTTATCATCTGACCAAGAGTCATCGAGACATTCAATCATTGGACCCAGCTCTCATTCTTCCAGATTGTAATCTCACCCCATGGGCTCATATGTTTTGGTCCATGAGCAATCCCTTTTCTAGGCTTCTACCAGAAACAGTCACACGTGCATATGACTTGCTTCGGCACCAAGAGGGATTTGATCAAGACTCACGAGAAACATCAAAGAAGATTGGAGGAGTTATCTTAGAGGACGTATCTTAGAAACAAAAAAGTGTGGACCTATGGCTGAGCTGCTGTATTCTTTACAGGTCGGCGATGAGAATGCTGCTTTGGGTTACGTCCACGATATTATATCTGAAGCCAGCCAGCAAGGCATCCTTGGAAGTATTTTGGGACGTTCTGACACAGCCGAAAACAATGACAATCTGTCTTGGATGGCGGCTATTTTATGGAAGGCCACCTGGTTAAACATGCCTGTCAGTCTTCTTCTAGAAAACAAGACGCCAGCCGATATCCTAGACAATATCGTATCCCGCTTCCCCTCTCAATTGTATCTAGCATCATATCTTGGTCACACCAGCGTTGTTTGTCTCTTGTTGCAGCACGGGACAAATATCGGCGTTCTTCGCGAAGGAAAGTACGGGGTGTGCTGGGTAGCGGCTGCTAGAGGACACGCAAATGGTGTGCGCGCTTTGGTGGAGAGCAACCGTGAATTGCTAGAAAAGGAAGCACCAGAGACTCCTCTCTACGCTGCCTCATTCCATGGCTGTTGGAAAGCTATCAAGACTCTCATCAGCTTGAAAGCGACTCCCGATTTACGTAAAGACAAGCTCGATTGAACACCCCTTCTTCCCGCATCATCATCTGGCCACTTGCGCACAGTCCAAATTCTTTTGGCAGCCAAAGCAGACCCCAACCTAGCCGGCGGTGAAAAGCCCCGCGTCACTCCCTTGTACTATGCTGCAACACAAGGAGCTAGCATCGACTGCGTGCGAGCCATTCTTAGCAATGGGGTGGATCCCAACCACATATCATCACCGGATCCGCTAGCCTGGATGATCTCAGTATCCCCAATGCCAAGCCAGCAAAATATTGCAACCTTGGAGGTCCTTTCGAATAATTCCCCCTCGGTAAATGTGAACAGTAGGTCTTGCTACGGGGGAAGAACGGCCCTAATGGAGGCCGTCGAAAGAGGGGAGAAAGATTTGGTTGAATAACTTGTCGCTCATCACGCATGTGTGGAGACAATTGACAAGCTTGGAGAGACAGCATTGTTTTCGGCCGTGCGAGGAGCTCACATCGATATACTCCATTAGCTTGTGAATTCAAATTCAAAGCAGCCACCACCACCGCTGTATACCATCAATGGGAAGGGAGAAGGGTTGCTCCAACTGGCTGGCAAGAACACCGAGCTAGATAAAATCCTGCGAGAGGCAAGTGATGCCTTCCTGCACGGCTTCACAATTGTGGATGGGAGGGGAACAGTCGAGGAGATTAAAGACGAACGTGATGCAAATCTGGGTAAATGTTCAGATAATCTCTTAGATGAATTCTCAGACGCTCATGAATGCAATACATGGTCATGATATGGATGATCGGTGGTTTTTGCATTTCTTCTTTCTTGTCTTGCCTGTGTCCCACTTTTCTATAGCAAAGCAGAATGGCATCCAGTCTACACGTTTCTATGTACAGAGTATCCTTTAAACGAATTTTGGAAGAACAATTTGACAATGTGGGGATACCAGCCATTTCAATACTCTATGATAATGCTAACTAAGACGGTAAACCTCAAGTTTATATTCACGATCCAGAGCTGTTGTCAGTTCGTCATTACTCGCCACTATTTAATTGACGTATCAAAGTTGGTTAGATTTTTATATAACATAATATTGAAGCAGGGACTTATATTCCATCCAGTATCTCTTCAAATTAAGTATAGGGGTCTAGTGAGAATCTCTATATACAACCCAGAAGTATAATTCGAAGGTTTAGCCGGAAAGGTGGCTACTATGTCACCACCATGTAGTATGGGTCTTAAGGGTTTATAGAGATCCTAATGGCAGTGAATTCATATTGTCCTGGCAAAACCCTGGTCTTTTTCTCACACGACCAAAACCCGCCATAAACAAGCCCTAATCCAGTTCGAATTTTCGAGTTGTTCTAACTCAGTGTAATTGGAGTCTCACAGGCAAACACAAAGCCCTCAATATATATGGCAATTGTTCGTAAAATCTTAGCTACATCACAAGAAGTACTCCAAACAAAAGTTGGGGTCGGCCCTGAGGCCCCAACGTTATACTTCGCTATCTCTTATCAGAGTGGGGGTTGCTTGTTTCGTCCCTCTCTTCTTGAGTCAAGTTCCCCTCCCTTCATTCTCCTCTGATCAAGGCCATTTTAAGTTCTCTCATTTGTTCATACACTCAAGCCCCCAATTATATATCAAAATGGCGGACTCGGAGACCAAACCAGCTGTCGTCTGTGTATTGTGAGTCATACCCCTCACCACCGTCTGAACACTTTCAAGGTCACAAACACACCAAATTGTTTACCAATGTTGCGGGTGTAACCCCAGACCCCATATATTCCATATTATCCCTCGGACTTAAAACATTGAACTAACAAACTCCCGTCTCGGGTTCCCAGTTGTGGCTCCGTACCAGGCAGCAATCCAGTACACATGGAAGCAGCCCGAACTCTCGCCGCAGAATTCCACAAACACAACGTGAAACTAGTCTACGGCGGCGGCACAACTGGCCTGATGGGCGAACTAGCGCGCACTCTAGTCTCGCTTGCGGGCCCGAAAGCTGTGCACGGCATCATCCCACGCGCGCTGGTCAAAGTCGCTACAGTCGGCGGAATGCGCGAGCACCAGGAAGGTCAGGCCAGTACTCAAAAACCTGGCAAAGCCGCCGAGCGGGTTATCGATGCTACTGATGCTGATGGAATCCCTGAGTCGGAGTACGGCGTTACAACCATTGTCGTCGATATGCATACACGCAAGCGTATGATGGCGGAGAAGGTTCTTGAAGGTGGGCCTGGGTCTGGGTTTGTTTCGCTGGCTGGTGGGTTTGGTACTATTGAGGAAGTTATGGAGATGACAACATGGAACCAGCTGGGGATTCATAAGGTTGGGGTTGTGTTGTTGAATATCAATGGGTACTGGGATGGGTTGTTGGCTTGGGTGCGCAATGCTGTGAACGAGGGGTATATCAGCGTCAGTAATGGGGTTATTCTTGCGGAGGCCAAGGAGGTTTCTGAGGTCTGGCCGAAGTTGCTGGCTTATCAGGTCAGTAATGGACGCATGCAGTTGAACTGGGGAGAGGAGTGAAGCTATTCCGGTTGGTCGTCAAACAAATAGGGCATGAAGATATATTTGTCGCTGCGTTTGATTGGGATTTGTTTCGGGTTCGTTTGTGTTTCGGTAGTAGAAAACTTTGGGCATATAAACATACACAAAGTAGATTATTTTGTTAGAAGCGCCTTATGAATTGATGATTGAATAACTGAGATCGTTGAACGCAAACACAAGACAGAGCATAATCAGGATTTCATGTCTATGCGAATCATTAAACAAAACCAGACAATTATGAATCAACCTCCATGGACTCGGCCTCCGCTCCAGCGGACTCACGCTGCTCCAGCACCTCAAGCAGCGCAGCCGTGTCCTGGCCCTCGTACAGCTTGAAGCTCTCTTTCTTGCCATTAGTCACACCGACAACACCAACAGAAGTATTGTCCACCGTAAGCTCCTTATCCTGAGACAGTGTCTCCTTTAGCGCGCTCAACCCATGCTGAATCAGCTCGTCACGACTGCAGTCTTCGAACTTGTCGAGGTTTCGCTCCAAGTACGTACGTGCCATCTGCGAACGGGCACCGATGGCACAAGCACTCATCTCATGCGTCAGGCCGGAGGGTTGGAACTCAAAGAGGTGCGGGCCAGCCTCATCAACACCAGCAACCAGCAGACCCACACCATAAGGCCGTTTCCCGTAGTGCTGAGTGTTGGTCTGCGCGCGGTCGCCAATCTGGGCAACGATTCGGTCCAGGGGAATGGGTCGGCCGTAGGTCATCTTCGAGCCGAGGGATTGCTGCTTCATGAAGTTTGAGAGGACGCGGGCGTCTGATGCAAGGCCGGCGATAGCGATCGCCATGTGCGAGTCGATCTCGATGATCTTCTTCTGGTACGAGGAGAGCTCTTCTGCGTTGCGCTGTAGGGTGTTCAAATGTTAGTTTTGATTGTTTGGTCTGTTCCTTTTTTGTTGTAGGTCTGCGAACCTTGAGTCCAACAAGCACGGCATGTGTCTTATTCACCAATCCCACCACAACGGATCCTTGCTTCACTGCTTCCTGTGCATATTCCACTTGAAATATCCGACCCTGTGGAGAGCTGGGATCCTTCATGTTAGCATCTGATGAATCCGAGGGAGATCGGGGGACCTGGTCTTACAAGGTGACGGCATCGTTGTCGTAATTGTTTCTGAACATAGTGACGGAAAGGGGTGTATGGATATCAAAGCAAAGTGATAAAGGGGATTCTTGTTGATAAATAGAGATTCAGGAACAGCAACTCAAGAATCCGAGGGATAATCCGGTGATGGAGAGAGAATGGGGAGCTGGAGCAGGCAGTAAAGTGACGCGGTGTGAAGCATGAGCTGTTGGGGCCTGAGGCCACCATATCCAGTGACCTCCAGGCGCCAACGTCACTCATTCTCGAGCTCATCTCCAGCTTCCCGCTCTGTTGCCCTTCTTTGATCTCCTACCCTCGGCCAATGGGGCTGTCACTTTTGATCTGCCCTTGATAATATCTTCTGGTTTCACCCAGTTTAACGGCTCCTACTCCTCTCACCTTTAGTCTCATCGATCGGCTTTCGGTGTCTCCGCAATCATGGCCGCTGGACTCAAGACCATCATCGCACTTTCCTTTGTACGCTTCATTTCATTGCTCGCTTAGCTTTCAAATATTTGCTAACATCTGATCAGGTTCTCGCAATTGGTTTCCTCCTCGTTATCCTCTCTTCCGCGCTATGGCACAGGTACTGGCCGCTGCTGGTGGTCGGCATCTACGTTGTCGCGCCGCTTCCCAACTGGATCTGCCAACGATGCGCAAACCCAGATGATTTTATGGACAGCTCGAGCAACTCCGCGATGGACTTTGGACGATTCATGACCGGATTTTTGGTTCTTACTGGCATCGGTACGTCGTTTGTTCCGTCAAAACAACCCCTCTTGTGGGACATATAATTCCTCGACTGGTCAGCTTTTGGTGTATATACCACACTATGTCTATACTCATTGTCTCATCCTTGCGCCATTGACGATTATTCGACTGACCTGTCTAGCACTTCCCATTGTCCTCGCCCACAGCGGCGCAATCGAGATTCCAGCAATGATCATGTCGATTATCGGAGGTCTATTGATTTATGGCACCATTATTAGTTTCTCAATGTTCTTCCAGGAACAGGAAGAGTTCTGATCACCCAGACTGGATGAGGCGTGGGGTTGCTGAGGGCTTTACCTATACTGTAAGCCAGTGGGCCTCGTGGCATTCAGCCTTGCTGCATCTGGCCTTCCTCATGATGATATCTGTTTTTTTTACGTTTGTTTTGATTTCAGCGTATGCTTGATATGCTATGTATGAGTGTTTTGGTGCGGGGTGTGCCTCACTTCTAAATGGCGATGGCTCCAACACCTGGCTGTGCTACTCTAGGTGTATTATAACCCAATGGATATAGAAAACTCTTGAAACCCGAGGAACGTAAATCTATGTCGCTTATGAAATTACTCATAGTTCTTCCCTTTTAACGATTATTCATTCTGATCTATGAAATGGTCCACGTGACCGCGCGCGGATTCGGCGCGTCTGCAGAGATTCGGAGATAGTAGCAGATCGGTTTGGACACAACACAAAAACATCAAAATGATATCACTATCCTGACCCCGTGAAAGGCCTTTCCGGGATCCAGGTAACAAGATGAATGTCTGGACAGGATCCATTCCTCTCAGCTCGGACTCCAAGTTATTAGGTAAACCACACGCGTATCGCATTATGTTCCTGGCTGACCACTTGAACCAGGCATTCGACTGGTCGACCCGAATTCTTACTGGCAGTCCGAGCTGTCCAAAGAGTCCCAGCTTAGTCTCCGCAGCTTCGTAAACCCAGCACTTATCCCACTACATTCACGAGCCGGTCCCAACCTTGAGCTACACACATCTCACGCGGGGACATCGAAATGGCTCCAGAGGAAATTAACCGGCGCCCTCTGGCTAAATGAAGAAGACCCAGCACTCCAGCAATCTTTCCAATGCCCAGTCGGTCTTCTGGTCAGCGTCGAAGGCAACACTAAACCAGGCAACGCAGCCCCAACAAGCCTATTAGTCTACGGCGTGCTATCCAGCGCAGCATCATGCACACGTCCACCTACCCCACCACATTCATCCCCCTCCGATATCCCAAGTCATAGTAATACATCACAACGTGCCCCCTATGAACTCAGAATTTACGCTGCACCACTTTCAACTTCACGACTCACCCAGGCCCAAGCCTACCCATCTCCACCACCCTCCAACCCAGATCAACCCATCGTCAACCCGCGCTGCGCAGAATTTCTACCAGACATAAGCTCTCCCAGCCCCAAACGCAAAAGAGTAGCAACACTCTTTGAAGTAGCCGCGCAACACCACCGCCGCGTCCGCCAGCGAGGCGGCGAAGCCGTCTCACAACTAATGGCACCTTCACGACCTCTCTCCTCATCACAAAACTTGCAAACACTTCGCATCAAGCGTGAACCCGAAGAAGACGGTCCCTCCCTCCCATCTCTCGAACGCATCGTCTCGCACCGTTCCCGATCCGTCTCTATCGGGCCAGGCCTACAACGCCCAGGTAGCGTACGCGGCCGCGCAACGCCAGGTCTCAACGCCGATCCGCAAAAGCGTGCTCCAACACCGAACCCATTCTTGGATTCCGGCCCGCGCCGTGGAGCACAGATGTCGCAGGGCCAGGGCCAAGGCCCGTCATCTCTTTCGATCTCCGAAGTGAAATCTGTGTCTACGCCAGGCTCGCCGGCTAAGGACCCGGATACTATCATCGCAGAGAACAAGAATCTCATCACGCGCACAATATTGACTTGTATGCGCCTGTATGGATTCCACCGTTCAAATGCGAATATGCGCTCTGCATCTATGAGTAAGCCGCCAGGTAGTGCTGGTGCTGAACCTGAAGTTGATGTCTCGGGCACAATACCGGCGCCGGAATCTTTGCGTGCTGAAACACCTGCACCGGGTGTCACTTCGGATGATGATGAGTTCAAAGCTATGTACTATGCGACGTACAAAGCTGCTGCTTTTGCGCTCCGAAGGTATTTGAAGCAGGTGCCAGGGTTGGCACCTTCGGTCTTGGAGAAGGAGAAGGCTATGACTTGCATTGATGAGTTACTGAAGTTATTCTGCGAGGAGCACTGAAGGGGCTTGAGGGAAATGTGGGTAATGGTGATTTTTACGATTTTATGAATGCATATCTGGGATTTGGCGTCGAGAAACAGCTTAGAGCCTTTGTTTCTTTATGCAAACCTCCAATGATATTTTCTCTCGATGATGCTTGTACTGTTTACGTATAGAATACCTAGTATTCCAGATATCCTGAAGGCTATCATAATAAAAGCTCCTGATTTGAGACCATGCGAAGAGAAATGCAAATACATAAATTCATGCTAAAGCGCCAATCCAAGCCAAATACGTGGATGCATATAATGCATCCCGGCAAAAGTCATCACACCAAGAATTCAAGTAAAATACAGAAAGACGAGTCATAGATTGAAATAGCCTGCCTCACAGTGCAAGGTTGTAGGTGTAATCATCTTCGATGTTCTGGGAGACCCAGAGGACGATAGCACTAGATCGGGAATAGCATTGTTAGCATGCAAGCACAACTTACATTAAATAACATTGAACCAGGCAAAGCACATACCTGAGCATAACAAGGCCGTTGGCCACAATATTAGCAATTCCAAAGTAGAGCGTCTGGATAGGATACTCCTTGATAAGGTACTTGAGGACCATGACCGTCTACCAAGAACCAAGTCAGTAAAGCACCTCAATATACTCTTCCCTCCCCACAGAACAGAAGGAAAGGATATATACATACCACACTTCCTGCCAGCCCACCAGCAAGCAGCGCAAAGCCCAAAAACAGCACAAATCTCGCCTTCCACGCAACCCCACTCCCGCTGTAACTAAAGCTATCAGCCTGCAGCCGGCTCTTCTCAATCGAGTTGATAACCAGCATTCCGAGAGCAGAGCAGATACCGGGAATCCAGTCGACGAATTTGATATGTACGTCTGAGCCGTTGCGCGGGCTGCGCGAGAATGAAGCGACGTCAATTAGGAAGAAGAAGCCTGCTGCGAACTATGGTAAGAGAAGCTGTTAGCTTTGGATTGTTCGGATTTTCTTCAGATTTGGTTGAGGTAGATCTGGAATTCGATTCCATTTCATTTTGCTTTGAAGTTTAGGTCTTGGAGTTTAGAGTCGAGCGACGAGCGATCCCGGAAGGTAGACGGATAGGATGCTTACCAATGCGCCTGCAACATAGACGCCGCCATTACGGACGGCAGAATTGTTCAGCCACTCGGGCTTGGAGAAGCGGAAAAGTCGATTGTTTGAGCTGTCCATTTTGGGGTTGTGTGGGGGATGGAGCTTGGTTGAGGGGATGTTGCTAGTGAGAGCTGGAGTCCAATGACGATGCCTAGCGGAGGAATGTTGTTCCGATATATCTATGCATATCATCAAGCAAGTTCAACGTGAGCTCTAGTCTGTAGTAGATTGGTTTCCGCGTTTCTTGACATGTCACATTAATAAACCATGGTACACTAATTATGGATGTAGTAGGGTATTTACTAAAAGAGTATACTCTTACAACAACAAAACAGTCCAAGTAGGTAGAATAGGCACCGAAGTTGATACAGAGTTTCAGGCATCGGGATTTCACATTAACAGTCAAAACTCATGATTGCATTTGATGTAGGACAAAAGCCCATGGGTATATTCAATTCGCGCAGACCACAAAAAATCAGGTTGTTCGATCATGCTGATGCAACCCTAAGGCAACCAAGTAATCAGGAAATAATGCAGAACCATTTCGGGTATCTGCACGTCAAATGATCGCCAGCATTTACCAGTAAATCCCAGTGTCGTCATCACAGCGCTCGACGCAGTTGCAGTAACAGCCTAGTTTTCTGCCGCACTGCGATCGCCAACCCTTGGCACGACACAAGGTCACTCCCAAGGGAAGGGACGGACTCACATTCAGTGTGTATCTTGCTGCCTCTGTATCTATCTGTATTATGACTCTTACAGCCCGGTCTCAACTGGCATCCTTCATGCAGAGGCGTCAACCGGGTGAGATCGCAGCTGATCGATGATAACATCAACGCCCTCCATGTCGGCGGCATCGGTCTTGTCGGTGGGGTAGCCCTCTGGGAGGCTCTTGTTCAGCGCATCCAAGGCTGGCTGGTGGTTACGGACTGCAGAAGAAATGGCATAAATGGCCTTCTTGCGGACTGCGGGGTTGGACTCTGTTGTGGCGAGAGTGACGAGGGTAGGGATTTCGTTCAGGAGGACGAGCTGGTAGATAGTCAGTATTGTGATTGTCATCACCAGTAATTGAATTGAAGTAGTCTTCCATACCTGATCCTGTGCCTTCGGGTTGTTCTGCACGGCTGTTCCCACACACCAGGCCGCATAACGTCTGATCTCGGCCTCGTCGTGCTTGAGCAGCTCGACAAGTGGCTTCCATAGGTTGAGCGGGACGAGATTGTTCGCATTGTCAATTCCCTCAATCATCTGCTCAAAGTTGTCGAATGCGATCAACTTGTTTTCCATGTCGGACTCATTATCGTGCACAACCTCCATCGCGGCCCGCATCAAGTCGGCCTCGGAGGGGCCGCCAAAGAGTGTGTTGACCATTTGAGGGGTCAGGTTTGAGGCAGCTTTTGGGAGATCTTGGGGAGCAGCCTCGCCATCGGCGCCTACAGATGCCTGGGAGTTGGTCACACTCCATTTGAGGAGCTTGTTCATTTCGGGGTCCATGGTGGGCTGGCGGGGTAGCTGTATTGTCTGTGTGTAGGGCGAATTGGTTGTGGGGGGAGGCTAACGTAGAGGAGAGTAGGAATATAGCCTGGGATCGATGGTCAAAAATTGATTTAGTGTATATCACAGTAATGTTGGAGTTGCGATCTTCTACAATACTTTTCTACTGGAAAAAAGCTCCGCTGACATAATCTGACGTCTCAACCAGGGCTCTGGGCGATTCCCGCGGCGACCAGCGGGTTCGATCATGTGACTGTATCCTAAAGAGGAACTGGTGTACATCATGACTAGAATATACACTGTACTCTTGCTCTAGAAAGGCGATAGTCTCGAATACTTGAACTCAAGCATAAGACGGTATATCATAAGCCGATGATTCCAGGATTCGAGTCTTGGCGCATATAATGTCACTGACTGAAGCCCGCAGAGACTGAGGCCTTCTGGTCTCTTTATGGCGATGCCCGAAATACTAGGGATATCTAAAAGACTGTTATCACTAAGTTCTCTCTCGATGTTGCGAATAAAAGCCCCCAGTTTGAATACAGATGATGATATGAGTGAAATTTGAAATGACCCATTGTTAGTACCGTTGCTAGTAATTTGCTGGAACCGTTCACGGGTTAAGCGGATATATTGATGGGCCTAGCCATCTCAGTCTCCAAAATCAAGACAATCAACTGGGGCGACGTAGGAATTTGTCCTTGTTTTTTTTTATTTTCGAGGATGCAGAATTAACGCCAACTTGACTGCTGCTCCGGTATCTCGGTGGTGCAAGCTTTCAGAGACGACAATACTCGAGCGACTGCGAGAGCGGATAGGAATAATCGGGTCCTCGTGCTGTGGGTTCTGATATATCATGGCACGATCATGGCCGTTCCGGCAATTTATTGAAGCGACCTCGGAATGTTCTAGAACCTGGTTATCAAGGAGTCTCTGCCAAGATATATTTCAAGGGGCTTCAAGTTCGAAGAAGAACTTTGTTGCCGATGAAGGCCAAATGGCAAGATTTTCCGCTACAGGCATAGTCAGAGTGAGCTGACGTAGGAGTTCTCATTCCAGAATCAGGAGATCATAAAATAATATAAAGTCAGGGGTAGTGGTCAGGTAGAAAAGAGTGTGTGTATATCGCAACCTCCCAAGATGTCACGTGGCACCACGTTACCGCCTCACCGTTCCAACAGGTTTAGCTGTTTTCCTTAGACCCTGGCAAATGGCGGTAACCACCTGGGCAGATAACTTCCAAGATTATTCGTCTGACAGCCTGACAATCTCAGATAGCCGTATTATTCCTATACGACCTTGTATGCGTGTACTTGTCCACTACCAACATAACCTTGGAACGGTTGTCTACCCCAATGAGTAAAAGACTGGATCTCTGTCCTATACTTAGAACGTCTGCGCCACACTGATGTTCAGCAAGGGAATTCAGCAAGGGAACTCAGTAGCCTAGGTACTTTGGACTACAATTGTATACATTTTGAATGCCTAACACTATCATTGTAATCACTGTAATACAAGCAAAGACCCCCCCGAAAGTGCCTAACCCGGTCAAGGTACGTGTTCTCCCGTACCCAGAAAGGTCTGGAGGCTCACGCCCCCCAAAAGATTGTCCACGCAATGCTCTAGGTAGACAAGATTGAAGGAATCATAGATATCGAGAAATTCTTGTAGGAAATATTTCTGCCTTATTCTCACTAATTTATATATATTAAAAAAGAAAGAAACACCCAAACCTGTAGATCGGAGGGGAAAAAGAGAACAGAGGCCTCAGGCAGCGCACAATCCCAGCCATCACAAACCCCTCTCCACTCTTCTCTCTCTCACTCTCTTCCTTCTTCCCTTCTCTCCTAATCCCAACTATATCCCCTCTAACCTCATTCCATCTTTCTTTTCTTTTCTTTTCCCCCCCCTTCTCCCCCAGGTTCCTTGTTTAATCTGTCACAATGGAGGGTATGTTATTCCATATGTGGCCACATCAGCAGCTTCCCCGGAAGCTGCCCCCCCTGTTTGCCAGCTTCGAATCTTGGGAATGGAAACTAATCGGTATATCCCACTATAGAAGAAGTTGCTGCTCTCGTCATCGACAATGGGTATGTGATATCCTTTTTCACCCGGAGCTTCTGGCTTGTGTTTGGGCCTGGTCGTCAAACCAGCCCGGTCGCGGTTGTCGCCACCCCTAATCCGCCACGATGGAATCCATCTCAATGGCGTTCCACCTCCCTCTATAACTGCCACATGGCGCTCTAAAGTCTACAAGAACTATGATGCTGATGATTTGCGATGTAGTTCGGGTATGTGCAAGGCCGGTTTCGCCGGTGACGACGCACCACGAGCTGTCTTCCGTAAGTCCAACCCCACAGAACATGACACCCCTCTCTTGCGAAAGCCATCCCACCAACCCTTGCGTCGGATGGCTCTTCCCCTCTTTTGCTTGGGAATCGCCTTAAATCTGAGGATTAAATAACTGACAAAATTCAACAGCTTCCATTGTCGGTCGTCCCCGTCACCATGGGTAAATAATCCCCCCCTTTTTTTTGGCTCGTTTTGGTCGTATATGCTCTATACAGCCAATTCGACCCCTAATGAAGCCAAAAAAAGTACTAACATGGGCGCAGTATCATGATTGGTATGGGTCAGAAGGACTCCTACGTTGGTGATGAGGCACAGTCCAAGCGTGGTATTCTCACGCTCCGTTACCCCATTGAGCACGGTGTTGTCACCAACTGGGACGACATGGAGAAGATTTGGCACCACACCTTCTACAACGAGCTCCGTGTTGCCCCCGAAGAGCACCCCATTCTCTTGACCGAAGCTCCTATCAACCCCAAGTCCAACCGTGAGAAGATGACCCAGATTGTGTTCGAGACCTTCAACGCACCCGCTTTCTACGTCTCCATCCAGGCTGTTCTGTCCCTGTACGCCTCCGGTCGTACCACTGGTATCGTTCTCGACTCCGGTGACGGTGTCACCCACGTTGTCCCCATCTACGAGGGTTTCTCTCTTCCCCACGCTATCTCGCGTGTCGACATGGCTGGCCGTGATTTGACCGACTACCTGATGAAGATCCTCGCTGAGCGTGGTTACACCTTCTCCACCACCGCCGAGCGTGAAATCGTCCGTGACATCAAGGAGAAGCTCTGCTACGTCGCTCTCGACTTCGAGCAGGAGATCCAGACCGCTTCCCAGAGCTCCAGCCTCGAGAAGTCCTACGAGCTTCCCGATGGACAGGTCATCACTATTGGCAACGAGCGCTTCCGTGCTCCCGAGGCTCTGTTCCAGCCTAACGTTCTTGGCCTTGAGTCTGGTGGTATCCACGTCACCACCTTCAACTCCATCATGAAGTGTGATGTTGATGTCCGTAAGGACTTGTACGGCAACATTGTTATGGTAAGAAAAGCCTCCCGGGTTGAACTTGTCCAAGATCCGTACTAACATATACCTCTTTTCTTTTTAGTCTGGTGGTACCACCATGTACCCCGGTATCTCCGACCGTATGCAGAAGGAGATCACTGCTCTTGCTCCTTCTTCCATGAAGGTCAAGATCATTGCTCCCCCCGAGCGCAAGTACTCCGTCTGGATCGGTGGATCCATTCTGGCCTCCCTGTCGACCTTCCAGCAGATGTGGATCTCCAAGCAGGAGTACGACGAGAGCGGTCCTTCCATCGTTCACCGCAAGTGCTTCTAAATTTATTGCAGCACTTTACTTCTCGTATTCGCTCGTACTTTCCTGGTGTATCAAAAAGCAGGATGGAGGCACTGGTGGATTGCAAGCGTTGTTGGACTCGCATTATCAAGCGGATAGCCTGAAAATGGAATCTCGATTTTAGTGGAATAGAGTCGGTCGTTTTCTTTTTGTTACTCTTTACCTTACTCTTTACCTCGATCTCTCTATCCATCCATCTCTGCTTTGAAACATTTTACGTTTGCCCTTCTTTTTTTTCTTTCCTCGTTCAAATCCGCTGTCCCGTCCGCCTCTCTGATTGTTTTGCCTGGACGGGTCTCTGGCGCTGCGGCCACAACGGTCTACCTGTAGGGCGAAGATGTATATGGAGTTGGCTATAGGGCTTAGGTTACATTTTCATTTTCTCTCGACGTTTCCTACTGACGTCTGTCTTTGTTCTAACCCCTTGCGTTTTCTACCAAATTGTCCGACCTTGTCCGTAGTTTTAACGTGAGTGACTTCAAATCTTCCACTGCTTTGTTGTACTTTTCTAGAAACGCTGTCGACAATCTTGTTGAATTGCGGTGTCATGTACTCTATCTTTTTCGGACCTCGTTCTGTCTTGACCTTTATATAGATCTTTGTTATGACCGATATACATCTTCCCCGTCATTCGATCAGTCCGTGTAGATATGCTGAGCACTAATTAAACAAAGTAGGAAGTAACAAGAAATAGCAACCTTGAATATATAACTACCCCTTCCGCTTCGTCATGACAAATACTCGACACCGTTACCTAGATCTGATATTGTAGTCAGCTCTCGAATTAAGCTCGTTTTCTTCTTTGCTCATTTGCCCTAGGCATTTCGAAGTACACGTCTTGATTATTAGAAGACACATGCTCACCAGTGGAATCGGCACTTGTTGTTACCAGCTACGGGCTTATTCGACAGAAGCGACGGGTCCCACTGATAATATCGTCCTCCCATAGTAACGCCAAGACAGTCGTCAATGGAACATTCACCTGTGATTTTACCGACAGACATTTGCCGGTTGTTTTGTCGAAGACGATGTCGAGTAAAGAGCAAAAGTCGGGGTGAGATAAACTGGCACGGACGATGATATACTGTATATATTTACCTTGATCTGATCTCCCGCTCTACTCATCTAGGCACTATGGCAATACTTGGTACCAATGGGTGGGAATTATGGATAATAATAGTCTTCCTATATGACCCGATGGTTTGTTAACTTCTATCTGCTTCGTGTAGAGACATATATACAGGATCATGTCTGTATTGAAGTTGTTAGATTTAATAAATATTAGATATATAGAGAAGAAAAGAGATAAAATAGGCTATGATACGATGTTACTAGACTAAGCATATTCTAGAGCCCTTCATTTGACAACTGAGAACGGAACTAGATGTTAGCCAGAGATCTCAACTGTCTTGAAAGGAGGGATGTCAAAGGGTTTCCGGGAAAGATTTGAATGACGGAGATGTTAGTTTAAGGTGGTTTGGAGAGGATTGGATGAGAGTAGAGTGAGAAGGGCGATGAGTACCAGACGCTCATAGGTGTAGACCTAACAAGCTGCATGTGCAAATTGCTGCTTTGGGGGAGTTTGATTGTGCACTGACGCATTGAAAGCCGCTTCCCTGGATGTGTGTGCTTCTAGAGTGTTAAGAGACAATAGCGATATCCTGGAGATAGGCTCGGCACCTGGCCCGGGAGTCCCATAGGATGTTGCCAATCTGGCGTTGAACGTAGGCAAATGATTTGGCGTTGATCATCACTATAACATGTAGGAACTCCTGACCCGTGACAACCTAGACATCTATGTTGTTGAGGTGCACTCGCCATTGGTAGAAGAATTTGGCGCCGATCAATGGAGACAAATTTTTTTCTTAAGGCGAGCTGGACCATTTCCTCCTGGCACAGCATGGGGTACATGCCTAGAACGAGATGTTTCTCTAAAATCAATAACTAGTCGACCCTTCTTTTGGAAAGTCAGTCTGTCAGCAAGGCCCGTTTCCTAGACGTGAGTATGAGAGATGTTTAGCGGATATAATGAAAAGGAATGGGAATTGGGAGTTGTCACGGGCAGGAGACCTTGGACCAGACTATCAGCTCAGTATTAAAACACACATCCAGTACACATATACAGATCGATCAATGGAATGCGTACAAAATAGTATGGATATATAATTTCATGCATATAGAAAAACCGAGATTAGTTCGGAACACATCCAAAAGCCCTATATTATGTTGAGCAGCAGAATAGGACGGGGAATACGAAAAACCAGAAAAAGAAACAGTAATCAAAAAAAAAGATCTATAAGATGGATAACCCAAGCAAATATTTTCTCCATCCATATATAAAAAAAAAAACATCACGCATCAACATCACCAACATCAAATTTTAACGTCAAGATCATAGAAATTACGCAGACCAAGACTCAAGTCCAGACAGCACACAGCCCTCTTCACCCTCACCGCGAGCACGCAGCTCACCAACGCGGTAGACAGTCTCGCCAGCAGCCTCGAAGGTCTGACGGATAGCGGCCTCAGAGGAAGATTCAACGGCAATAATCATACCAACACCACAGTTGAAGGCACGAGCCATCTCAACAGAGGAGACGTTACCGGCACGCTGGAGCCAAGTGAAGACAGAAGGCTGAGCCCAGGTGCTAACGTCAACCTGAGCAGTGAGGGTATCGGGGAGCATGCGGGGGATGTTCTCAGTGAGACCACCGCCGGTGATATGAGCAAGACCCTTAATGGCGGCACCGTGGGTGTTCAGTGCGTTGAGGATGGACTTGACGTAGATGCGGGTCGGGGTGAGAAGGGCACGGCCGACGGAGACGCCAGCGTCGAGACCGGGCATGGAGAAAGGTGCGGTGTCGGTATAGCTCAGGCCGGCACGCTCGACGATCTTCCGGACGAGAGAGTAGCCGTTGGAGTGGGGGCCGGACGAGCCGAGGGCGAGAAGGACATCGCCGGAGCGCATGTTCTCTGTGTGTGGGAGGATGGCACGAGCGTTGTCACCCGTGGTGTTGATAGCGCCGACGGCAGCACCGACAGCGTCGTAGGAGTCGTCAACGAAGAGGCCGGGCATCTCAGCGGTCTCACCGCCGATCAGGGCGCAACCAGCTTGGACACAACCCTCGGCAACACCGGTGACAAAGGCTGCAGCAGTGGCCACATCGAGGTGACCGCAGGAGTAGCAGTCCAGGAAGAAGAGGGGCTCAGCACCTTGGACGACAAGATCGTTGACGTTCATGGCGACGAGATCGATACCGACGGTGTCGTGGATGCCGATTGAGTGGGCGATCTTCAGCTTGGTGCCGACTCCGTCAATGGCTCCGATGAGGGTTGGTGAGTGAGGGTGGTAGACAGAGTTAGCAGCGGGCAGGGAGAAGAGGCCGCCGAAGCCGCCGATGATGGCGTCAGTGCCGGGGCGCTTGGTACGGCGAACGGAGCTCTTGATCTGGTTGACAAGCTCGTTGCCGGCGTCGATAGAGACACCAGCTTGGGCGTAGGTGAGCGAGGTGTTGGCAGTCTGGCGGAACGCGCGGTGGGCAATGTCCTTGCGGTAGAACATGTCCTCGAAGCTGATGGTCTTGATTCCTTCGTAACTCTTAGCGACGGCCTCCTCAAGGGTCGAGGCGGTGGCTGTGGAAGCGATTACACGGCCTCCAGAGGTCTGCAATTCATTGCCAGATAAAGTTGTGCCAGCGTGGAAGATAAGGGTTCCAGCAGGCTCGGGGGCCAGAGTGATGGTCTTGCCCTTGGCGTAAGCATTGGGGTAACCGCCGGCAACAGCAATGACTGTGGTGGAGAAGTTGGGCTCGATCTTGATCGACACACCGTCCAGCCAGTGGTCAGCACAGGCCACCATGATCTGTGCAAGATCGGTGTCCTTGCTGAGAAGCGGCAGCAAGGTCTGGGTCTCTGGGTCTCCACCACGGACGTTGTATTCAAGGACCTTGGGACCGTTCTTGGTCATCATGAGACCGGTGAACAAGATACCAACGAAGGGGAAGCCTAGATAAGATTAGCAACATGCTTTGGACATGTTTATTTTTCATCAAACGTACCGTCCTTTCGCATTCCGTCAACGGAAGGCTGAATAATGGTCCGGTCAATCTCATCCACAACCTCCTTCGGCGCAATGCGCGTAGGTGCATAACAGCCCATGCCACCGGTATTGGGGCCCTTATCACCATCGAAGATGCGCTTGTGGTCCTGCGCTGGGGGAAGCGAGCGGATAGTATAACCGTCACTGAAAGTGAGGATACTCAGCTCATCACCTTCCAAGCATTCCTCGATCACGACCTCGTCGCCAGCCTTGCCGAACTGGCGGTCCACCATCATTTCCTTCAAGGCCTTGTGGGCCTCCTCTTTGGTAGTGGGCATGATCACACCCTTACCACCAGCAAGGCCATCGGCCTTGATAACCACATTGTGCGACACAGAGTCGAGATAGCGACGTGCGGACTCATAGTCAGAGAAGTTTCCGAATTCGGCGGTGGGGATCTGATGGCGCTGCATGAAGTCCTTGGAGAAGGTTTTGGAGCCCTCCATGCGGGCAGCAGCCTTGGAGGGACCGAAGCATCGAATACCGACTGTTTTCAAAAGGCATTGTTAGAATTATTCAAATCAATTGGCATAAAAGGGGGGGAAGATTTATAAAAAAAAAAAAAAAAAAAAAAAACAGCAAAAAGGTGGCATGCGTGACTCACCAGCCTGGAAGTAGCCCTGGATGCCATCAACGAGAGGTGCCTCGGGGCCTGGCACCACGAGGTTCACCTGGTTCTTCTGTGCGAAAGCCACGAGGCCGGGGTAGTCGTCACCCTTAACATTGGCATTGGTGATCTTGCTGTTGCCCTGGGCTGTGCCACCGTTTCCGGGAGCGACATAAATGATGTCGACCAAGGGGGACTCGCTCAGCTTCCAGGCAAATGCATGCTCACGGCCACCATTGCCGACAATGAGGATGCGCAACTGTTCGGAGGCCATGGTTGGAGCAGGGTCTCGACTATGGTGGTGTTAGCAATAAGTATAAGTATGGGTGACCTCCGCGGGGTATGTGCCCCTCCTCAATAAAAGTGAAACATGGAGCGATGGAACGGCGGAAGCAATTGGGAAAATCTTGATAATGAAGGAAATCACCACTTTACTCACCTCACGGAGACCTGAGAAGCAACTTGAAGCAACTTGTATGCGGGAATGGAGAGTTCCAAAAGTGTTAAAGTTTCAACTTTTTTTCTGCCCTCCGGCTGGGTGTTTCTCCGACCCCAGAATTTCTACCCTGCGATTCTCGGCTGAGGCAAAATATTTGATTTGGATTAACGGTGGATTATGGATTTGACAGTTTAGCACCGATATGTTTCATACTATTTTTTATTATAGTACTACTACTAGATAAAAGCGCAGGATTCTATACGGAGTACGGAGTACAATTGCGAATAAACAACTCTCGTGCGCTACAAGTCTAGGAGACATGGATTTTGTAAACATTTAATAATACTATGGGTGCTTGAGCCCAATTGAAATATTACATATATATACAGACCAATATCCAATCCTCTCATGTACTACGGAGTACTACTTATAGGTATATTTTATCTTCGATATCAAATATCGACACCCCAGGCACCGAGATAACAAAGCGGTGACTACAATCTTCCGGCAGAAAAAAAAGCCGGAGAGGCAATTCGCCCGTGGCGTATTGACGGTTTTGATTGAATTCTAGAATTCTCAAATTCTCGAATCGACTACATTTTCAGGACTTCTACATTTATACCCTTTTCCAAATTAAACCACCAACCGTTGACCTGAATGTTTCGGACCTCTTTACGGCCTATCTCAGGCCGTTCAAACCGACATGTTTGGCTCTCTTTAGTTAGCCCTGGCGCGCCCAGTTTGCGCCAGTTCCACCGCATATCGGCACTCCGTATAGACTCAAGCGAAATAAAGTTGGAAACTGATTCAATTAACGCGTCAACCGAACCTCCAGCGTCACTGTCGCCCAATGTATGTCCTCAATTCCAAAGTACAGCGTGAGAACAGGTTCTGACAGTGTGTGCTTTAGGGTCAAATTCCAGTGACAGAAGATGCCGCCTCTTCTGAACCCAAGCCAACTTCGAAGTTGCATGATCTTTCACCGAGAGTACTCACTGCTGCTATGTGGGATGAAATGACAGCCTCGCAACGAAAGAATTACAGAAAGCGGCATTACGACGAGTACAAGAAGTTCAGGCAGACAAGGCTAGCCAACAGAGAAATAAAATCAGTCGGAGATCAAATCAAACCCAACAAAGCAATTGAGTCTGAATTGGCGCCGATCGAAGCAGCAAAGAAAGAGGCAACACCACCATCAGAAGCAGCACGGGTGGAAGCAGAACAAATTAAGGCCTTGCAGTGGAAGGTGAAGACAACGGACGTGGAAGCCGAACAGGAAAGAAGGGCCAATTTTCAGGAGGAAAAAGTGCTGGCCAGTGCTAATACCAAAGCCAACCTTGCGGCTGAAATTTTGAAGCAAAAGGAGAAAGAAAGCCAACTCGAAGCTGAGGTTCCAACAGACGGCCCAGCAGATACGTCGGCGGCCAGTGAATTCAAGGAGAGCACGCTCAGGCTGAATTCCACTAGCGATGTAGTCGCTCAAATATTAGAGACCAGCCGGAGGACCAGTTTTGTTGATCAGTATCCACCACCAGAAAAGGTGGATGAGCTAGCTCTTCTTGAAGAGCACGTTTTGTATCGTGAATACGGGTTTTTGGACCCGAAGTACAAAGAATTGCAATTGGAGGGTAAGTTTCGAGTCTTGACAGGAATTTGTTGAATATGGGCTAATGTTATACTGAAGAGGTGCCAGTCCCCATGCCTCCTGTACCACGCCTCGCCTTTGGTCTCGACCGAGTGCTTTTCAAGTGAGTTCTTGAGTTTACCCTAGTATTGATCGATATACTAAAAGCAGACAGTCCTGGCGTCTACCAGCTGCGTGACCGTCGATCTCTTGTCTACAATTTCGACCCCTATTTGGACCAGATCATGCCCGTGTCGGAATTTGACTATTCTACCTTGAAGCCGTACATCACCTCCTCTAAAGATGTGACGGCTTGCGAATTGACCAAGGAAAATGAAAAGAAGTACTACGGCTCGTCGTCGAGCATGACTGGAGTTCTCTCTCATTTCCATTATCTTCTGTCCGCGTGGCGGCCTGTCGACACTTCCAAAATGACCCAGGGTTTCATCGGCACTCAACGCAACTTCACGCGTCTCTGTCGATCGCCGACTGCCATGTTCCTTCTTTATAATGAGAAAGATGATATTTACGCTATTGACGCCGATAAGGAACACGACCGAACTAGTATCCTTTCGCACCTGGGCAAGTCAATGGAAAAGCAACTCACAATGCCAAAGGAACAGTTTGAGCGCTACCGCCGCAGTGATGCGAACAAGATCACCGCCGAGGAAGAAGCAAGCGTCCCGGAGTCATATCACTACACCACCATGGGCAAATTCCTCATGCGATCGCAACTTGACGCCTACGATCCCAGACTGCCAGGTACAGGCATGTTCGATTTGAAAACACGTGCAGTGATTACGATCCGCATGGAATCTGACACGTACGAGCGCGGAATGGGCTACGAAATCAGACGCCAATATGGCAGGTGGGAGTCTTTCGAACGCGAATACTTCGACATGATTCGCGCCGCCTTCCTCAAGTATTCCCTGCAGGTACGCGTTGGCCGCATGGACGGCATTTTCGTCGCGTATCACAACATCGAGCGCATCTTCGGTTTCCAATACATCACTCTAGGAGAGATGGATCAGGCTTTGCACGGCCAACCCGATACCGACCTCGGAGACACGGAATTCAGACTAAGTCTCAGCCTGTGGGAGAAGATCCTGGACAAGGCAACGCAGAAGTTCCCCAAGCAGTCTCTGCGTTTCCACTTCGAGACCCGCGATGCTCTCAAACCCTTCATGTACATCGTCGCCCAGCCTGTTACGGATGAACAAATCGAAGCCATCCAGTCAACGAACGAAACGGAAGTGGATGCCGTCACAAACAGCCTCCTCAACCCGGATCAGGTCGATGATAGCGAGAGCACAAAGCCCATCGAAGCCAAGGCCAAATCCGCTGCCGCCGCCCCCTTCCCCGCAGAGTCCAAGTTTGAGACGCCGGAATTCGATACCTCATTCGACATCCCAGGTCTTGACCCGGACTACAAGCCTGGAGCCAATCCTGGAGCCAATCCTGAAGCTGAGATTGAAGCCGATATTGAAGCCGATCTTGAGGCCGATCTTGAAGCCAATCCTAACCGCCAATCGGGCGAATACGACGAGAACGTGCTCGGAATGACACTCGAAATTCGTAACCATGTGAACGGAGAGATAGTGGACCGACCGGGAAACCAAAAGCTCTTCCTCAAATACGACAGATGGTCTATTGACTACCAGCTCAGCGAGCTTACGGTGGAGGAGACCAATAAAATTCTGTGCGGCATAAAAGATCGTCGTGATGTCTATAATGTCATAGAAAACGACGCAGACGACAGACAAAACGAGTTTTTCCAGACTTTGAGAAAGTTTACTGGCAAAGGACGTGCTTTCCGGAAGCGTCTGGATAAAAACGACAAAAAGCGTGGGATTCTTGTTTATAAGGATACTCACACGCACACTGTCTAGGTTGTTTTTGGGATGGAGGATTGGGGGTGAGGTGGGAATCCTCTCTTGTAAAGTATTAGATTAATTCCTCTCGCATTTTCCTGTACTTTATTTTTGGTACATTCGTGGCGTTGTTTTCATTACATAGTCAAACTGGAATGCGTTTTGGTTGGAAGTTTTGGGTTCTGTCATTGCAACTATGTACAAATATCGAGCTTATGAAAAGGAGGAAGGGTGGTTGTTTGGGATCTGAGAAGTATATATACATATATACATTGAACGTTGTATTATATAGCATCTACCACACAGCTCTCCAGACAAAATACGCTTAAACTACACAATCTCAAGGCCAGAAAATCAAACAGAAAGGAATGGTGTTTCAATGCCTATCCAAACAGTATTCAAGCCAGAGTAAGGAACAACCACAAAGAAAACACCTCTATCAAAATGAATAGTAAAACAGCCCAAAGCCCCAGTCCCAATAAACATTAGCCGCTGATGCACGCCACTAACCCGCAAAATGAGGACACGACCTTCCAATAAGAGTAAGATAGCAAAGAACAACAGGCTTAGGGCACAATAACACGGCAAGGAGGATATCGATTGCCTTTGTAAGAGATATTGGCATATGAGAATTGAAAATGAGCAATGAGTATGGAACGCCTGGAGAATGCGGTGCCTCTGTAAAAAAAAAAGAAATTGGAACGCCAGGGTATCAGTGCCGACTGGCCGGTTTCGAGAAATGGGATATTGGATGGGGGTTGAGTTAATGAGTAAGATAAAAAATATGATTCACAGGGAGAAGGGGAAGAAATAAAAGGGTGAAAGTATGCAATCGAAACCCTGGTTCGTCGTATATATGTACTGCGGGAGCCAGGGTCGTTTTGTGTTGGGTGAGGCGTGGAAGATTCTGTACAGGGTAGAAGAGGAGGTATTTTGATATGTTGATGGGTGCAAGGAAGGCTACTGGAGTTCTCCCAGGTCAAGCTTTGGTGGTGCCCAATCTAGCTGAGGTGGCTTGTCGTTGTTGACGTACACAGGCGAGGGGCGCACTGCATCCGCACGGCGACGTTCTCTCAACGCGGTTCCGCTGAGGAAGCCTCTCAAAGTAGATGAGGCGACACCATAAGCGCTTCGCGCACTGCCGGCGCCTATCGAGGCGTTACTAGAATAACTGCGTGCACTGCGGACGCTCTCTGCCTTTCCAACTGCTGGGGGCACGGCTGGAACTGGGACAGCTAGGCGAGGGGCCGGGGTTGAAGAACCATAACCAGATGGACCGAATTGTGCAGCAGCAGCGGTATGAGGGCGTCGTGTATTAGATGTGAACCGTTTTGGTTGAACGGGGGTAGACTCGTTGTTCGACGAGGACTGGGACAGGGAGTCGGATGTCTCTGAGAGTTGGATGGCAGCAGGAGACTCGTCTGGTGGGGACGACGTTCGGATCTCATCTGCTGACACGGAGACGTCAAATTTGAGATTTTCAAGCATCGTGCCCAGGCTCGCTGCTGTTCCGGGTCGGCCATCACTGGAAGAATCATCATCAATTTCCTCTATCCCATGGGCAATGTTGTAGTTGCGGAGAAGATATCGATTAAGCCGGGAGACTTCCATGTCCCATCTCTCGTTTAGAGACTTCAAGACTAGTTCAACGTTGTGGCTAGCAAATGGAGAGTTTTCCAAGGCCAAAGCGACACTGGGCGGTGGTGTTTTGCTCAGTTTGTGCCCTTGTCCCCCTTGACCGACGCTCATCGCTGCATACAGAGAGCGACGGACCGAGTTTGCCGTGGAAGCTTGGTTGCTGTTGCTAGCTTCCCATCGAACATGATCCACCTCTCGGCGTACTTTGTCCAATGACAGGACTCGATCCCGGTCCATGCAGGACAGCGTGAGAAGGGAGCGGTTGCATCGAAGGCCATTGACCAACACTGTAAAGGACTGCAGATTGATATCATTGTTCTCACAGTGTACTTCACGCAGCGACTCATTCTCCTCTAAGACAGAGGCAAGCGTATTTGCACCTTGAAGACCAAGTTTCTGGTGCTCAATTCTCAGGACCTTTAGAGAGGTATTTTTCTTCAAGCCAGTCAGTGCAAGGTTGAGGCCAATGCCGAAGCGTGCAACATCAAGATGCGCATTGTCACCGCTAATGTCCAAAACCTCAAGAGTCTCATTATCCTCGAGCATCACCTGCAACGATCGGCAGGTCTCGGGGCTAGCATCGTATGGGAGCGAAGCCTTCGAAATATCCAAGAACTTGAGGGTGGTGTTATTCCGAAGTGAATCCACCAGCTCGCGGAAATGGTCTTCTTTCTTGAAATCAATCATGCGCATTGACAGATGCGAGGGAGTCTTATTCTTCGCAATAGCATTGAAAATGTGAGAGCAGCCGTTATCAAGCCGGTTCTCATTGACATGCAGATGAAGACTGCGCGGGGCATCAGGTCCAATGGACATCGAGTGCATAAACATAGCCACGTCTTCTCCGGTTAGACCACACTGATCAAGACGAATCACACGAAGGTTTCGAGAGCGATCGCTGGCTAGATAAGTAGCAATAGCATCCACGGTCTCACGGTTCACAGCCGTCCGGCTGAGAGCCAGTTCTTCGAGTCGCCAGTTGAACAGCATTTCAGCCGTGATGAGCGGATCGGCACCAGACGTCCGTGAAATGCGGGATAAATTGATTTTGCGGATTTGTCCGAAGTAGCCAATATATTGCTGGAGTACATCGGGATTCAGCCGGCCCTGCACACCTGAGATGTTGATAGCCTCGAGTGTGGATTCTTGTGCGACGATAGTCGACAGAAGAAGGTCTAAATCATGCACGGATAATCCACAGTCTCCGACCTCCAGAGCTCGCAGGTGGCTGCGCCTTTGCGAAGCCGCATCGACAAGATAGTCCAGATCGGACTCACCCAGCTTGATGCCGTTGAGCACAACCCAGTCCACGCTGGTCAATTCTCGGCGGCACAGGGGGAAAATTGCTTCTGGGATTCCGCAGCCTGGGTCACGAGTACCCTTGTCGAGAGTTGGTGTCGGTATTCGTGTAAGGCAGTGTGAGAAATCCAGTCGGCGCAGCCATTTGCTTTTGAGAGCCAAAGCACGCACCTCTTGCGAGAGAATACCCAGACTTGCCTGGCCTGGAATATGCACCGAGGCGCCTCCTCGGTCGAGATGGACGTCGGGATCAACCCCATGGATATCACGAAGGCCCTGCAATGCATCAAGATTGACTCCGCGGAACGATATTGACCGGAAAAATTCATTGTAGCGAAGTGTGCGCATGACGGCAACCAGTTCAAGAGCGGTGTACCGTGGAGTTTTCGGGGAAGCAGGCTTCAGGAGACGGAAGCATGGAGCATCCTCGCATTCCTGGTCGATTGTGTATCGAATATTTGATGTGTCAATGTCATAACTGGCGGAGTAGGCAACCAGCGTTCGGTCGAAGCATCCATAATCTTCATCTAAAGCAACAGGCAGGAAGTTATTGTCGTTTTGCAATTCTTTCGGAACAACGAATTCGTACGGCTGTCTTGTCCACAATGGACGGAGATATTCAGTATGTTGTCGGATCCAGCAAGCGACTTCAACAGAATGAACAGAGGCCAAGAACACATTGAATGATTTCTTGAGAGGAACCCTGAAAGTCAGATGTAGACTATCGTCACCGTACTCCATCGACAAACCAGTCAGGTTCATCAGACCAAACGAAGTACCGGACTCCCAGTCTGACAGGGATACGACCGATGATCGATTGGTTGTCTTCTGCATAGGCAACAAATGAAGCTTGTGTGCGCCAATCGCAAGATAGCAGCCCGTGGGGGAGAGCTTGGTCAGGTCATCAGAGGAAGAGCGGGTGATTGACTTGCTAGACGCAATTTGAATGACTCTGAACATACGGAACACCTCCGGGTCGTAATCTCGCTCGTGTTCCAGCATACGAGTTACATAGTCAATCGATCCCCTGCTAAATGGCATTGGACAATTTGCTCTGGCCATTTGGGCGGCTTGGCGAATACCCACCATCCAAAGGTTTAATTCTTGCAGATCAGATGTCTGCATCTGAACCAATGTGGCTTTGTGTGTGCGCTCATCGAGATAGGCTACCTCGACCGATGGAGACAACCGTGCATCCTCCAGCATGTAGACCGCAATTATGCTGTTTAATGGGATTCCGGCAGATGCATCTCCAGCCGCCATGAATTGCATGTCCTGCAAAGAACTGACCGAAGCCACCGATTGGCGATGGGAAGCCGGAGCCCGGGTATAGGAAGCGGGAATAGAACCAAAGACATCCGCAGCTTTGCCTTGGTTCTTAAAGCGAATAATGTGCGTATCTGTAAGGACCAAATATTGACTCTTTTTCCTCCACATACCTCCAGTCGTCTGGACTTCTCCGTGGTGGAGGATTGCAGATGACCAGATCCCATTTCGGGGACTAGCCATTGTTTGCTCGTCCGTCACCGAGGCCACCGAGGCACTCTGAGGTTCATCATCTTCCCATGAGTGCAATGACCTCAGAGATCCAAAAACCGAGGTTCGCTTTTTTTGTAGCGACTTCCTTCGCGGGCGAGGCGTTGTTTCGTTGACAGGTGTGGTTGCTGAATAGCCAGCGGTGTCGGAGCCAGCTGTCCCAGGGCGACGGTTATTCGATCCATCGGACCCTCTGTTGGGACTGTGAGAGCGGCCAAAGAAGCCAGAATTTCGCCGGGTTTTCTTGTCTCGGGTCAAGACATCATCCGAGGGTGTTCGGTCATGGAGTGCCGGCCGGAGGGGGGTTGGTATTGAGAGGGATGGGCTGAACACACTCAAGCTCTTTCTTCGTTGTCGTTTGCCGATAATTTCAGCCATGTCGGGTTCGGGGGGACTAGTACAGAAGCAGGGGGGGGGGGGGGGAGATTGCGTCAAGTGGAGAAGTAGCGGCGCGAGTGTACTGAGAAAGTAAGCTTATCTCATTGACGACCTCAACGTCGTTCGTACTGAGGATCAATTAGCAGTTTGAAAAGTCATGGGGAGCTAATATTGAAAGTGTGAAGAGGGAGGGAAGCTTAGAGCGGAGAAAGAATGAGGGGAAGGTAGCACATACTGCAGACTGTCACAGCGCCATGAGAAGCAATTAGCATGCAATTGCTAGAAGCTAGGAAAAAAATCTTCCGATTGAAACAGAAGCAGTGACTATATCTAGGATAATCTTTCCCCAGACACAGGAACCTGTCAACAGTGCGATCAAGTGATGGTTGCGGAAGGGGCAAATCTCGCCACAATACTTGATATTAGGCAAGCGATCTAATGTGATTTGATAGGTCTTCCACCTAGGATGAGATCAGATTAGAGGAAAAAGATAAGAAATCAGATTGAATGCGGAAGTGAAAATGAAAACAGCGTGAATCCACAGGGATAACCCTCAATGGGGAAGAGAAAAAAAAGGAGGAAGAAAAGAATAGAGAAATGGACGGATGCAGTCCAACTGTAATGATCAACTGGAGATGTTTCAGCTCGCCTTCGGTTTTTTTTACCATTTTTCTATTCTTCTTGTTTCTGTGGTTTAATATATAATATTTAATTTATATTCTACTTCAGTGGATAGACTTGCTTAATATTTTAAGCTATTAAATTAAATCTGTTCAATATGCCGCTTATTTACACCCAAAAGTGAGAAATCTAAGACATTCAGACTCGCATATCTCTTACGGAGTACGAAAGTACCACGTAAGAGGCGCTCCACCAGAGCCTTCTAAGGTAGATAGTTCCGCTTAGTAGGCATCTACAGGGATTGTTGCAGTATAACTAAATTAGCCTCTTTGTACGGAGTAACCATCTTCGGTATACAGACTCTTGGACTTATTGGTGATCCTCAGTCTTTGTACTTCAAAATAACCTTAGGAGCTATATACGATGCCCCTTACACGATCTACACTGCAATTAACAACACGATCATAGGCCAATCTCGGGATCCACCCCCAAAGTATGATCGGCGCTTACGGCGCTCCACGATGGTGGTACTTCCGTAGGTTCCGTTAGGGGTAACTGATATCTCGGGCCCACGCAAAATGAAGCCCAATGGATCAGCATGGCAATCAGGGGTATCACCCCCGGGAATCTGGCGTCATCGATAACAGACTTTATGCAAGATCAGCGGTCGATGGGCGCAGCTACGGAATATTCACCTCGATTCTGTGAGGCTTGCAGGGTTGGGAAATGACTGGGAAATGAGATTCAGCTTATCCGGAGGTTCCGACGAAGTGGCGAATGTATTGTGTTCGTGTAAAGCTCCAAGCTCCAAGTTCCAAGCCCACATAGCTGCAAAAACTAAGGGGGCAATATATCTTGAAGCTCTTCATTACCGACGATTCCCCTGTGCTCTTTCGGCTTCCACTCGCTCTGCACGTTTGATTCGTCTCACTAGCTCGATGTATTCTGTCACGCGTTTCTCTTGCCAGATACAACCACCCAGAGTCATAGCTGCAACTTGCAGAAAGACCTTGAATTGTGGCGTCAGACCACGGTAGACACGAGATCCCGGAGATATCCAGCTTGAGAAACCTTCCAGGGGACGGTGGAATAGTCGTGAGCGAAGATAATCGCGGGAGAAGATGGATGGGCGTGGACGGGGTTGTGTCGCGGGATACGCGGGCGGACTTGGTGCGGAGAAGACGAAGGGGTGGGGTAGGGCAAGGATCATATGAGCTAGGATGGAAACAGAGCCAAACTTAAGGACATTAGCAATTGCACTAGGACTTCAGGAATTGGAGGCCCGGTGGCTTACGCGGAAAACGCCGGTCATAAAGCCTTGAGCAGCTATCCAGGAAATCTCATCCGGGGGTTCAATGCCGCCCTTTTGGCTAGACGGTGCTGACATCCTGATATATACAGTCGGCAAGTGTATAGGGAACAAGAGGGGCAAATCTAGCCTTGGACAGGAATTGAGATTGCTGCCGGTTCTTATCGAAGCCGAGCTCGGCGAGACGATAAACAAAGTACAGACAAGCAAAGGAAGATGAGTGTTTCAGGCCCTAATTACAATATCAAGGACAATATTGATATCAGGGATGTCAAGAAAAAAAAGCCTGGACCAGCCAGTGTGTTAAAACTTACTCAAAAATAAGTTCTCAAAATAAGGTCTCAAGTGTATGTACCTCCCCCATACTAAATAGCGGATCAACGATTCTCCAGCGGACGAGTCAGACCAAAAAGAAATCCGATTATCGGTCGAACCCATCTCCAAAAAAACCAACTTAATTCAATTTGTTAATTCAACCTACACAAAATCCCTAATCTCACAATGTCCCTCCCCGCACGTACCGCGACCATCTCGCGGTCCACCAACGAGACCAAAATCCAAATCTCCCTCTCCCTAGACGGCGGCGTCCTCCCACCCTACGAACCCTCAACCCACTTCCCCGCCCCAACAGACCCCAAAGAGGCTGAAGCCTCCAAGAAAGGCATTGTGCCACCCAAGGATGCCGGCCATGCCACACAATTCACCCCGACCCAGCAAATCACCATCAGCACAGGCATCGGGTTCCTAGACCACATGCTGCACGCGCTTGCCAAGCACGGCGGGATGAGTCTTGCGGTTCGGGCGAAGGGTGATTTATACAGTGAGTTCTACCCTGGACACCATAATAAACCCTAAAATATATACTAACAACCTCCAGTCGACGACCACCACACAACAGAAGACACCTTCCTCGCTCTGGGCGAAGCCTTCACATTGGCACTTGGCGCACGGCAATCTCTCGAGCGTTTCGGTCGCGGCGATGCGCCTCTTGACGAGGCTCTCTCATGGGCAGTCATTGATCTTTCCAGCCGGCCGTGGGCAGTTATCAACTTGGGTTTCCGACGTGAGAAGATCGGTGACTTGAGCACTGAGATGATCACTCATGGCTTGCAGAGCTTTGCGCAGGCTGCCGGCGTTACCTTGCATGTTGGTTGCACGTACGGTGACAATGACCACCACCGCGCGGAGAGTGCGTTTAAGGCGCTTGCTGTTGCCATTCGCAATGCTTGCAAGCGTAGGGTTGCTGGTGATGTCGGTGCCGGTGATGTTGTTAGCACCAAGGGTGTTTTGTAAGGGGGTTGGACTGTTTAGATATATAAAAGTGTTATGAATGAGATGAGATGGATATACAGCGTGGTTCTACTTATTACATAGTGCTGATTAGAGCGGTGCAGTCGTGTGGCTAGCTTGAAATGAAACGCAATGAGTTCGGTTCTTTTGAATATAACTTCATTTCTATTTTATGCCATAAAATGATTTCCGTAATCCATCAATCATCAAATATAAAACACCGAATCTCTAACCCAGCAAACACAGTAAGTAATCAACATCAACACCAAAGCTGGAGAACCAACTTCAAACAAACCAAAACACCTAAACCATAAATCTCAACCCCAAACCCTGACTGACACCAATTCAATATTACCATCTAAACACCAATCGCCTCAATAGCCCTCTCCCAATAATCCCTCCGCTCATCAGTAACAGAAGTCCCCACGCAATCCGAGATAAACCTCTGCCACCCCGTCTCAGAGCCATGTGCAAGCGCATTCCGCACGCTCTTGGAGCACTGCGTAGTAAGGAACCAAGCACCCGAGCCAAAGTCCGTAGCAGCATCGCTGCGGAGGAGATCAAGTAGATCTCCCGGGCTGTTGCTAACGCCGGGGAGTTTGTCTTTTATTTCAGGTAGAGAGGATGCGTATTTTTTGTTGAAGGATGGTGATTGCATGTTGCGTGCTGGAGTAACATGGTCAGCATGCATGTAGGGAAAATGGGTGTTATTGCATGGGATTTCAATGTTGCATGGGAAAGAGTTAGGGCTAGGGAAGATTCGGTACGTACTGCCCTGTCCGGCAACACCGGGGAAATGATTCTTGTTATACTTGAAATCCTCACTTTCAAACGCCATAAGACTGATGATGGCAGCTTGCTCAGCCTGAGAGGTTACTTTGTATTTGTCGAAAGATTTGGAAATGAACTTTGCTGCTTGTTTTGCTGTGGCGCATTCGCCTTTTGCTGGGGCTTTAGTGCAGGATTTTGATGTTGGGGCGATGGCGAGGAGTTGGGATTCTGTTAGGGCGGCACTGTGTGTGAAGAGGGAGAAGGGAAGTGGTGTTGCGGTTGTTTGGATGGTGAAGGTTAGAGTTAGGGAGAGGAGGAGGGTTTGGAGGTGCATTTTGTGGGTGGCGGAGGTATAGTAGAATGGACGATAAGTTCCTGGGTAACTATATCATGTAGGGAACAAGAATAACAAGGATATAAAGTGTCGAGGATGAATTATATAGATCGATAGTATAGAACCTTGGAAAGGGATCTTATTTCTGTGCTGGGACTAAGGAGCAGTAAAGCAGATTGTCTTTATAAGTCCTCGCACATGTCTGTTAGAGGCAGAAAAGGCATGAAACAAGGGCTTGCATTGTACAGGGCAGCTGGGACATATAAAGGGGAGGCGGAGGTAGGATATCCCGTTGTGTGTAGTGTGTACATTGTAGGCTGGACGTGGAGAATGCCAGGCGTGGACCGAAGTATGTAGATGACGGCAGAGGCTGATATCCAGGAGTACCAAATGATGGAATGCCTGTTTGATTCAACAATAACACATGCTAACTATATTCCGTACTATTTTTAAAAAAATACCAAAGTCCTAGATTGATAGGACACTTAGAAAGCTTATCGTTGGCGATGCAAGGCACGGTGTTGTCATTGGAGGGAGAAATTAGGGTTTCAAGACTACTGTTTTGGGATTGACGTATCAGATTCCTGGAGGGGTTTTGTTTCAAAATATCATTTCACTATAATTCCAGTTCTCTACTTTTTGATTTGGAAGATATTTGAAAGGCATTATTGATTCATCATTTTCCCATTTTCCCCGGAAATATTTGATCCGAGTGCATAGAGGCATGTCCATAGAATTCCACTGTCTCCCGAGAAGCGAAATCTAACTTGTTTACAAATCAATACACAAAAATAATAAGAATAGGGGACAGTGAAACAAGACCCGAGACACAGACACTTGTCTGCGCACATGTCCAAAAGCAAACCCAATTGCTCCAGGTGAGCATTCAATCCAGGATCCCGTCGCAGGATTGAGACACCATGCATAATGCGCTCGTAAACACAGAAAAGAAAGGCCAAAAGTTGTACAATAAATGCTGATGCAGAGATCATATCCGAAGCCATATCGTTACAGACAAATACACAAGCTGTAAAATGGCGAAGTTGCGGGTCGAGAAGTCAAATCTCTAGATCCTAGTCATCGCGACGTCCGAGTTCGTACGAGGTCTCTGTGACCCCACCTGACTCTTCATCTTCTTTGAAGCTGACGCGTCGCAGGATCGTGGGGACTGAGAGTCGCGAGAGTCGTGATGGCGAAGAGAGTCGCGACGGGATGATAGATGGCACCTTGGAATAGCGGTAGCGGTACTTAGCTCCTAAGAGCATGACACGTCCATAGCTCCACCAGAGACAGACTCCAACGACTCCAGCGAGAAGGAAGCCGCAGACCGTAAGGAAGAACCAGTGTTGACCCATCTGTGGGATATTAGCATTTGTTCCGGATTTCAATACTAAATTTGAGTCACTTACCCAGAAGATCAAGCGCGCATCCTTGCCATGCCAGCTGTTACCCCGGTGGTGGGTGAAGAAGCTCCAGGAGAACCTGTTGTACTCATCCTGCATCAGGATGCGCACGCGCCCAGCCTCGTTAGGCACCTCGCGCATATATTCTTTCCAGATGACGGACAGGAACAGCGGTCCGGTCGAGTACATGACTGTGATGTATGGGAGGAGCCAATGGCGATCGTACTTCTGCAGCACTTCGATCGTACGGAGGAAGAATGGATGTTGTGGTACGGAACCCATAGCGTCATTGGAGATACCAGTAGGTGCGGTGCGGCGTACCCAGGCGGGGTAAGCTAGAAGAGGATCTAAGCGACGGTTGCAGCCCTATTAAGGATGTTAGAAACGGAACAATCATAGTCTCTAGGCGGGGGTGTACTTACATCGTCGAGGTCAATGTATGTTCCACCGAAGTGTGCGAGAATGAAGTATCGAATAGAATCTGCGCGCTGAATAGGATAACTGTAGCCGTCGAAGGTGTCCAAGAACCAGGGGTATTCGGCGGCGATAAAGTTTCGCGACTTTTCGTCGGTCCAGAGCTAGTGACACATGTTAGGAACCTTGAATTCTACAGATCGGGTGTGAGCTTCGTGGAACTTACAATATATTCATAATCCGGGTGCAAGTCAATGCAACTTTGTTGAGCTTCTGCCCAGACCTCTGGAATGGTCTCGTTCTTGTATGTTTGGTGAATGATCTTAGGAATAATTTGGGGGCGATGCTCGATCAGGCTAGAATTTGGCGAGGGCAGCTCCGCACGGTGTATAGCGTCGGCGGCGGCATCTTCGAATAGTAGGGCCAGCAGCGTCGAGACACTATGGACGAGCAAGGAAAGGATAAGGAGGTTGACGAGGATGAAGATCAAGAGACCGCGCCGCATGATGGAGAGAAAGGGCCAAAAATAGGGGACAACCAATTGAACCCCAACAATTCAATTTAAGTCGTAAAGTCGTATTTCAAAGTGTTTCACGGACCCTTCAGGTCGTAGATAGTTAAGTCAAGGATGTAAGGATGTACAAAAGAAGAAATGCTGATCATAGAATGTATCAGGTAGACGATAGGAAGAAAAGGAGTATTGAAAGTATTGAAAAAGGGGACTAGTTCACGATAATATAAGGAGTGACGGGAGTGGGGAGACTTAAAGCTAAAAGGAGGAAAGGAGAGTATTAGAAAAATGACAATGAGGCAAAAAAAAAAAAAGGGAAGGTGACGAAGGGGAACAAGTTACGATAATACAGGCAACCTTGGGAAAAAGATTACGGGGGCTGAGCAGAAGGGGTGGCTGTGGTTCCAAGATTAAGCGGCTCATGTGGGATTTGATTGGTGTAATTTTAGTGGGGGCAACTTAAGGGATTTGTTTAACCTTTTTTCTGTTGCTTTCAAGATTAGAAACATTGAATTTGAGCTTGGGATTCAATATAGAGCATATGTACTTGATATAGTCTTATGGAATTGTTTGAAATTGTCATCCATATCATTATATTCAATATACACTACTTATACACACAAAACCTTATCCCTGAGTGTATAACTCTCAACGTCGCTAAAATAATCCAACTTTGCAAGGACTCGTCATTGTATTGTAAATATATTGCCGTGGGGAAAGAAAAAAAACCCCAGGCCGAGGTGAGCGATGTATTGTACTAGTCCTATTTAGGTAAGTACTCCTCCGTACCTTTTTTAGGCCGAGGCTAGTTTGCATATACTAGTCCATTATTGTACTAGTCCGCTCTTAACCGCTTAAGAGTTTAATTAACGGAGAAGGTTTAACCATAATCATCGGTGTAATTAACTCCGTGTTCCGTCTCCCTGTATTCCATACAAGATTGTACTATGTACATTGTAAATGTTATACATGTATTATTTTACTCCCGCCACACGTGTGGCGTGGATTGCATCCGTAGGCTTGGATAAGACCTCGGGAGCAAATGCTCTAGCTATGTGCACTAAATATATGGTACGGACCTCGGAAGCATAGAGATTATAATAATATTTTTTTTCTTCAAATTCACTCCCACGCGTAAAAGCAAAGAACCAAGCCTTGAAACGCCTTGGCCACAGGCTCGGCCAAGGTCATCCTAGCAGGTGGGAATTAGCACCGATTCGCCAAGCGAACCGCCACAGGTGTGATAGTCTCCATTGTCCGTATTATTAGCCTAAGGCCGTGTTCGTATATGACAGATATGTACCTATCAATAGACCTTCAATTCTTCTATAAAATGTATCGAATGAGGTTACCTCGGATGGAACCTTAAAAGACACAATTCTATTCTATTAGTACCTACCTAGGTAGTTAGTGCCTAGTTACCATGGATGTAACTGTGCACAAATGTACAATCCATTGTATATATTATGTATGTATTTCCATGGGAACGAAGCATTAGGTACCCCCCACTACACAATAACCAACGGTGAGGTTATGGTACACCGAACCTCCAGAACTGTTGAGGTTGCCACAGCCTAACCCACCTATTATCCGTTGGCCATATTCGCCAACTCTTTTTAACACTGGTGCCTATCGTCATACCATTTATTACAAGATCGGCACTACTCCAGTTTTTTGTTCTAAAGACATCTTGGTCGGATCTGACGTTCTTACTACCTTTAATCTCAAGTACATACTTTGTAACATATTAAAATATACAGCTCATGACAGATCTATATTATACTCCGATTCAGTGCATTATCAATCACCCTCAATTCCAAGGTGGCTAAACCCACTTATCACTTTTGGTACTTGGGTAATTGTAAAGTACCATTGCGCAGATCCTGCCATATATGTACTATGCTTATCACAAGCGGGGGATGTGGGAGGGAAAAACGGCGACGAATTACTCCTTTGGTACAGATTTTATATTAACTTGGTCCCGCCTAATGCATGTCCATATTCTATAATCAAGGTTATGTCCGTAGCAAGTCTGCATGTACTCTACACTGTACAGACATGTACTAGGATATACGTGGCTATTCCTCAGGCAGGGTAAAATCCCGACCTAAAAGCGCTGCATGGCACCAAATTGGTTTGGACTGAAATACAATGGAAAGATGGGGCTAATATGGGGCTAATATGTACACGAAATGCACGGGGCGCTGGGCGCTGTACGATGTATATTACCTCGTGGCATCCTTGGTCTGACGTCGTGGTTTCTAGATCGTGTTACAGCTCTTTCTAATAATAATCGGCTACTTAACATGATGTGCCCAGGTATGATGACTAGGCTGACTACGTCCAATGTTGTAGACTGTCTACCTGTTGATGATACCGCTGTATGCATATGCAAGATCAAGGCTGTGCAGGCCTGTAATTGACTTGGCATAGCCAAGCATAGTATGATCATGGCTGCCTGTAAGGGGGTTTGATAGTAACCGGTAATGCAATCGCACAATGTTGCTGTACTATATTTTACTTCAAAGCACATGAAAGTAAACAAACAGCGTCCGTTAGAGTTTCTAAGGGACAGAGCGAAGTCAGATGCTCTCGTACTTGGCTTTGGAGGTCATGGCGAAGGTTTGATACATGGTCATTTTAAGGTCTGCTGCGTCTGCATGCAGCTCTAAACGATATAACTAGAAGAGTAAAATGAAAATGAATAATTCGGGTATCGATGGCTATTCCAATGCCAAAACATATGCACGCTCTTGTAAACACAAAAGAAAACCGAGTCCTAATCCTTGCTTCTTTTACACAGATCACATTGAGCGAACTCACACAAGGGGCAACGTCCCACACATCATCAGATAAAAGGGAGCTGTTCTGGACAGACCCCTCGCTAGTGTCATACCACTCTTGGACACAGCTCTAATGTGGCCGCCAGTCTCCATGAATAGCCAGTCAAAACTCGCTGAATGTCGAATACTCTCATCCGGCGCGAATCCAACGAAAAGCCCGACCAAGAGACTCGCTGATGTCCAGCTTCCTTCCTTCCCTGCATAGCCCACAGTTTCGATATCAATAACCCAAAGCCAGCCTTGGGCAGAGGTCAAGGGCAGAATCAGATCCATTGCGCCCTCGGCTTTACTTATACCATTGAAACTCGACTTTCGTTGAAAGCAGTCTAGTTTCAAATTCCGTTCGATACCATAAGGAACCACAAGATTCCATTCCCGAAAAGCAACGCTTGATCAATACAATATGGCTCATCGAACCTCGGGCGCTGCCGCAGCCCCAAACTCGCGGTTCACATTAGCCGCACCCGTCGCACGCTCGTTTGGTCCCGGTGCGGGCTCAAACAGACGGCGCCACCAGCGAGGTGGGTCAAATGGACGGTGGCCACCATGCAGAGGCGGGTAGACATCGTTAAAGAAGTACCAGATATGACCGACGACAACACCGAGCATCTCATCCTTCGGCACGATCTTATGCACAACTACACTGAATCCCATTAGTACCCAGGGCAGATACGGAGCAGTGAAGACCAGCATCCCCAACAAACTAAGACGGGTGTCTGGGTTGCGCCGGGCCCAGATGTAGACCAAGCTAGACGAAAGCGCGCTTCCCAGGAAGGGTATTGAGAGGAAAGGTGAGATGATAAGGAGAGTAGTCATGGCGTAGAAAATCAACCATGCGAAGTGGGCCGGGGAGCGGCCGGATGTTTCTTCCAAAAGACGTGAGTAGCGCTGCAGGAAGAAGACGTGGAATAATAAGTCGAGATTGAGGGGTCCGAAATAGAGGAATGTCGTGAGTAGTCGCCAGTACTGCGATTTGACGTAGACGGAGCGGAAGCTGTAGAAAAGCTGGAACGGGGTCACGATGTGGCACTGCACCAGGACTGAGGTTGCGACGGTGGCTACCGTCCACCACCGGGTGACCGGTGGCATCTCATAGAACCATTGCTCGAGTGGAAACTGGCCTGGTTGCCCATTGTTCTCCCAGAGGGCGGCCATGGCGTATGGTAGGCGTGACTTCTAACGGAGGCGGAAATCAGAGAGAAAGCGGGAGTGAGGGCGGATGATCACCAGGAGCATGAGCACTGACAGCTCTCCAGAGTGCCTCCGGGGTACCATTCAGCGTATGACGGAGATAAGAACAGGTAGGCCACTTTATCGTCACGTGCCACGACACGAGAACGCGTGCTATGTGAGAATCACGGGGGCTGGGACGCTAAGGCCCAAATAGTTCATATTGACAGCTCCCCCAGCCTTCCCTTCGCAACAAAGACTGTTTAATTATTAGCACATACGATTTTTAATCCCAATCCCTTCATTCGAACATCGTATGCAAGCCTAGTATCTCGTCGATACTCGGAAACGGTTTCTGCAAGGGGCAACCTCGAGACAAACGCGGCAATTCGCAGAACGCTGGTTGCTAGGCGATAAACCGCCCAATTGATCGCTTCTCAACACCCCACCACCGAAAAAAAAACCACACAGCGCATTGCTCCCTACCACAATGCCGCCCAAGAGAACCGGCAAGTCAGCACCCGGCAGCGCACAAAAAGGCAAGGGGCCGAAGACAGCCGCCGCGCCTGTCGCCGATGGAGATGGAACACCAACAAAAGTGCGCAAGACGAAGGGAGGAAAGCAATTAAAAGTCGCAAATACCACCGCCAGCGTCCAACGTACGTTCAACCCTCCACCCACCACAACCCCAATGACCGTCTTACACTGCTCTACCTGAGCAATTCCGCAATCAATCCCCCACAAACTCAATCTAACAATCCCCTAGCCGGAGACCCAACCCCCACAGGCCGTCGCCGCCGCTACAAGCCCGGCACCGTCGCTTTAAAAGAAATTCGCCGCTACCAACGCTCATACGACCTACTCATCGCCAAACTACCCTTTGCACGCCTAGTGCGCGAAGTCGCGCTCGAGCTCCTCCCCGCTGACGTCGGTGCCGAGTTGCGCTGGCAGTCATTCGCTATCCAAGCTCTGCAGGAAGCTGCTGAGGCTTTCCTAGTCCATCTCTTCGAAGATACGAATCTGTGCGCGCTACACGCGAAGCGCGTTACTATTATGCAGAAGGATATCCAGCTTGCGCGGAGAATTCGCGGTGTCTGGGGTGGGCTTGGTTGAGCTGTGTCCATTTATTGTTTCGATTTTTACGGCATTTTTTTCGAGTTTCATATTAATTTCGCGGTGTGGTGGTGGCTTTCATCTTCTGTGGTTAGGAGAGAGGCCTCGGCGGACATTGCGGGCGTATTGTGGGCACGGAGTTGTCCTTTGATTTTTTCTACTGTTTCGGCCAGTTTCCGCTGGTCGAGCTTGTGCCTGTGACTGCAGGCTGGTTTATACCATGGTGTTTGTACATTACGCATGGATGTCGGGTGTTCGTGTTCTTTATAGGGAACGAAGCAATTCATGATCTTTCTAGGGTGGTGTGATATACACGCCCTGAGCTGAATATCAATCTTTTCAAGTCGGTGATTCCTACATATCACTACATAAGTAAAATTTCTGTGCTTGTGGTACCGAAAAGATATTTCTTGATTCGCCAATAACACCATCTACTCGCATCCCTGTGTCAACAAAACTGTAGAAAATATCAAACGCCTTCCCTAGTACTAGTATCCATCAAATGGTATCGTAAACGAGCGCCTCCCTTAGAGCATTTCTGAAACAAACGCGAAGGACCAAGACATTAGGAAAACAAAAAAGGTATATCATGTTTATAGCAATAGATAAAAGCCAATCAGGCGGGACGTCTCAGAAGAGGCGGAAGACCCGAGACTAAGCGTTGGCCTTCTTCGCGGACGCTCTGCGCCTCTTCGCCCTTGCCCTGTCTCTCCAGAGTCTCAGCCAGCATATCGTCGGTGACGCTGGCCCACATACGGTCATTAGCTCGTTTAGCCATTGCACGGCCGGCTCGAGCGCTTTTCTCGGCTTGCTCACCGACCACACCGCGGAAGTACTTCCAGCTCATGAATGTTAGCGTCATGCAGGTGATTTGACTGTTGCTGATTGCAGTGGCGGATTGCAGAGCTTGCTGGAGGTACTGTTTCGTTTGGATGGTTGACTCGGAGTGAACAGTTGCGCAGACTAGGAAGTAGGCAGCTTGTATGTACTTATTTGGACTACTTTGGCAGAAGGATTCCAGGGTTGCTAGAACGGCGCCGAGCAGAGAGTGCGACGGGTGACTTAGATCACGGAGAATAAGCACTGTGTTGAGGCTAGCCAGGATGCGCGTATCACGACAGGGGTCATTGCGTCCTGTTTTGCTAGTAGTGGGGTTTAGTGACAGAATTGGGGATTGGAATATGTTCAGCGCGGCCTTGAGATCGCCAGTTGCCTGCGCGATGGTACCGGCGGCATATTCCATCAGACATTCAATGGTGTCCGGAAGGCTGGAATCAAGCTCTTGGAAGACTTGTCGAAGATCGTTGAGAGTCTGGCTGGCAAGATCCCAATCGGTTCGAGCACAGGCCAGGAAGACTCGCTGGAGAAGAAGGTTGCAGTAAAGGGACTGACGCCACTGAACCCGACGGTTGGCATTGACCATTGATTCTGAGATTTCTTGGGGGGCCTTAAAATTGCTTTGAACCATGCGAAGCCCTTCCTCAAGATATTTCTCTGCTTTCCGGCCATCATACGAGTTCTTGGCGCTGAGCGTGATTGAGCTTAAGAAATAGCAAAGCGCATAAAGATCGTGCTGAGGAAGCCAGTTGAAGCTTAATAGCAATGTGCCATTATGAACCTGCAGGATGTCACCTGTGTCAATGGACGACGGCCCGGCGGATTTACCGTTGAGAGGGACCGAAAATGACCCATCGGCACGCCAGTTGCTGTCACCGAGTGTTTCATCCATCAAAGCCTGCATGGCCTTCAACTTTTGTCCAGACTGGTTGACGTCGTACTCTAGAAGACTGCAACAGATATCGACCATTTGAATCAAGGTTGTAAGTTGAGGAATATGGCGAAGTTCATCATTCAGCTGATGGCTTCGCGCGGCGGCTACAGCGCGCTGCGCCTGCTCGATAGAATCGGAATTTGTCGCTTGCTGCAAGTGCGCAAGTGACTCAATGACAGCCGCCATCGCTGAAACAGCCTTGTCCCCGTTACGACTGGCCATAGCCGTGATTTTGTGAAGATGATGTAACGCCTGCATGGAGTCTTGATGTGACGGAGATGACAACGAGAGTGATACTCGGAGGAAACGAAAGGCGTACTCCCATGCGGCATGGCGGTACGCTTCCACATCCTGAATCATCCCATCGACCGCTTTCAGGGAAGCTTTAGGGTTACTCTTGTGCAGCATTCGTGCCAGAAGGTGCTGCATGCTGTATTTCAAGTCAAGCATACGGTTTCGTTCACAAAGGTCGATTCCTTTACTCAATGCTGTTTCCGCTTCGATATCATTGTCTGTTTCTTCGAACAATGTACGCGCATAGCGAAGTCTAACAAGGGCTTCTTTGCGAGGTTGCAATCGCCAATTCTTCAAGACAGCCTCCAAGCAGCCTAATCCGGTAGCGACCAACTTGTAATATTCCTCGACGTCCGTCTCACGAGCGGTCAATGAGGTTGTTGTTCCACGAGCGTGAGCAGCATTTAGATATTCATCAGCTAGGGACAATAGCAGAACCTGATAGTCAACTGGAGGCTTAGTAGACTTGGCAGGCATGGGCTTCCCATGTTTTTCAATATTTGGTTGAGTCAGCTGCCTCTTCTTTTCAATATGTTGTGGTTGAGGTTGTTTCACCGGAGTCTGGTTTTGAACATTTGCTTGAACAACAGGAGAAGGAGCTGGGATCATGACTTGCGGAGTAGCATGTGTCACTGGCGATGGAGCAGGCTGGGGTCGTTTCGGCGTTGCAATAGGCGTAGAAATTATTTTCTGGGGCTCCACTTTGGGAGAGATCATGGATGGCGTGGGTTCAGATTTGATAATAGGGTGTGTTTGGGGTATATGGACATTGGCTTGTCCTTGATTGGGTTTGGTGGTTGGTTTAGGACTAATAGGAGGCGGGGCAGGAGCAACATGAACAGGTAGAACTGGCGGTGGAGCTGGCAAAGCATCCGGTGGTATTTTGGAAGGACTAGCACTCGGGACAAAAGGCGGTTCGCCATACTGAGGAGAGAGCTGGGTGTATCGAGATCGTGGAGCAGTAGGCAGAGGTTGTTGTACAAACAGTTGAGCTGGATTGACAAACTGATGTTGCAGCTCTTCTTGTTGGATTCGAGGCGCAGGCGGGGGAGGAGGCGGTTGAGGGAGAGGGGGGGATTGTAGTTGAGGGAGAAGTTGTGGTCTAGGCTGCGGTGCTGGCTGTTGTACTGGCTGTTGTACTGGCTGTTGTACCGGCTGTGGTACTGGCTGTGGCACTGGCTGTTGTACTGGCTGTGGCACTGGCTGTGGCCGTGGCTGGAGAACTTGTTGTGGTGATTGGAGCGGCTGTTGCGGGGGAGTTTGCGGAGGAGGACGCGTTTGCTGCTGCTGTGGATGCGGCTGTGAAGTATATGTTGATGGGTATGCAGAAGGATATGGTATCATAGCCGAAGGATACATTGCTGGCTTGCCATAGGCATCGTATGGGGGCGGCGGAGGAACGGCATTATTGTACAGTATCTGCGGGGGTATTTGCCCGTGTTGATACTGCGGCGGCGGGAGATAATGAGGGTATTGGCCGGGACCAGGTGGTGGGAAGCTCATCGCCCCGACAAACAGACAATACTCGTATAAATCGAGTATGAAGTCGAATGCGCGAGATGGTGAGCGTGGATCTTGTCGGTCCGGAGAAACCCCAGGGCGGTCAGCTGATAAGGGACTTCGCGATTACCTCGACTCTTCTCCAGTACATGTAAACTTCACATCTGAAAAGTCATGGCAAAGCCGTCTTTAATGTTTGCAATTTGGTTATGGCTTGTGTTCTCGTCTCGTTCAATGAGATACTTGGTTAAGACAACGCAAAAGATATCCAAAGGAGTCTCACAAAGAACCTTACAAAAGATGTCCAAACGAAGAGACACTATGGTGGCCATCACTTCTTGTCTGAATGATTGAATTATTTGACAGTGCGATTAAATAATTGATCTAACCAAAAGAATAAATAATCTAATGTGCTGAACCGACGCCCTATACAATATATACTGAGAAAAGTCGGAAACGAGAGAAAAATCGAAAATGAGCGAAGAAATTAACAATGAACCAATTGGTCCACCAATTCCTTATGGCCTTGCTCCCAAGGCCTCTCTTGCAGCTGAACAAATCCGTTAAACCATGTTGATGTACGTGTAAAGTTGGTTGATGGGTTGGTTACCTATTCCGGAATCGATAATTTCCTGTTCTATACTCGGCGCGAATGAGAGCGCTGGATGTTCGCGGACTGTCCAAGGACACAACTCATTGCAGTTTTCGACACTGACTAAAGGTTCGGCTGGATGAATGCGTTGTGCTGCCCAAGCAGGATCAGGAGTTGGACCTGTCCCTCCGAGGCTTCTTTGGGTCCAGAATGAATATGTCGCTTTGCCGGATTTTTCAGAATGGAATGGTGCGTTTCGTGGGCACGTCAATGTCGTGTTACATGCACTGCATACCGATATGCGCTTACAAGACGAGCAGAATGAGTCGAAGAGGCGGCATATAGTGGTTTGGTGAACGCTTGAGAGCCACAGGTCGACTGATCGATGTGCACACCCGAACCGTGGTGTCATATAATCTTCCTTACCAATTTGGCCCGACTCGGTGGTGAGTTGATATTCTGTGCGAATAACAAGCTGGTTGTCGTCATTGATTTCTGGAAACAAAGAGGTCCGTAGCTGGGTTGGCCCATACTGCTCGGTGCAAGTATGCCAGCAGGAGCGCTCGTCAACAGGACTTCCAAATTCTGATCCCAAGGCTTGCAGCGTCACCTGCCGCACTCGAACATGATCTGCGAGGTCAAGTTTGTCACGGAAAGTTAATTTCTTGCATGGGCACAGGTCGACAACCCCTGCTAACTCTCCAACATTGCATGTTCGATTCTCTGACTTTCGCCTTAACTCTCTGGATGAGAATGCAGTTCGAGGATGGAGTTTCAAACACTTGGAGCATAGCTTCCAGCGGGAGTTTTCCAGCAAGTTGAGAAATGACCACCGGGGTGTGACAAAGTTATGTCCATTGCGATAATGATGGAAAAGCGGCGCAAAGTCCCGACTGAATCGGAGGGATTTTGAGAGCAGGATCTCCCCAGATATTGCGAACATACGCTTGTTGGTCAGGGCAAGCGCAGCCTCCGGCAACACTGTCAGATGGGATATGATCTCCAGCAACAGCTCGGTAGGTAATTCCATGAGGTAGCAACGGCCATGGCCATCCTCCTGCTGCTTCTTCAGTCGTTTTGGGGACCAGGATAGCATTTTGATGATGATCTTAAATTTCTCTGTGGCTCGGTATAGACGATCGGACATGTCGGACGGGAACTTTTGTATTAAAGTCATGGGTGTCAGACTGATCTTTATTTGGATTCACAGTCATTCATAAGGTGTTTGATGACCAGGCCTCATGAGAGAATTGTGAATCAATAAGATAGAATGGTGGCGTTCGAGTGTTGAACTATCATGTTGTAGTAGAGATCAAACGCATCGTGTGACAAACAGTGCGCTATCAACTTCAAAGGAAAAAAGAGAAAGGATATGGATCCGTTGACCTTGAAATAGTCTGCTAAAAGATAAAGATGCACGGAAACGGACCATGGGACTGGGTCACAAAAGATAGGTGTTAATGCTATCAGCATTACATATAAAGAAGAACAGGAACTGATCATTGGTGGCTGCAGCCCGTTCTTTGTCCGATGATCCATATGCAGAACACCGGATATTTCAACATTTTAACCCTCCATCTATCTTGGTTGCCTTTTGATAAGCACATTGCTATTGTCGGAAGACATGGGAGGGGTTTCCCCTGTGCTTCACGCCGGATGTGAATCTAGGGCTTCCGCATGCGGAACGCAGATTGCCGCATTAAGCATCATATCTCATCATCACTTCATTTTCGGAATGCTCCCAACTTTTCCCAACTGCACCATGTCAAGGGTGCTTTTCTTGAGTCAGATCTGAGCGCAGGTCTTGTATGCGCTATGACATCGTCAACTGACTCCTGGCGTCTGATAGAAACGCCAACATGAATCAGGTGTACCTGTTGCAGTCCGAGCGCTCATAATCATGACTAATCCATATTTAGGCCCAGATCACCTGACAAATATACATAAATCATATGTGACACGTGCAATGGGATAAAATTAGCTTAGTCACATTAAGCCTTGCACAGGTGGGCAGAAAATCAGGGGCCTAGGCGGAAAATCCAAACATAGAGTTTTGCCGAGGTCTATTCTGATATCAATATTGTTGGCTTGGATCCTTGGATCAGATATTTTGGATTTTTGCATTGTTATCTCAAGCCGGTTTTTTTCCTTTCTCAAGAGCATATAGAAGTTGAGCGACCTTCATTGGGTTATCGAGTCATTTACTCAATTTGAGCATTTTTTTTAGTGCTTACACCCTCATGCTCGACCTCATCTCAACGCTAAATACAATCCCCCTATCAGTCCTATTATCGGGGCTGATTGCTATGGGTTTGATTTCATGGCTTCGCCCTAAGGGCCGCATAGCTTTCCATCATGCCAAAGACAATAAGTTGACATTGACCAAAGTTTCCGGCGCTGGGGGCGTTAAAGAACAAACCACGTTCGTGGATATCTGTCGGTCTGCAACACCAGAAACATGCAACTTAAATCCTTTATTGTTCAATGGGCACCTACAGACATGCTGGACTACTATGAAACACGACAATGTTCCCATTTACTACAAACGTAAAATGTTCGAGTCGGATAGCCCTGCATTCACAGGTCATTATGCCATGGATTTCGTGGTTGCACCGTACGATGTTCCTGAAGACCCGGAACTTATTGATCAAGCGAGAAAGTATACCCAAAAGTCTGGTCTGCCGCCACGCACATCGTTTTTCACTCAGGATGAATTTGCGGTGTTGCCCTCAGACGACACCAAGCCCATGCTTGTACTTCTTCACGGTCTGAGTGGTGGCTCCCATGAAGTATACTTGCGGGAAGTTCTAGCACCGCTCGTGAAAGATGGTGCGTGGGAAGCATGTGTTGTCAACTCGAGAGGATGTGCGCAGACAAACATCAGTACCGGCGTTCTCTACAACGCTCGAGCCACCTGGGATGTTCGCCAGTCTGTGAAGTGGCTGAAGGCGCAGTTCCCCAACCGCCCTCTGTTTGGAATTGGATTCTCACTCGGTGCCAACATTCTCACTAATGTATGATCCCCTGCAAAACCGATGGCCTGCACTCTATACTGACAAAGTGTGTAGTATTTGGGAGAGGAAGGTGATGCCTGCCAATTGAAGGCAGCTGTGATTTGTGCGAGCCCGTGGAACTTGGATGTTAGCTCTATGACATTGCAAAGCACCTGGCTTGGCAAGGAGGTATACAGCAAAACCATGGGCACGAGTATGAAGAAGCTCTTTGAGGCGTGGGTACCTGTCTATTCGGCTGATGTGAAAAGTCAACTAACCACATGAAATCCAGACATGTTGACCAAGTCTCCAAAAATCCTCGCATCGACGTCGATGCGATAAGAAGCATTACTTACCTTCATGAGTTCGACCGGTAGGAAGAATTCGTTCTGCATCTCAAAATGAGTACCATCTAACATGCAACAGAGCCCTGCAATGTCCAACGTGGGGCTACCCCACCGAGGGAGCGTATTACCGTGATGCCACATCCACCGATTCCATGCTTGCCATTAGGATTCCTTTCTTTAGCATTCAAGCAGAGGATGATCCTGTAAGCTATGAAGATCTTTCATGTTAACTGTGGAAAGATGGCTGACTTTACTAGATTGCTTGCCGAGAGGCTCTGCCCTACCAGGAAATGACCCAAACACCATATGGAGTCATGTTGACTACATCATGGGGTGGCCATCTAGGCTGGTTTGAGCTTGGAGGATCCAGATGGTTTGTCAAGCCGGTATGTATCCATCAATTGGCTATTGGCATCGGAACAACTTCACACTAACTCTCCTTCAGGTGACAAACTTCTTGAACAAAATGGCAAGTGAAATTGACACTAGTATTCCTGGTGTTGTCGAACACCCCGAAAGACTCCCCGGAAATATTGCCAGCCACGGTGGTGCCAACAAAGAACCCGACATGGCACCTAAGCCTGACTTCGTCTCAATGCGACGCAAACTCGCACTACCTTTGGGGCTGTAATTGGCTTCCCCCCAAACATTTCGCCCTCGCAACCAACTACTACAATCACCATGCTCGAAAGCGAGAGGCCATTCATGGTTTACAATGGAGGAACCACAGCATGGACGGTATTTTTGCAAATAATGTTTCTGTTCCGGACATAGATTGATAAATTGGTGAAAACGCCGAACCCCGACATCTAAGTACATAATCAAAATATAGACACAAATCTTCACTTTTTTTTCAAGCAAATGCAACGGTCTTCTTCTTTGATCGCCCGGGCTTCGAGATACTATCCTTGATACTCGTCGCCTCAGCGGCCTTGTCGCCCTTGCCCTTCTTCTTTTGCCGGATGGAATCCTTGACGTCGTCGAACTTGTTCTTCCTTTCCTTCATGCGGGCCTCGGCCTCGGCTCTCTTTGCCTCGCGGATCTCTTCTAATTGACGTGCCTTCATCATCTTGGACTCGATTTGGCCTTCCTTCTCGGCGTTCACCATGGCGAGAATTGTCATCATGCCCTCCTGTAGACGATAGTATTAGTACCAGACCTTTATATAGTGCAATCAAAAGAACAGAGCATAGTAGGGAAAACGTACGGCATCATCGACAAAAGTCTTGCCCTTCTTCTTTCCCTTGGGCTTGATCACTCCAACGGGTGTAATTTGGTTCAACTCAGGAAGATCCAGCTCCTTCTCAGTGTATACTCTCTTCTTCTTTTTCTTCAAGTTTTCTTGGACAGTGCGGGGCTTGGTCTTCTGTTCCTTGGCCGGGGGACGCTTGGGAGCATCTTTCGATTTGCTGACGCGCGAGGCAGACGACAGGGAAGATTTGCCTCCCTTTGCGCCTCCCTTTGCGAGGCCCTTGGCACCTCCAACATTAGGGCCTTTGCTAGGAGCCATTTTGTAGCGATTGAGGAATTAAACGGTTGATTAAGTTGAGTCGAGGCGGACTGAGAGTGGGAGGAATGCAAAGATTGACAAGTTGGCGAGAAAAGAGTTGGAATTACTTCAACAACCCAAAATTATTCCAATACCTCTGCGACAGAATCAAAGATATCAAAAAATATTCGACGAAAAAAAAAACAAGAGCAGAGAAACCTCGCGCAGACGGTCCGATAATCCCCAAATTCGCAAAGATTTTTTTTGAAAAGGCAGGCGGTGAGCCGGGCCCATTCCACCACCAACCTCAGATCGAAACCTCCACCCTCATAGCTCAGGAACCCACGTTCAATTCTCTCCCGTCTCTCTGCACCCAGTGATTAAACTGCACTGGATTGAGTGGGCACTCAACTCTCCTCACAAAATGACTATCAACCCTACCTACCTGGCGCAGCGCACGCGCTCCTGTACGTCTCTTCCACGCCCGATGCGTTCCGCCGTCCACCCGGCGGGATCGTCAATGGAGTCTATCCCACTTGCGAAAACGTGCTAATATATATCTTCATCTTCTAGCTGTCAACTGGGGCGATGCGAAATCCCGAGTCCTGAAGTCGTACCGTGAATGGCTCCGCGCGGTCAGTCTACCCCGAGATCCCCGGCCGATACACCTTCTCCCTTGATATGCTCCTTTCCTGCATTCCAGGCGGATACCGCAGGAGCGGATTGATCAGTGGCTCTTTTCTCTGGCTTACAGGCTATAATTTGACCCCGCAACGGACTCAGCTAACATGATATCATCGAATACAGTCCCCGGAGATCCAGACCATGTACTCTCTGGGCATGCCCGTTTCAGCTATCCGCACGAAGATCCGTCAGGAGTTTGAGAAGCACCGCTACGTCAGCCAATTGAACGTCGTGGATGTGCTGCTGTACCAGAGCCACGCCGAATTCCAGGTTAGTCTAGTCCAACCTTTCTGTCTGGGGATATATGATATCTCTATTCGACCTGTGGATTGTTTCAAGAAGACAAATGCGAGAAGCAAATCTGCTTCCGCTTTGTCTTTATTTCATTATGCATTATTGAAGTCACCCCGCAATTCTAGGATAAAATGCTGACATCATTTCAATGTAGGAAACCCTTAACTACTGGAAGCAGCTTTCTCATGTCATGAAGTACTTCCGCCCAGAAGAAGATCCTGGTGCCCGGCTACCCCGCAACTTTGTGTCTGGTTTCCTCGAGGGTCGCAATTAAAACTCTCTTTCTGCTCTTTCTTTCTCTCTCATTTCCTATCCTCTTCATCTCGTTTCTGGTCCGCGATGTGGCAGTTAAAGGCACTGCGCCATCGATAGACATGATGTGTATATATTGTCTGAATAAGCCATTCCATTATCTTATTGCGTTCCTATCTATGCCGATAGTTTGTGCATACGCCTAGTTTCGAGACTTGATGCTGAGCCTATGACAGCACAGACTTCTTGGCAATATTAGGGTCGTAAAACGCAGCACACGAATAACTCCTCTATCTTCATCAAGTATTTCTTATAAATGTATATACTAAAGAAATCAAAAGCAAGCACTTCTAATGCCCGAGATAGAAAATGTACTTTTCCCTCTACCCAAAACGCCAATTAAATAATACATATGCAAATACACCACCTCATGCCTCCATACGGTTACCACTCTCCGCATTGAATTGGTCACGCGAAGCAGTGAACTTCTCTGTTACGACATCGCACAGGTCCATCAGATCATTGAAGCCTTTCTCCAGAGCCTCGAGAGCAGTAGTAGAATCTGAAGCCACGCAGTCAGTAAACATTCCAACATTCCGACAATACACAAGAACGCAGCAGGACATACCGTTAGTCTGGATGCGGACGTTCATCTTCGGGTCAGAGGGGTGGGGGATGGTGTAGCCGCAGAACTCAACGGCGGGGCTAGTCAATAAGTTAGTGATGATGTTCTCCCCAGACCAGATCGAGGTTTCATTTCAATGCTTGCGAGAGAAAATCCGGTATGAAAACTGAATCTATCTTCGCAATCAAGTGCCTCGCGATACACTCACTTCTTCATAATTGCGTACCGCAGCGCATTGCCCATAGTGTGGCCTTCGCCTTCGAACTGGAATGAAGCGGCGGTCTCGGTGGCGCCGGGGAGCTGGAGGAAGTATGGTGTTAGCTTGGTGCTTCGGTAGACAAATCCAGAGCTCAATCCTGAGATTGATTCGGATATTCCAGGCGGATCAGATACGTACCACGACAATCTGTCTCTCCTCGAGGATGGGGTCATTGGACTGGGGTAGGTCGACAGCCTGCTCCTGCTCTGCATCGACCATGGACTGGTCGTGGTCTTGGGAGTGAATGGACCCAGGCATTGTGTTGGATTTATTGAGGGGTGTGAGGTAGGTGGTGATCTAACAGGTTCGACGCTATGTCGAGGGTTGCTTGAGTGGATGCGGGAGTTTGGGTGGGTGGTTGGTGGTTGGGTGTGTCAGGATTTGCAAGACAGTAAATTGATGTCTTTGCTGTCGTTTAGCTTGGAAGTTCGGTCGGATTTTTAGCGTAACAAATTTGCGCGATCTGGATCTCCAAGTCGAAGATTATCTCGAAGAAAAAAAGGTGGGTTATCGATAGTCGGCTCTCACCGCCTGCTGTTTTTGTCATCTATAGAACTGCTTTGTGAAGATGTAGTATTTTGTGAAGATAAATGGTGTGGTCATTCTTTCTAGAGAGCTTATCAATGCAAGGGTTATATGAAAATGTCATTTGCATATTTCTATATTTGGAAAAGTCACCCAATCTACATATATTCTCGCAAGACAGTGGATCACTATATGTACCGCCTATACAGCCTATGCCTACATGTACACATCAACCATTATCCATTTATGTAACACTACATATGCACATAATAATGTTGGAAACGTCAAGCATATATTTTTTTCCATTTAGAGCCTCTCCACATACGCGGATATATACTTCCCAATGTAACAGTATGCAGTTATTCCTTACTGGTAGGTACGTACATACTTTGTACTCACTTGAGTAACAGGGTTCCAAGATTGGTAGTCTGACAGGGTGATCAATATGCAATGATGTAGTTGCTGATGTAGTATATGAACATTTCATCTCAAGGTCTCTCAGATAGATTAATAAGAGATTTAGAGTCTATGAAAAATTTCAATAGTGTTAATAGTACAATTTATGAAACAACAGGTTCCAAGGTTAGATAGTATATTTTACTACTAGAGAGAGATAGCTCAATAAGAAACTATAGGCCATTTGTCATCCGGTAGACACCGGGGCACAGACAGACATCGGAAACACCTGTTTAAGAATTGCACAGATGATATGCGAGTCTAAGGCACGCACCCCTGGTCTGTGCTTACGCAAAAATCCCAGGTAAAATCGAATAGACGAGTACTAATATAAGTGGTAGACTTGTTATTAGGATAGTGTGTATTACTTATTACTCTAGATAAAGTAATAGTTTATTGAAATAGGGTAAGGCGTAAGCTAACATCTACTTAAGTACTTACTCCGTACTCCGTAACCTGAATCAAATTTTCCTTGTTCAGTTTCAGTTTCAGTGCTAAGTGTTTTGGTTGGTAGGGTGTTGTACACGCATGGGACAGGTGTTGGTTGGTGCCCCAGTGACTGATTTTGTGGACGCCACACACTAGTGGCCCCCTTTTGATATAAGCGCCCGCGGCGCCCTGTTTGACATATAACGCTGTGCGAGTGGATGGAAGTGATGTGACTATTTTTTGTCCTTTGTGTGCCGAGTCCACGGTGTATCCTAGGGGGATTATGATTCGATAATTTGAATATCAGGATGGTGCTAGTACTAGTAATACTTATTTGTTTGTTATACTAATGTTAGAGAAATGGGATCCACATACTGTAATAGGCGAATTATAGAAGTGGAAAGTCGAACGGGGCTGGAAATATAACTATAATTTTAGATATTTTCAGGTGTCAGTTTCTGGAACTATTGAATAGAGAAGTTAGTAGTACGGAGATTTATATAAAAGTAGTATACTCCTACTTTCTCTATATTTCTCTTCTCTTTAAGTAAAATACTTCTACTCCGTACTCCGTACACTACTACTATACATATCAATATAAAATAAAATAAAATGAACTGGTGGACCCCCCTGGAACATCCATCTCCCAGAAACACATCGTGTCTCAGTTGGATCCACCGGGGGTGTTCGGGTATCTGGTACTTAGCTGGGGTCACCGCTGATGCCTTGTTCCCCTCTTTGTACTTCTTAAGATCAACGTACTGTGTACATTCTCATAATACCTCCGTTACCTTTTTTTAACTTCCCCCTGGATAGCTTGGGCGATCTCTTTTTCTTCTATTTTTTTTTTCTATTCAGGGCCCAGACTTCCCCCCCTCCCTCCCTCGCATTTTCTTGTCCATTTCTTTCGCTTGTAACTCTGGACTCTTTTTGTCACACTGCCGCCGCTTAACCGCCCATCTCTCCTTCTTTGTGGGAGCTTCTTTAGTACTCTCCGACTTGGATATATAGACCGAGAGCTGGCCGATCCCACGTTTCGATCGGCTTTCCGGATTTCACCCGCATCAACTCCAGATGCCCTTGCATAAGGAGATTTATCAAGTGAATACACAGTGAACTACAAATACTTGCGCCATCTTTCGGGTCGTGATACCCTATCCGGAGCTACTCAAATCATCTTGTCCGTCGACCATGTCCACCGCAGTGGCATCCGCATCGGCGGCCCCCTTGTCATCACCGCGCCCTCGCAACCCCAGCCCGAGAAACCTCCCGCCTTTAGCTCCTCCGAATAATATCCCGTCCAATGTCTCTCCGCCCCGGATATCCAAAAGCCCCCAAAATGGATCCGCGGCACACGGTTCCCCGACCGAGAACAGAGGTCCAGCGTCTCCGTAAGTCGAGAGATTCACGGAATCGGAGCTTCACATACTAACTTTATCCTCAGATCTCAAGGCAGTGCAGGCCCACAGATAACTGTAAAGAAGGAACCAGGATCCCCCCCGCGAATGCAAAGTCGGCCCCGGCCTCGGAAATTAGACCTTTCGACTAGTCTTCCATCCTCCAGTGGTTTGTCCGTCCGCCCCCCGGGAGGACCCTTGACAGCCTCGATGCACCATGTAGGCCTAGCATGTCTATCGCCTGGCTTTCAGACCCACGATCCGATCATGCGAGAGCAGCTGCAGCGCAGCCTCTCTGTACGGGATCAGCAGCGGTCGATCATTGAACAGCGCATGCAGAGATCCGCCAAGGATGATGGTCCAGATGGCGTTAAGCCTTCAGAGTCGAATTTGATGGGTATGCCCAAGACCGGCAAGCGCAGACCGGCGGGCCTGTCCATTGTCCCTCCATCCGCCTCCCAGTTCGCAAACGAGCGAGTTATCCAATCTGCTCCGCTACACCAGACTTTCACTGGCAGGTACCAGCCGCAGCCATTAACCCGCCATATTGTCAACCAGAGTCCGACCTTAGGCTCGACATCGCATATGCACCAGCTGCCGGCAACCCAAACAAACAATCGTCTTCCTCCCCTCTCCGACGTCTTCGGTTCCGATACATTGGGTCGCGACCGGGATTCTGGCCTCGCTAATATACACTTAAACGCGTCAAGCACCAACTCCTCCCAATCTAACAACTTGGCGCCCATGCCTTCCCCTGGTCTACCGGGTAGCATGTCCCAAACCCCCAGCCGACCGCGCGAATATAACTCGGCCGAAGAGGCCGTGCATGAGATGTCCGGTGGACGAGAGGAGCTGCTTCCTCGCATTGTCCATTATGGAGGTCACCAACCTCCCACTCCGCCATCCCCACAGATACTTCACGCAGGCCCCAAGACCGCGCCTCTTGCCCCAGAACCCCCGGCGCCCCACGGTCCGCCTCCTGCCTCGTTTGGTATGTTCGCCCCGTCCGACGTTACGGCACGTCGGCGCCCTCGGAGCGAGTATGAACAGGATAACGGAAGTCCGCCGCTGGGCCATGGCCCCGACTCTTACCGGCCTAACCCAGCTACTATGCCCGGTCCACATTCTTCGTTCCCTGGACCTTTCGGTGCAGGAAGAGACTCGCCCGAGACACAGCGGAGAAAGAAGGATGAATTTTTGGGCCTCTGTGCACGGGCTTGGGATCTGTTTCACTCGTGATACGACATTACTTTGTTAGTCTCAGAATGCCTCTTACAGGGGCCTAGGGTTAGCTCTGCTTTTGCGAGTTTCAAGTAATGATGGAATTTGCTTGAACCTACTTGCTAGCAAATGCCCGACCCAACAGATCATCCCCGATGCCATCTACCTATATCTATTATCATATCTGAGGAATTTGCTGTCTTGGAATGCAAAGACCTCACTTTGGTGCTATATAAAGTCCCAGGCAATCATTTCGTCTCATTGGCAAGTCCAACCCAAAACGATTCAATGCCCGGGAAAATGTGAATGTCCACTACCCCCCGACTCATCCTGGATGATTGAGTCGGGAAATCCTTCCCACCATACCCACCAATGATTCTTGGATCAATATCATGTTATTTATGCTATGACAGTATCTACAGGGCTTTTTGGCACCCTGTAAAATTTCGTGTTCGGGGGTTCTTTTCTGCATCAAGTTTGCTTTTGGGCGTTGGCGGTTCCATGCTTCGTACTATACCTTTTGAACTTGTTTTTTTTGGGAGATAAAGCATTATGGTAATGAGTTCGCTGCCTCTTATTGACCTGTGTTGAATGCCTTCTTTTATTCTCTTTGCAATCTTTTGCTATTGCTGCTATATTGGTCCTCACCTCTGAGACTGGTAATCCTAATGCATTACACCTCACTCAAGAATACCCGTGGACATGTAGACAAACATTCAATATTCATATGCATAATACTATGTGCTTTTCATTCACAGATAAATGAACGCCCTAACCCAGTACAGAAAAAAAGGTCTACTCCAATCTCCGCCTCTTCCCTCCATTAGGCATGCCCCCATCATCACCACCACCCTCCGCCCCTCTCCGCTCCCAAGGCATCTCCTTCCGCTCCTTAGAAGTCAACTTCTTGCGTCTCCTCTCAAGAGCCTTTGCGCGCTCCCGTGATCCCATCTCCTCATACTTCCGCTCAAGAACCTGCTTCTGCAACTCCGAGTTCTTGAGATAGTACGGGTTAGCCTTCTTGCCCTCCCGAATCAACTGCTTCTCCCGCTTCTTATGCTCAGCCTGCACCTCCGCCTCACGCTTCTTATTCTGCGCAGACCGCATCTTATCCTGCATCCGTCGGACCTCCCCCTTAAGCTTCTCCTTCTGCTGAAGATTCTTCGTCTTCCTCATCTGCTCCTTCAGATCATTAAGCTCAGACTCCCGGTATTCGTCCAGGAACGCATACGCTTTCCCGCCATGCGGGTGCTTCCCGACTCCACTGTGGCCCATAACGGCCGCATCGAAGCGCGGGTCGCGGGATCGCGGCGCGGGAGGAAGTTCGACTGCTGTGCGCTTGCGCGTCACGGCCCGTTTGGATGATTGCTCCATCGGTGCGTGCTTGGAGGATCGGCTCTTCTTTTCTTTGGATTTGGATTTGGCCGCGGCTTCGAGCTTTTGTTCGCGTGCTTCGCGGAGCTTCGTGCGGATCTCGTCGACTGTTGAGGGTGCGGAGTCGTCTTTCGGTTTGCGCTTGTCTTTGCGGTTCTTCTCGCGCATTGCAGCCTGGGCTTTGGCGAGAGCGCCGAAGGAGATGTCTGCTAGTGAAGCTTGGAAGTCGTCGGCGTCGTCGAGGTCAGATTCCGGCTCTTCTTCTTTGTCTGAGTTGCTGGCTTCAGAATCGGAGCCTGTGCCTGCATCTTCAGCTTCGGAGTCATCTGCTGGCTGGATTGTTTGTTAGTTGTAATCATAAAGTGGATTTGTGGTTGGCTTACTGAATGAATGGAGCCGTTCGATTCGCTATCAGAGCCAGCCTGCGAGCCTTCGTCGGAACCTGATGCCTCGGAGTACACCTCATCATCATCATCTGGCCGAGCTCGCACTCGGCGATTGAGCATATCGGAAATAGCCATTTTGTTGTTGCTGTCAGTGAAAACCCCCGCGGAGGAAGATCTCTCAAAAAAGAAAAATATTGCCGCTGGGGCGGTGAGAGCGATAAGCACTGATTAGATATTTTTCGCGATGACCCCATGCGAACAACCTTGGAACGTTCTTAGCCAATTTGCTTTTGATGTTCTATAGATGTCCCTGCATTTTTTGCGCAGTCGAGACTTCCCTCATTTCCCACTCATAAATTTCTCGTCGCCTCACTCTCATCCTCTTCCCAAAGCAGCCAATCAGGTATTACCGCCACTACCATTAGCTACGTGGATAGCATGTTCGCCAATTGTTGATTTATTCTGACTTGTTTTTAAACAGTTTCTCGCAATACCAAATTCTGGCTCTCTGAACTCCCAACTGAGATTCTCTACTTTCCTCTCGTCACGTCCCACGTCCTTCAAGCTGTCTCGCGCATACAAAAAACCGAGGCGTGCGTCTTACGCCGCTGATCTGGAATACCAGTCGATACCCCAGTATGCCGATTCAGCTTATTATCCAGTGAATATGGACCCAACATTAAGACAGAACGGACGGGGGCACAGCCGGCCGGCTCCCTCACACGGCGGCTCTTGGGAACGTAATGCGCACACTCGGGATCCACATCGGAGTGTGAGATATGGGGACTATCCTGTACAAGGCAATCCTCCACCGTCGCAGTACAATTCTACGCCGAATATGAACCCAAATTTTGGGTATCAGATTCCACAGGGTATTCAAACATCACAACCCTATCAATCTAGGAGCCACACTCCTGCCATGCAACAGCATGCCCAACTACAAATACCTTCAGGACAAGGCCAACAACAATTCGGTGCTTTGAATACTTTCCCACAAGATCCAATGGGCATGGATTGCTTCCAAATGGCGCAGAATATGCCCTGGATGTACCCCGGCTTTGATAGCGGGATGTCATTTCCACCCCCATTTCCTTTCCTCCCTTTCGATAGGAATACCCCACTACCCTTCCAAAACACCCGACCTATGAGCACAATGGCCGGCAGCGTAGCACAAAAGCTCACGCCTGAGCCCCAAAGACAAAGATCGGCAACACCGATAGTCAAAGTCCCACTTGCAACACTGCAATACACAAATCAAGCATCACTGAAGCCACAGAAGACAGAAAAGCGACCTCTCCTCGTCATTCTCGATCTCAACGGCACCCTCATCTACCGAAAGGCGCGGAAATTCCCACCAAAATTCGCCAGGCGCGCCGGACTAGATCACTTCCTAACCACGCTCATCGAAAACTACAAAGTCATGATTTGGTCCAGTTCCCAACCCGCGACTGTGAACGCAGTCTGCGAGCAGATCTTCCCAGGTCCCATGCACGACTCCCTCGTCGCCCTCTGGGGACGCGACAAATTTGGCCTCACCGCTGGCCAATACAATAAAAAGCTCCAAGTCTACAAGGAGCTGCACAAAGTCTGGGCGGATGCAAATATCCAAGGCTCATTCCCAGGAAACGAGCATCTAAAAGATCCCCCTCCTTCATCACCAAGCGCCAAACTGCCACACCAGAACATCAAGCAGAAGCGCCGTGAAACCGAAGCTGCAAACCTCCCCGCGGGCCACCGCTGGGATCAGACGAACACCATCCTCATCGACGACAGCAAGATCAAGGCTTCCAGCGAGCCGTACAATATCCTCGAGATCCCGGAGTTCAACGATGATCCCAATATCGACGAGTCGAGGCTCTTCGCTAAGGTCCTCAACCGTCTTGATTTCCTCGCCCACCACGACGACGTGAGCAGGGTCCTCCACTCCTGGAATGAGCGCGTAGAAAAGGGCGAGGGCACTATTCTCGAATTGGACATCGGGCTCGATGAAGATTCTGTCGACAATGAGGACGGCGGCATGAGTCTCCTCCCAAGGCCGGCGAATGCCGACTTAATACCCGATTTCATGAAGTTCGACGGTTCGAAGGATGTTCCTGCTCCTGCTCCTGCTCCTGCTAAGCCCAAGGCCAAGCCTAAAAAAAATAAGAAGGCTAAAGCAAAAGCAAAAGCAGCTGCCGCCGCCGCCGCTGCTGCTGCCAATAATACAACCCAGAACGCAACCGCAGCTACAATTACAACCCCCGCAATCCCCAGCACCAGTACTGCAACCACCAACCCGCCAGCCACAAATCCAAACCAGCAACCCGAGCAGAAAACAGAAGAACAACAAGCCGAAATCAGACTATCTCGCAAAGCGCGCAAAAGAGCCAAGCAAGAAGAAGCTCGCGCCATTAAGGCCGCTGAAAGCGAAACCCAAACGGCTAACGGCATACCCACGCCAAACTACAACAACGTGACGAGCGACCAGGTCGTCGCTAGCATCGAGTTGGGATTAGACGGTGCCGGGATCGAGCCAGAAGTAAACGGTGATGCTGAGCCTTACTTTGGCGCAAGCAAGAGAGCTATTCGTCGCAGAAAGAAGGGCGCAGAGAAAACCAGACTGGCGGCCCTTCTGCAGCAGGACAATGGTCATCCCAATCCTCCTGAGACGGAGCTTGCTGGTCCATTCGATCCTACTAGTTCATCAGAGCCAAGATACAACTTCCGAAAGAGGGATTTCTTTTGGAGCCATAATGTTCCCGAGCCTGGTGCTGAATCTGGCTCCGGCTCTGACTCCGGTCCCGGGGCGGCATTCGAGTCTGCCTCTGCTGCTGCCCACGCTGCCAATGCTGCAAACATCGTGTCAACCGGACTATCGCCCGAGTATCTCCCTCCAGATGCGGATATAACTGCCGGTATGGATCTGGATGTGGCTGAGTATGTTCCGCCAGATGCTGTGATAGTGGAGGCTGTACCTACGGATGCTACGACTATACATGCTAAGACTGCAGATGCCGTGACTGCGCATGCTATGACTACGCAGGCTGGGACTGCAGATGCTGTGACTATGTCGAGACCCAAGCACGATCGGTCACCCTCGCCGGCTTCATCGACTGGGTCGGGGAATTGGCTGCTTGATCGTCTTGAGGAGGGGCTTGGGATTTTGAAGCGTTGAGGTGCTTTAGTCTATTATCACGGTTCATGCATGGATTCTGAGCGTTGGGATCTTTTTTTACTGTCCGTTATCTTGCTTCATCAATATCCTGGACTGTGCATTGTTACCTCTTTTTAGAGGTCTTGAATTGGTAATCTGTATCTAGTAGATGACTCCATACTACGTGTATATGTATATGCATCGTTAACGCATTGGCTCTGCTCTACTATACCAGTCTTGTTTGTTTATTGTGTAGAGTGAGGTAGACTAATAAGGAAGAGTAAATGTAAATGAGGGGAGAATAGTAGATTAGAACATGGTAATATCGTAATCATATTGGTCCTTCTATAGCTATATCTACTTTTAGATATATATCTAGCTCCAAATTCCGCTTCAAATGTTTCTTCCTCCAGTTCCCCTCTAGTCTATATCAATATGAGTTATGCATCAAATGCTAGTAGTTCTCTGTTCGATAGTTATTCACATATTGCAGACCAATAGAACTTGGGGTTGTGTGTTGCTTGATCTCTTCAAAATCATATACGAAAATATTGAGCTCAGGAACACAACTAACCTTCAATCGAATATTTCATCCACAAAGTCATTGAATTACACGAATTTCACTTCTGTGAAAAGGACAAAGGAATCATGAACTACCGAGTCGTTTGAGTCAATAGTAGAGATTTTGAATTAATATACGGACTTAAGCAGTAACCCCTTTAAAGGTTTTCATTCGGTACAACGATCTATGCAACACTATATTCATAACAGTCACCCTCCACCACAGCACAATGCAATACCACTGCGTCTCACCCTAGGCGTATCCATGTGAGTACATATGGGGATTCTTGCGGATGTTCACCTGTGCAATGTGTCGTGGTCTGCTGCATCACCGACAAGCCAATCCCGGTGATTGGGAAAGGACATAGTGGTCTATCACAGTGGAGAATCAGCGGCGCATAGAGGTGAGAAACAGGTTCACCATATATGGATCTGGACAAGGGCAGTCAACTCATGGCGAGGTGTTCCAGAACGGCTGAGTGCCACAGAGATTAGGTAGGTAGAGTAGTTGTTTTGCAGCGCTCTCAGGATCGCAGTTAAAGGCTGCTCTTCCGCTGTGGAAAGATGTGTTTGGCGAAGTATCTTTGCTGAAGATAATTACCAGTCGAATCTGGCCATTTCTCATCCCATAATGCCAACCAGATCTCGTGCTATAATGAAGGGGGTGTGATGAACGTGAACTTGGGACAAAGATGGTTGTGACAGACGAGACAGCCAGTAGTGATACTTTTGTAGCCAACAAGCACGTCGCTTCCAAAATTTCTTAGCTAGCAGGCCTAGTCCAGGATGAGTATACCTTCGATATTCTGTAGAAACCCATAAAGAATTCTCTTTTTCATGTTGCTGATTCGAGGAGTATTCGCAGACGATACATCGAAAGGCAATTTGAGCTTCCATTTTGGATCCGGAGGCATGCAAGAACTCGAGTATTACAGCAGCTGCATTTTGGTGAATGATATATGGTCCTGGATTCCTTTCGAATGACGCTGATATAAGGCAGGTATTATACCTTCCGTTCTGCCTGTGATCTCGCCTGCTTTGCGGGGACCAGTTGGTGTGGCAGCCGTGACGGCTATGGTTGCTTTCGGGGTATTCCGTATATTGCCATGTGTTCCACATCATTTCTCTTGACCGAGTGATTGTGCCATTTCCGGTTCATGTAGAGGGTCAGCTTGTGTTCGGTATTGCCATTGGCAGATCTGGAGATGTTTGTGGCAGTTCAGCTCAACCAGCTTGTCGAAGAAAATAGGTGGATAATTACACAAGGGAGTCGACATTCAAAGTGGAAGGAGAGAGAGCCTTGGAACAGAAATTCGCCATTCCTACAACGTAGAAAGGTCGAAGATCAAAGACCACAAACCGTGATGCCGGTGTTGATATATTCGCTCTGTTAAAAAGCCAAAAAAGAAAAACCAAGGAACATCGATGGATTTGATCCATCTGTCAACTGCGCCTATTTATTGCGCCATACCACTTTCCAATTGTGCGGTAGAAGAGCTTGTGGGGGTAGAGGTAGACTGCATGTGCCGTTCTTGAGAATATGTATGATTATTGAGTCTGTGACGTGTAAAGTTAGTTAGATATCATTTACTTTCTCAGGTTACTCTCAGATCCGGCTCACCTCACCGCAGTGTTGAAGCCACCATCACACCATCATCTGTTGTTAGCCGGCACCAAGGACAAATAGGGACTGTCAGGTTCCTATATGGATCTCCTATGAATAGTTATGACTAAACAGTGAGAAACTTGTGACTCCCATATATAGTCATGAAGAATAGAGATGGTAGATGGTAGATGTGAAATGTGGAATGAAGATAAGAAACGATGGAGAGATTGATAAAGATGATAGTTAATAGATGCACATGTGGGTAAGGATGAGTGTTGAGTTAAGAAAGTATGTAAGAGGATACATAGGTATGTAGTTGATTGAGTAGAAAAATGATATGCATGTGAGAAGAGGATGGTTGTAGAAGAAGTAGCAAATAGCTATCCGGCTATTTATATCTGTGCTTGTAAGCAACTAAATGCTGAGACCGACAGTACATATATGCAAATCGTCGACGAGGAGAATATAAAGGCGAGAGGGGACAACAGGAGCGAAAGTGGCGACATATATCGAAAGTGGAACAACCAACTTCAAATGTTGGCTAGAAACATCGAAGCACACAGCTCGCACAAGCAAGCTGCATAGGTATAAGCCTAAGACCTGTGTATACTAAATACTACGTGATAATTTAAAACTACACAACTACAAAGAAGAAACGAGTATGCACTCAAGAAATCAGAGAACTGTCTCTGTTCTTTTATTGCCAGAACTAACTAGCAGCGACTTGGCCAACTGGGATTGTCACAGTAGCAAAACCCAAGCCAGCTCGGTCGATCATCATTCCACGTCGCAACGTATTCATAACCATGATTCAACATCAACACATAAGACCTTAGGTCAAGACATTTGGATAATCCCAAAGAATTTCAGGCAGAGGAAAAAAGAGAATGGACGTGAGGCGTACGATGTCTTCAAGCACAGCACGTCCATTGGGGTATTGGGGGATGAAATTTTATAGGAGGTGGGGAGGGTGGATTGGGGCGAACACGCTTATTTGAAGACGTGGCCATCGGCCCACTCCTTGACCTTGCCGTCAACGGTGACGGGAACGTCCTGGGACCACATGTCCTCAACGAGCTTGCGGTCAGCCTCGTTGGAGGGGTCGAGCTTGGTGAACTCGTAACCCTCGAAGTCGGGGCCGACAGTGAAAGCGGGCTCCCACTCCTGGCCACGGGTCATGTAGGCACCGTAGACGACGCAGTCGTAGTTCTCGCCGTAGACGGACTGGGCACCGAAGAGGTACTTGCGGGAAGCCTCAAGACGGGTCTGGAAACCACCAATCAAGTTGTTGGCCATGAAGGTGAGCTTGAGCTCGTTGTTGTACTTGTAGTTAACCTTCCAGAGAGAGTACTCATCGGGCTTGAAGTGCTCCCAGAACCAGGGCATGGCAACGGTGCGGGGGTCCTCGTTGGAGAACTTGCGCTTCCAGTCATCAAGGATGAGAGTGGGCTTGCCGAGAGCCTCGAGGGGGTGCTTGGCCTTGGGGGCCTCAGCGGGGGCATCCTCAGTGGCGGCGGCAGCGGGGGCAGCAGCAGGAGCGGCAGCCTTGGGCTTGGGCTCCTTCTTGGGGGCGACGTACTTAATCACCTCCTCAGCGAACTGGGGGGCGGGGACGACAGCCTTGAAGGCCTCCTGGTTGATAATAGTGTTGTACCACCGGGTGGTGGCGGGGTTGGCCTCGCGCCAGGTCTTGTCAAGGACAGTGGCGAAAGCACGGGTAAGGAGAGAGGCAGCGAAGATATCGGCCAGGGTGATACGCTCACCAACAAGGAAAGTGTTGGCAGTGAGGTGAGTCTCGAGGGTAGAGATGACCTTGAGGGCAGACTTGGCAGCCTCATCGGTGGTCTTCTTGTTGTAAGGCTCGAAACCCATCAGAGGGCGGTACCAGGCACCGAACTTGGGCAGAACCTCGGCGTTGACGAAGGACAACCAGCGGAGGATGGAAGCGTAATCCTGCTTGGTCTTGCCGAGGAGGGTGGTCTTCTCGTTCTGGGAGGTGACTATAAGCAGGACGTGTTAGTCAGGTTGCTTTAAAACTCGATCGGATCCAACAATGGAGCAATCAGAGGTGTCCAATTCCAAAAAAGGGGGTAGGTCGAGTCCAAATTTTCCCGCAGAGCGGGGTAGCCAAATTTTTTTCAGAGTTGTTTTTTCTCAACAGTTACAGTTCAGACAGGGATAACTAATGGTATCTCATCATAAAAAAGATAGGCGTAAAGATGGACCGATGGGTATGTTGCAATGTATCGAAGGGGCAAAAAAAAAAAGTATTCACGTACCATAGACGGCAATGGCAATAGCCTCAGACAGAGTGAAGCCATTGGCACCCTCGAAGGCGGGGATCTTGCCAGTGGGGTTGATCTTGGTGTACTCAGCGCTGGTGTTGAACTCAGCAGCAGAGTTGGCCTCAGTCTTGACCAGCTCCAAATCGAGGTCGTTGTGCTTAGCAGCGACCAGGATGGAGATGGTGCGACCGTTGTCCTAGAGAACATTAGAAACAGAGAATAAAATAACAAAGACGAAGATAAAACATACAGGCTGACCGTAAAGCTTTCCGAATGCCATCTTGAATGTGAAGTGTGGAAGATGAAGAAGAAAAAAGAAAGAAAGAAAAGGAGAGGGGCGGGCAAGAATTTTGTGCTGGCGGGACGACTTCGGTGTTCGGAGGAACTGATATTGCAGAATCACATGACCTGACAAAAAACATGACACTCGGAGAGCATCAACGGCCTCCATCCAGGACCCTCAGATCCGAGTTCCAGCCCCGAATTTCCCGCCAATTCCACCAGCCATGGCGTGGCACAAACCCAACAGCCTCACACAGGCGATGCAATCCCTCCGCCTAACCTCCACCCTCACAAAACCCTCAACTCAAGCTTCCCGAACAACCCTCAACACCCTCCGCACGCGCTCCTACGCAACAGAAGCCGAATCCATTCCCGCCGCCGCAGCCCCAGAAATCAACTTCGGCTCCTTCATCCAAAAGCCCGCCCGCATCATCCCCTCCTCCCCTTCCTACTTCTCCGGCAGCCCGCGGTTCATCGACCACGTCCTGCAGCTGGAAGCTCTGCAAGCGAAGCATGCCTCGCTCCCTGTAGTGGCTACCAGCGAGGCACCACGCATGGCGTGGTTCAAGCTGGCCCAGTTCCGAGACTACGTGGGCGAGCCCGTGCCCATGAAGAAATACAAGTCCCTGGTCAAGATCCTGCAGCGGCTGAACCGCATCCAGCCCGATATGGTTCCCGCCGAGGTGCGCGATAGCCTCGCCGCATTCTTGCGTCCTGGTAACCCTTATGCCGTGGAGAATGTTCCCCGGACGGTGGATGAGCATGGGCGCGCTCGCGGAAAGGGAAAGAGAAAGGAGTCTTCGGCTGTTGTGCAGCTTGTTGAGGGTGAGGGTGAGGTTCTGGTTAACGGAAAGAGTTTGGTGGATGCGTTTAAGCGGGTTCATGATCGTGAGAGTGCGCTCTGGGCGCTGAGGTGTACACAGCGCTTGGATAAGTATAACGCTTGGATTACGGTGCGGGGTGGTGGTGTTACTGGTCAGGCTGAGGCGATTACATTGGCTCTTGGTAGGGCTTTGCTGTTGCATGAGCCTGGGCTGAAGCCGATTCTGAGGAAGGGTATGTTTCTGATTCCATTTTTATTTATATCTCCTTCGATTCCGGACAAAATTGCTAACGTCAATTCCTTTACAGCTGGTGCCATCACAGTCGACGCCCGTCGTGTCGAGAGAAAGAAGCCTGGTCACGTCAAGGCCCGCAAGATGCCTACCTGGGTCAAGCGTTAAACTGGCCAGATCACTCGGCCATTTCCTATTTCCTTTTTGTTTCAATACTGTATTATTCCACCAACCACGGCACCCCGAGTTCGCGACTTGTTTTATATCCTGTACTCTCAATGCATATGGGGCACCAATTCTAAGGTTTACATTGAATTTGAATTGAATGATTAAATCAGCGTGTTATGCATCAATTTCGAGGTCTACGGTTCTAATTTCACTGAATACATACGTGATATCAAGTATGAATCGCGAGGGGTGAAGTTCATCTTATAGATCCTCGCCTTTAGTCTTGGCGCTTCTTCACGTGCTAGAAGGACACGAGGAAAGATGCTCAAATGGATGCTATATGAGGCTAGACACAATTTTGAGTTATCTTGAATATTTTATTGTCCAAGTTTGATAGCACAGATGTGGTAGGGGCAGAATGAACAACCTTGATAACTGACTATTACGCATAAATTAGGGCAAATATTGAGCGATTGAGCTCTCCAACCTATAGTTCGAACAAGCTCCAAACCCCTCTAATGTAACTTACTACGATTCCAAATACCCAAATTCTAAACAATGATATAGTTGATATATGATTTGATATCCAGTGGATTGACTCCGTCTCAGGTCCAATCCTTGGAAGGATATGCTAGCGCGACATGCAAATTCAAAAGGCAAAAGCCAAGATGAATCTTGTACATCACATACCCAACAACAAGCAGCGTATACTACTCGCCAGAGCAAGGAGGAATGAAATAAACCGACTACAAATCCCAAGCCCAAGTCAAGCCCAATTCCAAAACGGGAACACAAAGGTCCCATTCCATTTTTGCGCCAGATGCCCTTCGCCTTTTTTCGTTTTGCCCACGCCCCAATGCAAAGCCAGTTCAAATCGGTTCAATACAAAGAATAGAGATGGTGATAGGAGACAAAGGAAAAAAACACAATAATAGAAGCCAAATAAAGCCACCCACAGAAGACCATGAGACTATGTACAACTCGTCAGATTCGTGATTAGGGTATAGTGAATGGGGAAGGAGGATGATTGTGATGGTGATTGTGATTGTGTGGTTGATGGCGAATGATGAAGGTGGCAATGTATTTCGTTTAGCCACGGCGTCACGCCAGGATAGTAGGCGATAGGTATAATTTGAAAGGATCAAGCGCTGGCCAAGATAACGCCAGCAAATGATCGCCCTCTATGAAGAGGGGGGCACGGACAACCGACCGAAGACGGAAGGAGTGGGAAGTCGATCTCGATCTCCTCATCAGAGCGGATAGGATATTGATTGGTGCCCGATGATTTGAGAGGTGACAGGTTTACCTCTTCGCGATGTCAAAAACCAACATCCGGGTTGGCGCGACGCTAGTAGGCAATAGCCTCCCCGTGGCGGCAGCGCTTGCGTGTTTTTGGCTCAATGCGTGTATAGTCTCCGATCATCATCGGTTGTCTTTCTTATTTGGGAGTGGGGCCAATTTGAATGTGACGTTTGGGGTATTTGGAATTTTTTGCGGTTTTTCTTTTCTGCTTTTCTGCGCTTCTTCTGTTTCCTCCTTGGGACTTGGTTCATGGTCGGGGCACTACTGTGGCTTCGGGTCTGGCAGGGATGTGGTGAAGATCGGGGCTGCTGTCCATGAGATCAAGGCATTGGCCCAAGACTGCGTTGGATGTCATTAGAAGGTAATATAGGTGCATTGGAGTATAGCACGAACTCACCGGATAGTATCTCTTCTTCCCAAATTCCCATTTGATAATCCACCAACCCGTGTGGTTCAAGTTGATCGCAAAGCTGGATCAGGTCCCTTCCCATAGCATCCATGTGTTCTCGTCGAATTAGACTCGTATGCGCAGGTTGTTGACTTGTCGCAATCACTTCCAGCACCAAATCCTTTTGTTTTTGACAAAGGGCCAGCCAACATAGATTGAATTCACTCCAGAGCTTCAGACGGTCGGAGTAATGGATGCTGTCGTCATGGAGGAGGCCTACATATCGGATAAGATTAGCCTCTCATTGTAGACCCATCAAGGTGTCAGATGATGGTTGCATGATGCGTGCCTACAGCCTCAGAGGAAACATTAGGGGACAGAAGAGAACAAAGTAAAAGAAGGGTCCAGTCGGGAGTACGACTTCTGTGCTACTAGGCGAGCACACTCATAGTAAACCGTGGACACTTGTTCCTCTATCCTCTCCCATGGGGCGAAAAATATATATAGGAAATAGCGCTGACGGAAAAAGACAGCAGCTTACCAAGGTCCCGTGCATTGGTCACAAGCCATTCGGAAATTTCGAGCAGCGATCCTCCAGCCTCTACCAATATTCCGGCTCGCGTTTGGTCGAATATGCGGCGCAGAATGCGTTGGTATCGTCCGAGGGCCTCCTCTAGGCTGGGCTGATCCGACTGCTGTTGCTGGGACTCTGTTTGGGGTTGATCCAATCGGTTCATGGACCCGGAACCTATTGCAGTGAAATCCGAGATGGGTGCAGGAAAGGACTGGGTGGTGTTCGGACGTGCCATGGGACCAGGTTGGTTATAAGGCTGGAGTTGCGCATTTAGATAAGGCGAGAGTCCTACAACCCCAGACCCTGCAGATTCCTCTGGCGGAAAATACTGTGGAACAAATTGGTTCGACAGGGCATCAATTGCTGCAGACGGCCGTGTCTGGTACTGTGGCACAACCTCGAAGTGTCCTTGGGTTGGACCCTGGTGACCGAACCCGTACAAAATGTTAGAATCATAGGGTGCGAATGCAGAGGGGTCCTGAGCTGGCGCGCGCCGTCGCGGATGTTGAATAGACGACGCTTGTTGAGTTCGTTGAGCCCGTGCATACTCCTGGGATTGATAGTTTTGCAAGTCATTTGACTGCAGGGAACCACCGTGAAAGGAGCTGCCTGTGTATCCGTAGTCGTAGGACATCGGGGCTTCCTCCGGGGGTTGCGACATCCCCGTTTGGTCTCCACGTGGTTGTATGGCCGGGTCAAAATGATCCGTTGCACGACCAGTTGCTCTTCGAGCGGCATTTCCAGACCGAGACATTGACCTTTCATTCTGCTTCATTCGTTGATCGCCATCCATGAGGCAATCCAAGGATCGGTGCAGATCAAGCTCAGCCCAATGCTTGGGAGACAGCGGTGGGCTTGCGTAAGATGCCAGCTTGGATGGTTTTAGAGATTCCAGGAATTTTTTTCCCACTCATGAAGTTTTCCCCTTTGGAGGGAAAGATAGAGATAGGAGGGAAAGAAAGGATGAGATCCTTTGCGGTTCAAGTAGACATTCAAATCTTGTCCTCTTGACGCACCCGCGACACAGATTTAAGTAATAGAGGAAAACAAAATCACACAATTGAAAGGGGAAAATTTCAAAACAAGAAGAAGATTAAAAAAAAAAAAAAACAGGAGAAGGAGGGGAATTAAACAAGAATTAAATATTAGGCAGTGCAAAGTCGGGATAAGTCAAGGCAAGAGATATTAAGGGGAGTAAGAGGAGTGGATGGATCTGAAAAGAAGAGCCGATCAAAAGGATCAGTAAGAATAAGGATAGATCAAGTGTATATAATAGTGTGAATTGGTCTATAAAGAGTATAAGGAATATAAGAGAGAAAAAAGGGACCAAGGGGAAAAAAGAACAAACTACTGTTTCCGGGAATAAAGTAATATAATATCAAATCTCAAATCTCCTCTAAAGACATATATGATCTGCGATCGAGGATCTACACCTAAACTCCATTTGGCACTATAATCTGGACCCGATGCAATGGTTCTTTGCTCCCGAGTGATTTTTTGGGGATTTTTAG